AATGCGCTCGATTTGCTTTTACCTCAGGTTCGATGACCTACCGGCGACCTCGTCGATTTTGTCCGCGTCTCGCGCCACGGCGGTCGTAGTTTCGACTCAAGTTACGACAAGCACTGCGACGGCCGTGAGCACCGCAGTGATCGACACATTGTCCAGCACAGGGAGCACGGACACCGTACTCCAGAGCTCGACTTCAGTAGCATCTGCCATTCCCCAATCACCTAGCAGCGTCAACATGTGTCGCATGAGTCTCAATCAACGCCATCATCTTCCGCGTCGTCCTCTGCATCATCCGCCACTGTTTCGAGCACTCTCTTCCCACCGCATCCACGGGTACTTCACCCGAAGTGTCTCCGCCCGCCACCGGCATTCGCCGGAAAAATACCAGCATGATCGGCGTCGTTATCGCCGTCTGCATCTCCGTCGTCGCACTTGCGGCCATCTTTCTTTGTATGCGATACCGTCGCCACCGCACTCGCAGGACATCCACGGAGGATCAGGAACGCACACCTGTTCCGTACACCACTGTCCAATTGCACAGCGCGGGTCTCTCCAGTCCCTGCTGTTGCCGAATCGCCTGGGCTCGGGCTCAGCCTCGGCCGGCGGCACGCACCTCCCATCTGCACTGGCATCCACAGCGGATGTTGATAGTGGCTCAATGTTGGATCCACCGCCTTCGTACGCTGAACGTATGTCGTCGCACGTAGTGGTGACATCGCCTGCCCTCGGAGATCGGGGGGCTCCGTTTGAGATGAGGAAACCCGGCTGAGTTTTCACCTTTCAGTGGCACTTGACAAAGATTTTTTTTTTGAATTGCTACGTTCAAATTAGTTATGCACAAACCGATGTAGCGCTTTCCTTCATCGCATCATTTTGGAAAGCTCATCCTCCAGCCCATTTTTTTTGGGCGGCTGCGCCCTTGCGGATTTGCAAGTGGATGATTTCTTGAATTTCTGGAGGATTTGGAAAAGGCGTAAGACTCACATAGGACAATGGCCATGATAAGCCAAACGGCAGTGCAAAGTCTCACAGTCAGTCTAGGCCTTATGTCCAGGCAGATCGCGTTGGATCGCAGCACCTGCTGATAGATGCGAAAATCCAGGCTTTCCAAAAGCGCTTCAAGGGAAATATTGCCCGCACTTATCATGATCAATTCCCCCAATCAGCTACCGAACGCAGCGCAATAGTAAGAACAGCCTCCAGATCACGTCGTCCCTTCAGCGACCGGAGGGCATAGCTCCGGCACGCCCAGCGCGTCTCTTCGGGACGCTCCCGAGCTCGATTTCTTCGTCATCCGCCACGTCTGCCGTCGCGCGCGAACGCCGCCGCAGCAGTATACGAAGCACAACAGAGCTATTAGGAGAACGACGAGGGAAATCCCGACTGCGAGAAAAGTTCCGATATGGCTCTGTGTCACCGTGACCGTGGCGACGGGGCTGGGGGTCACGTCGAGTGTGCTCGATGGGTGAGTGTCGAAGGCTGCTGTGGTGAAAATCGAAGGGGCGGTCGATGGGGGTCCGAGAGAAGAACCCTGGAGGACATTGAGGTCGGATTCGAGGACCCGCCCGCCGTGCTGGTCGCGTTGCCAAAATTATTGAAGATGAGTCATCGCCGGACCTAGAAAAAGAACAAGGATTTGGAACTTCTGCCGTGGATAATAACTCGAGAAGAAACCAGCTCACAATTGATAAGCCCGGTCGAAGTGGATGCGTGACATTGCGGGATTCCCAAGACTTGTTGAAAATTCGAACGGGTCCAGACAGCAGACGGAGAAGGAGAGAAAGAGGTGAGAGTGTGCAACCCGAGCAACTAGCAGTGAGAAAATCCAAGAGGAGCAGCCGGTGCCAGGGAAGCGGAAGAAGTCAGTCGTAAAGGAGGGAGGAAGAGAGACTTGCGAAGCATGAAGCTGAAACAACTCAAATAGCAAGCTGGTAAGGATCCAAAAGGTGGGTTCCCGCGTCCCGGATCGGGGTCTAACTCTAGATATGTGGCAGTTTCTAAAACTGATCCCTGTTGAAGCGCAGCTGAGCGCCTAGGATGTCGATGGGTCTCGGAAATCCGGCAGTCATGTTCATTGCAGAAAATAACGAAACCACTGGCTGACTCGAGCAGCGGCAACAGGAGAAAGGCGAAATGTGACAAGTTGATGGGCGGGTATTTCTCGCGGCGTGAGAAAAGGCGGGAACGGAGTATTTGGCTGTCCGCGAAGTTCGAACGCGATGCGGAGGATCACAGCGCGACGATCACCACAGTCCAAGGAATCAAGCTCAAAATTGGTGTGAAAGAAGGAAGACATGGGAGAAGGTCGGATTTGAAAAAGAGACCTTGCCGTGATTTGAACACGGGACTTCAGGATCATTGGATAACAATATTGCAATCCTACACTCTAACCACTGAGTTACAAGGTCACGACAGTCGGCCTTTGGCGAGGTGCTATAGTCTCCATATATCGTTCTCAGTTCGCCATCGCGCTAATGATTTTGCGTGTTGCCGAAACCTTCGAGCGTACGAGGTGACTGGACAAGCAGGACAGTGGCCCAAGCATATCATGGACATGCGCACTGACACGAGCAGCTTCAATCAACGCATCACGCGGATGTGCACCAACTAGGACCGAAAGTATGGCCAGTACATTGTGTCGTGAGATTTCTGCGGTTGTGACTTGTTACTAACTTGCAAGTGTACGCACTGTACTGACGAACGCTTCGGTCGTGATCTGATGTCTGATGTGTGGAGAAACGCGACACTGGAGTGGTTCCGGAGCCTAGACGGCATCGATATCGCACCATGCGATTTGTAGGAGGGTATCTATCAATTGCAAAGCCATCCACAGCCCAGCCCAGATATTACGAGGACAGACAGCCACATGTAGTACAACACGACAAGCGAGAGCGAACGACGAGGCTGCGCATGCGGATCCCGGCGCAGAGATGAAAGGAAGGCTGGCGGGATCTACTGCTCCACGGCAAGCTCGTCCCAGATCCTAAGCAGCTCCTGGCCGACCGCGGGATGGAGCTCAGTGCCGTCTCGCGATACCTGCACCCTTCGATTTCGGTTCCACGGATTCAGCACTTGCTCCGTATATGCAAGGGAAGGGCCCGGGTGCACACCCACTGCACGCCAAACTCTTTCCCCCAGTGTGAAGCGCCGTCGCTGGTGGATTTGCTCCACACTCCCGGGGCCATCGAGCTCGACCGCGGGCTCATCCCGACCTGGTCCCGGCAGTCATTCGCTGGGCTCTCGACGTGCGAGGGGTCGGATCGCGGTACACTGATCATTCTAAGGAAAGAAAAAGAGCAGATCATGTTGAGTGTCGGTGAGATTCTGGATCGCGAGCTAGCCGGCGCACCGTGCATAGCCGAAGAACACGCCGCTTTTGTTGGCGCTGAAGATGAGGTACACCTCCTTTGCCGTTTTGAAGGCCTGGTCGAGGAAGAACTCGTTGTGCCTCTGGGTGGCCCACAAACCCGTTTTGACGCTTAAGATGAGGTCTCCCTGGGGGACGGCTCAGCGTAGAAACACATGTGCTCGCAAAACATACCTGTGTGAGGGACTTCATGACGAAAAACCGCTTCGGAAAGTGGTCCGCAAGTGCTCGATGACTGGACGTGGCTGAGCTGGCGACCGAAAGAGTGGTAGGATGTAGACCGTTGCCCTCTTCCTCCGGCGTGCGACACACGAGAGGCTTGGTCAGATCGTTGCGGAAGTGCGCGCCATTGAACCGCGCCAGCGCCTGCTCGAGTGCAGTGGGCGTCGCATAGTTGACGAACGCACAGCCCGAGCGCGTGATGGGGAACAGGGAGACGACGCCGTTGAGGTCGTCGGCGAGGCGGCGATGGTCGGAGTCGCGGCCGTGGGCGGACTTCTTCGAGGGACCCATCGTGAAAAACGTGCGCAGCTCCTTGTGCGTCACATCGAGCGGGAGATTTCCAACCCACATGGCCCATCTCGTGCGCAGGGACCGCCGCGCGGGCGGGGCGCGTCAGGCACATGGTGGTCGCTGCTGCTGCCACTGCCGCTTTCGCCGCTATCCGAGGTGGTCGGCGAGCTCGGTGAGAACACATCGGGTGCGAGAGCAAATGGACGCGATAGATGAGGGAATGCAATAGGGCGCTCACAGCCCTGGTGCATCGCTTGATATGGAAAGAATCGTGGGCTATAGGGCCATGGCTCATCTAAAGCGTACAGAGGACTCGAGGGGACGTGAAGCCAATGGGCGGTGGACGGGGAGCGAAGAGCAGAGTCATCAGGCGGAGGGTCGTTCAGAGAAGCGAATTTGAGAGCATGAACTGGGGACGATGTCGCTGACGAATGCAGCCGCACACGCGATCGACATCATCTTCGGATTTTCTCCGAGGCAGTAACTGAGCACGTGCATGTTAGCGTCATTCGTCCGATTCTTCATTGCCCCTGACATCCACTTACCAGCAATGCTAGGGCACCCGACGGACTTCATGACTTGGGAACTGGGCGGAGGATGCCCAGGCTCTGGCTACATAAGTAGCGATTAGAACTTCGGAAATGACATCACCATATGCATCACCACTGGCCCGGTGAGAACAAATCATGGCGCAACAACTCTGCTCCGTCGGGGCGACTTCGAGATGCATCCTAGCGTAAATATCATGAGGTCACTGCAAATCGGGGTGAATGCTCTGGTGACCTCCGAGTGGCCGCCGCCGAGTCTTCTGAGCGGCATCGTGCTCCAAGAACAGCAATACTCGCGCTGAAATCCGTGACATTTCGTGGGACACAGTTCGAGGACGCGGGTACCTCCGGTGTACACACGCACAATTAACTTTAAATTTACTTTACCTCTGCCGCATTGTTGAATTACGGCATGTCATAAATCACATTCAGTTCTCAACCAAGCAAGGACCTTCCGGAATGCCGGATGGCAGAGCAGGGATGTAGACCCATCACCGCGGGCCGAGTATACCGGTGCAACTTCTGTGAAAATCCCAAACCTCCGATCCACAATGGTCAGTCAACTCCGCAGCGTGGTCATCCAGATCCCTGCTACGGATGGGCGATCAGACGCACCCGCTAGCTCCAGTCCAGTTCAGGAATCACTCCTCAAACCGGCGTCACACGACCTTGTAACTCAGTGGTTAGAGTGTAGGATTGCAACGAATGAAACCCAAGAATGGAATCTATCCTGAAGTCCCGCGTTCAAATCGCGGCAAGGTCTTTTGGATCACCGGATCCTCAATATCTTGGCTGTTCTACTTGCCTATGTCCTCGTAGATCCCTATCCTCCGTTTCCATACCGGGCCAGGATTGAATTGCGTTTTAAGGGCATTATCTCGCGAATTTGATCGGCACTCACCTAGTCCAATCATGCTCTCGCGGAAGATTCTCATGCAAGGGCACTAACTCCGTGATTCGGAGTCTTTGATCGGGGACCAAGGTCACAGAGCCGGATTCTGCCGGATTGCACGCGTGCGCGAAGCTTGCTGTTCCAAGTTGCGTGTCATTCCCATCCCAAAACGCCTGCTGAAGTTTGATTCTATGTACAGATATTGCCGTGCTCCCTGATATATCAAAGTCCGCTGTGTTGCGCAATCATAGAGTGCTGTGACTCAGAGCTGCTGTCATTGGCGTGAAATCTTGAAAATGCTGAAGCCCTCGTCAGGGCGCGAGCTTCGCAGCCACAACTCCAAGTATGCCCCGATGTGTTCAGTAAACCATTCTGATGGGCATGATCTAGTACCCACCGACTCCACTCTCGTGTCTTCAACCATGTACCGATGCATACCGGATGCAGCCGAAGCAGGAAACTCCGACGGATTTCGACGAAGGATACAGTAACGAAGGACCGGACTCTCGAGATTCTGGGAACTTGGAAGCGCGGTCAATTTCAACAGTCACGAGGTGCCATATATTAGAGCATGTGATCGCGAATTGACACGTTACCTCATAGGCACGTGCAGATCTTCCCACACAACAAGCCTATGAAAGATCAAAATAGAAAACAGATCCTTCAATCCAACCACTAGAATAGACAGACGCGATCCGATGCGTACGATTATCAGAATCCAGCAAGAGTGCTTCTTTGTGATTTGTAGTAGGCCCAGTCTGATCCAGTGCGTTGCCAGGACTGGATCTCGAGTGAATCGCGTCATTCTACAGTCCATTCCGGATGCTCATCGTCTCCACACCTGGGGCATGCCATCTAGGATCACGTCCAGTCAGAAGAACATGGTCGGGGATTCTGGTGAGACAGGTCATCTAACAGCTTTGTAGATGAATGCGTAGTGGAGCATCGATATGTCATGGCGCTGAGCAAAAAGCTTGATGACTCTTTCAGTGCCACTTACATACCTCCCCTGCACTGATGAGTGGGGTATGAGTACATTCAATTCACTCAGATACATCTTATGGCATTTCAGCCTATACAGAGATTGCTTCAATCACGCCCACGCGGCATCCCATCCTAGAGAGCTACGATCCCACTCCCCCGGCTTACCCCCAAACGCGACCCAGCCCAGAGTCTCGCTCGTCATGATAGCAGCCCGCACAAAGGCCGACCCATCAAGCCCGCACCCCCTCATGCGTCTCCTTCCCAGCACTATCCAGCGCACCAGGCACCGCACCCGCACCCGTCTGGCCGAGCCGCTGCGCAGCGTAGTACAGCGTCCGCACGGTCTTGATAACATGCGAGTCCGCGTGCTCGAGAGCATTGAGCGTGACCGGCAGCCACGGATTAGCCGCGCCGCCCGGGTGGCCCGGGACGACGTCGGGATACGACATCAGCAGCGCGGGATTGACACGGGGGGGCCGCGCGCGATGGCCCACAGCGCAGATGCGAGTGCGTGGCCCTGGAGTAGCTGTGCCTTGTGCAGCTTGTTCGGGAGCGCGGCCATACCCTCGGCAGCGCGACGGCGCTGGTCAGCGTGTGCATGGAAGAAGTCGATCCGATTCTCGCGCCCCGGGCGCCCCGCTGCCGCGGTCAACAATGTGGCCTGCCAGAAACACTCGTCCACCTTCTTCTCACACGCGGCATCGAAGGCGGAATCAGTCAGCGATGTATCGAGCGACCACGGGGCGTACAGCCGACGGAGTTCAGCACCCGGGCGGGGGACTCCGTCAATCGGTTGAATGCTGCCCCGCCCATGTCGTGCGCATTGTACGGAGCAAGGGGTGCAAGCGAAGGCGAATCGTAGACTTCGCGGAGGATGGACAACAACGTTGCGCCACTGGAAGGAGCGGCGGAAAGCTCCGGCAAGCCGGAGGGGTGACCAGAGAAGATCGAGGCAAAGTCGGCATCCACGACAGCGCACAGAGCGAGACCTAGCCCAAACGCTCAACGGAAACGCCTGCCATTCTGATTGCGGATACACACCTTGGGCAACGACACAGTCTTGACCAATCTCGACGCCGAACTAACCTCCCATCAGTCAAGTCTCGAGTCAACGGACGTGCACTCACCCCCACGTGAATAATCGGATGCACGCTGGAAAAGCAAGGAGGAATGAGATGCGAAGACACCACAAAGCAATCACTTACGCGCCGCTGAAAAAACGGCTCAGCATCGCAGCGCCGTTCGCGTTCGCTGCCGGGGCTAGCACATAGTCTTCGATCGTCTTCTGAATCCCGAGCGCTTCGATCTTCTTCTCAAAGAAGAGGAGATAGCTCGCGTATGCCCTAGTACCCAATCATCAGCTCGAGCGTGCCATACACCTGACTCGGCCAACGTACTGTCGCTCGCCCAGTCTCGTCGTCCACGTCTTGTCAGTGATATATCGTGCTGGGGACCTAGGGGCCGGAGAATGACACTCTTCTTTGTAGATTTTCTCCAGGAAAGCCCCAGTCGCACCCAGGTCATACGCTGCAACCAAGCTGGCGCAAGATTTCAGCGACTGCGAGGTGCACGGAAAGCGCACAGATGAACGCACTGGTGCGCAGTGTGGTTCTTGCGCCCGATGTCATCGAAATAACAATGATGTTCTCGAGCATCCCGTGCTAGCAGCTCCTGCAGCTTGCGAGCCGCCTCGGGCGTCGTGGGAGTGTTGACGAGACCTTGGCGGAGAGGTTGATGCATTTTAGCTTCTGGTCGTCTAGAATAGACGCAGCCCTTCTTATACCCTCTCCATGGTGGTCATCGGATGCATGGCTGGGAACAACGGCTGGAGAGCGAGATGAATGATGACCCAATCAGCAATGAGCAGGCCGCCCGCTCAGGTGCCCGCGTTTATTCCGCTTGCTGTGACTAGAATCCAGGCTCAGATCGTCTCGGATACAAAGCATCCTTCCTTCCAGTGACCTCCCATGCCGCTTTCGTGCGGCGGTAGGCATCCGGGCACGAACTAGACATAAGCGGAATTGCAAAGGAAGGTTGATAGGTCACCTCATCGTTCTCCAATTTTTCCGTTCTACCGGCGTTGTACTCACATCCAACATATATGCCGTCGAGGAAGGGCCTGGTTGTTGAACAGATGACCAGATCCCACGCGCCTATGAAGAGGCTTCTGGTTCCAGGGTGCGTGATGGTGGCCAGCTCGGGCCAGAAACGCTCAACGCTCGGCTTTATGTTGGCGATGATTTATCGAGTATACGAGTCGCAGTTCGCTTTGATAATCGACAATACTCTCGCGACATGGCATACAACTGTCGTACGGCGTGTCCAAGTCTTCAAGAAATTAGTGGGGACATGTGGCGGACGACGAAGGCAGTCACAGGCAGCACTGTGACCATCCAGCGGCACGTGAGTTGGACTAATCTAACCTCGAATGATAGATTATCACCGTCCGGAGGTTGATTACATACATTTCGGATCTGCTTCAATGAGACCAAACTGTTGCGAGTTGCTGGCAAAGCCTCTAGACTCGCGATATTGAGCAATCAACCCTGCTTAGAAGCTCGCTCGTCAGGACCAGTGACCAATACGAAATATGCAGGCCGTGAGCGTGTAATTTCGAGACATCACCACAACCGGTCCGCAAGTTGCTGACCCCCACATAAAGGCTCTGATTCTGGGAACTGAAAACGGAGGATAGATCATCATGTTACACAACCACTAGGCTCCAATGAAATGCCACTACTCGACAACTGTCTGGATCCCAGCCTGGAGCGATGCGCGTCAGATGACTGATACAGTCCAGGGACAAGTCTGACATACCTTGCGATCCTCGCCACGTTCTCGCAAATCAGGATTCTTGGTGACCCGGCCTGCAATCTTCTCGGCGCCTCCTGTTACGTTGTGCCATTGAGCATCCACAAAGAGCCCGCATGCAGGCAGACAATGCGACTCACCGACGATCTTGTCGCTGAGACCGGCCTTCTTGGCGTGAGTCCCGTTGGCAGAGTCGAGCCCGTCAGAGCCGGATTCTGTCGTGGGGCGCTCGTTATCGGCATCCGTGGAAGGAGGGTTCACATCAGCGTGCTGAGCGCCGATGGCCGATTCGGTACCAGTAGGGGCTAGGTCTTCTCTGTCTTGGACGTTGGTGGTCCGAGTAATCGCATCTTCGTCCGCGTTGTTGGCGTCCGTCTGTCCACCCGTAGCGCAAGCCTGGTCTTGCGCTCCGTCCCGGTCGCGCTGTTCCGCTACATTCGTTTCTTGCAGGCCAGGTCCGCCAGCAATGATCTGGGACGCGTTATCGCGGCTCGCGTCGCGGGCCGTCTCTTCCCGCTGGTCATAGCTGCCGTTGGTCAAGTCGCCTTGACGCTGATCGGCATCCGATCCAGCGCTAAGCGCATCGCGTTCGGTTCCGGATGTCTCGTATGAATCCGTCGCTCCAGACGAGCGCTGGTTTTTCTCGTCATCATCATGAAGATCGGCGTGCGTCTCGTTTACGTCGGTTCCGTCAGTGCGAGGAACGTCGGCGTTATTGCCAGCCTGTCCGGAAGATGGGTCGGTCTCGTCATTGTTTGTGTCACGGTCCCAGCGCGCTTGTTCTGTAGTCCGGACATCAGTTACACGGACCCGACACGACGACCGACGACCCACCTTTCGCCTCCACCTTGTTGTCGCTTCCACAGCCAGCGTCATTCTGGACGCCCTCAACTCCGCGGTCCTGGATGCTGAATGTTTGCTCGTTTTCGTTCTTGTAGTTAGACTGCATGGTGTGAAGAAGGGTGTTGTTGAGTTCGACCTGCGCATGGACGTCGCTTTATAGGCATTCCAGCAGCAGTAGTAGCATGGGCAGTGGCACTAAGTAAGCTCATGACTCCGCCGAGGGAGTCGATGAACGCGCAAGTGACGCACACGACTCCAGAAACCGGGCGCAGCTCGGGCAATCTCAGCACCCCATCTTTGCTTAGAGCCTGTTTCATGAATGCCGCGCTCGCGATTAGGAAGAGGTAGAATGGAGTGACGTCATTCGTCGAGCTTCAGCCGTCCACCTGGGCGAAGGGACGGCCTTAGAGTCTCACTAGGTGGAGATGAAACGCCTTGCCTGGGGGCCCAGCCTCGAGTGACGCATCGGCCTGTGCGTCCCCGCTCGACATCGCGCATCCACGCCATTCCAGGACTTCGAGAACACGGTTGGAGATGCTCGCAAGTGAGCATGTACCTGGAGTGGCGACAAAGAAAAGGCCGACGACGTACGATGCAAGTCGGCATCTTGTCGGGCGAGATCGTCGGAGCTGCACGATTTGACTCCAAGGGAGAATCTAGATGAGCGGTGGCTGATCAAGCTGACTGTCGCAGTGTTTTCCCCCATGGCATTTAGTCGTTCGCTCTTTTGTGTGTCATGGCGATCGAGCGTGTGCGCAGCCCGTCTTTCCACCGTCTTGCTCATTCCTAGAATGAGCCGCATCGTGTTCGTCGTATTCGAGCGCGAGGATCGGAACGTCGTGCAACCCTGATGCAGTTTTGACTCGCCGCGGCGGCAGGGAGAGCCATCGGCATCAAGAGCGCGCGCGCACGCGCTGTGGCAAGTAGGTTCAGAACGACTGCGGGAGGAATTGTGGAGACAACACGAGTCTAGAAGGGGGTTGAGGAGCGCGTGGCTGCTGGAAAGGGCAGGAGTGTGTCGACCCTTATATCGCCGTCAGTCAGACCCGAGTTTGAAGGGAAATAAGATTGCCTCTGTACGAACAGCGGAGCTGCATTTGCTTACAACAGCGGGTATCATACTCGGGCATCCATTCCTGGATGGAAATTCGCTGTTCTGTTAGTTAGTTGGAATAACAATGGAATTGTCAAGTAAGAGTTGGAGCAAGTTAGTGTCTCAGCTCTTCACGATCACGTGTTACCTTGCTTGGTTGGGCTTCTACGACTAATGCTACATAATCCGGGCCAATATCATAGAAATCGGTCCACGCCTACTCTCCTGTATCAGGCTGACAGACTCGAGGTAAGCGGATCAACCACAGCGGGATTCTCATCCGCCTGAAGGACATGGTTTCGGCCTGTTTCGAGAACTGTCATTCCCGGCGACGGCGCTCGGTGCTTGAGAGTCCCAACAGCAAGATCATATTGTGGCCGCTCCTAACCCACAAATTTGCTCTGCAGAACTTGAAACTCGAAACTAAGATGCCGTACTCAGAATCTTCATGTGCCAATGATCTCTTAGGATGATTAAGATTTATGAACGGGAACTGAAGCCTCAGGTGATCACACGATAAAGAACGATGAATGCACCCTCTGCAGGCACGTGAGGGCACAGGGCGATTTCATGTGCATCCATGCCGTGGGTGGGTCAGGAGAGACGGCAATGTGAGACAGATGGTGGATCTTAGGTCAGACATCAGGACATCGGCAGGACAGTATGGAATGTGATGTGATTAGGATTCCGAATTTCTACGAGACAGACAGCTGTGAATTCGACTACGACATTGACCGACGACGCACGAGCCTCCTCAGCTTTTTCGTCAACGACGCGATGCACAGCAAGCGCAGAGGCGTGGTCCCACTGCTATCCACCGGAGGCGGCGTCGCCCGGCACTTGCTCTTCTGCGGCTTGTGCAGTGGGTTCTGCAGAGCCAGAGCAACTATATCTACGGGCGGAGGCACGACGAACGTGTCCATCGCCTCGACCTCCGTGCGCAGCTCTGGAATGCTCGGCCGGCGCGCCGGATTGGGATCGAAGATCCGGTTCGCGAGCGAGCTGAATGAAGGACTCAGGTCGAGCGTCCCCGCAAGAAGTGCGCGGGGTCCGCGCGGTACGCGCAGTACGTGTCGTCGGACTCGACGGGTGCCTTCCAAAGAAGGCTGCTCGTCATGAGGGCGATGAGGATCACACCCAGAGACCAGCAGTCCGTCCCGCGAGGGGAGTATGTGTCTCGAGTCTTGTCCATGTTTTCTGCGACACGGGTGAGTCAGGGGCTTCGAATGAGTGGGAAGTCTCAAACACACCAGGACTCGCAAAACACAGGTCCCTACGCCGAACTGTTTCGACTCTTCAGACCGAGTCGCAACACCAAAATCGGCGATTCGGATGTTCTTGCCGTCGGCGTCACACAGGATGTTCCCGGCTTCAGGTCCCGGTGGAACACACCCTCAGCGTGGCATGTCTCGACGGCATCAAGCACGTCCAAGAACACCCGCTTCGCAACGTCGCACTGCTCGTCACAGTCCTTGTGCTCGATGACGAAGCGGTTCAGGTCCGTGTCGCAGAGCTCCATCACGACAAAGACGTGCTCGCCCTCGACGAAGGCGCGGTGCAAGGCCACGACGCCGGGCAGGCCAGAGACCTGTGTGTGGTTCTTGAGCTCGTTCTGGAGGTTGTGGTGCTCCTGCGATCCGGGCTCGCCGTTCAAGAGGCACTTGACGGCGTAGTGGATGGGTGCCACGGATGATGCAGTCGATTGGGTGTCCAGAGCCTTGTAGACCTTGGCAAATGAGCCGTGGCCGAGAAGCTCGACGAGCTTGAGCTTGCCGTTCTCGACAGTGGACCCTGTCAAGTCAGGGAGTCGGGTGTATGGGAGCGGGGCAGGGTGGGATGAGTGGGTGGATGTCATGATGGATGAGTTTCAAATGAGGTGCGTTTGGATAGGGCAGGCAATAGAGCTCGTTGCATAAGATATGAAGTTGTGTTGTGGTGGTGGAAGCAAGATGCGAGGAGGTGCTGGTCTCATCGCCCTTCCCGCCTTATATCCCGCCCATATGTCTCACTGCGCCGATCGAACCACGGCATTGCCGACCTCACACAGTCAAGGATAGGGTGTCCGGATACAATCCAGAGTTTCGATTGAACCTCCTAGGTCCTGGACCCTGAGATGGGTCCTTGTGAATAACCCTCCTTCAGTAACCAGTCCCTGCGCGTTCGGTTCTGGTGCCGCCCCGTTCAGAACGATCGTCCAAAGAATACTGGCGGCCATAGATGAGCTTGAACTATCTGTGAACAATAGACCTCGAAAAATATACTGAATCGCACCTTCTGTAGAGACATGGTGCAAGTAATCTTAAGCGCTTCCCTCTTCCCTGACACGTAAGATTAGTGTTATGACAGACCGTTGATGTCCGTGATGGAAGTTGATTGTAGGCGCCAATCCCTGCCTCTCCCATTACTAGACCCTAGCACGACAAGGCTCTTGATGCTTACAGGGGGCTCGATAGGGGTGAGGAGGTTCCAGACTGCGATTAGAATGCATCCGCCATGTTGAATTAATACGCTATGGAAGCACGGTTTTGTTCCATGACTCTCCTAGATTCGCGCTACATGGTGACACCGTGGAGACAATTCCAATTCATGCGCACTCGAGTAATTAGTGGAATTCAGCCAGCAGGTAGCGACCTTACAACATACGCTCCTGGAGTATGTTACTAAGCGCCACCCAGGTGCTTCCACCGTGACAATATTGACCTCGCTGCTTATTTCGTGTTTTTGAACAATGATTGTGAGCATTCGATCCGTTTGACCTGCTATTTCTGTGAAAGTAGCTCAATACGGGAATACCTGCTGCGAGTTTGTTCGCTGGATTGGAACAATCGGATAGATATTTGATAATGGTAGAGCAAGTCCATGTTTCGCGGTGGCTTCTTATGCTAGATGAGTTGAATGACAAACCTCCCATAGTTTTCGAAGTGGGATGTGCATTGGTTGCAAATCGGACAGCGTCTGACCGGCAATATTGCTTTGCATGTTCGAGAGAATAAGTAGACTCGGAACCTTTGTGATAATGGCGCGATGTATGAATCCCCTACCATTCAGTACCCTCCGTTTGTGCTTGCCAATGGTTGCCAACTTGCGAGCATAGAGTCACAAGTCCGATCTGATCAGGATTCGAGTAAGTCCTTCCTGGATCACGAGCGGACCCTCCGCTTGGAATGACGCGGAGGTCAGAGATAAGATGGCTGCACAGAATTGACGTCATCTTCTGGTCACCCTTTCCAGGGGCGCGCAGGAAAAGTCGGCGATCTGAGTCGTGTCTGAGCGTGGCTGGGAGTCTTAGGCGACGTCAGAGCAATGAGAAACACTGTGATACACACCGCAAGCAAGGACTTGAATCCAGCGTCGAGGATTTGTGTTTGTGCCATGGGCCGCGGGAAAATAATGCCCGTGTCCAGGGGAAGCGACACAAGTCCGCCCGTCTGCTCGACACGTTCCCCCGATTCGACCGCTAAACCTTGATTTGCACATCGAAAGGCCCATCCGCCTCTTATAGTGCTTGGAATCGTGCACTACAAAAAGACACAAACGATGAACATCTCGTCCCCTCATGCACGAATTCAAATAGGATAGCCGCAGCAGGTATCCAGTCAAGAAGTCGACTCGATTGGGTCAAGTGAGAATCCATGATTGCCCTGAACGAGGAGATAAATATTCGGTGAGAGGATACGAGCCTGGTGTGTTGTGTGAAGGGAGCCTGTGTTTTATGTAAGGAGACGCGGATCGGTGTTTATCGCAAACAAATTGAAGTGTCGGCTCTTAACGAAACAACTCCATCCCATCAGGCCAGCCCCTCCCAGACAGTGTTCACCCTCGATCCCTTCGAGATGCAGCATCATCTTCAGGTCGCAAAGCTTGCTACGATCTTACCAACATCAGTGCACAGGAGCCCAAGTCCGTGCTTTCCTACACGCGCGGAGCGAAGTGGCACTGACCACAGGTCGACAGAGACGAGGACAGCACAAGATGGACACTGTATTAAGGGTGGCCAAGTGAACGCCAAAACAAAGTCAGTCAGCTTGAACATGTTCTCTGCGCGAAATCTGACGCACCACGAACCCAAATTGACAGGTAGTTCCTCGAGATGAATCGGTCCCGAGAATTCTCTAAGCTCCACCGTCATGTCAATTCCTCTATGGTCCGCCGGACTCCGTCCATTCGCATCCCAAACGACACCCGCGCGATCACACCCAAGGAATGCCCTGGATTGGACATCCCGAAACAGCGCCAGCGTACGTCTCAGATTCGATTCGGAACATCGCGATGCAGGATTTAGCACAATCCACGCGAGGTTCGTTCGGCTTCAAACTTCCAGTGACAGTCGGAATCCCCAGCGTAGCCGTCTTCAATGCTCATATGCATACGATCATCACGACTGCAGAGTCGCTTCAAACAAGAACGTCGTCAGGAAGCTTGAGCCGAGGTCGGAGTGCGCAATGGAGTCTTCGGTGAAGGATGACAAGAGAGGACGGAATCGGTGACTGCCTATGCGGTCGGCCGCATTGGGAATGTTTCCGTTTGGCCTACTACATCGGGTGGGCGGTCTATTCCTCCTCCTCTGTGCCAGCGACTGTCCTTACGGATGGGATGGTTCCTCCAATGAAGCCCAACTTGGTGTTCTCCTCTGCAGGTGAAGTTGTGTATGCGGTACGTCGTGAGCTTCAAACTCGGTTTGCTACTCATTCACAAATCAGTTGACATGTCTTTCTCCGCTAAGTAGTCATCAGCAAATCGTATCGAGAACAAATCAAAGCCACCACCTACCGGAGACGTCTACTCCTCAGGGAAATCGCTCGCATCCTCGGATTGGTTATGGGGTCGTTCACGTAACTGGCCTATATAGTCCACTATATGGTGACATTGCGAGGGGATCACAGAAGCCGCACTCGACCAAGTTCTCCGACTTGTTGGTAGCCCTCTTGAGAGCGGCTCGTCCACCCCATTCGTCGCTATTAACGTGGATCCTCGCGGCCATGCTCAAAGGAGTGTGGGTCGTGGCGGTTCAAATTCCACTCCAGGGGTGAAGGGAACTCGACGAAAAGGAACTCTGAGTACGGCAAACGCCGTCACAGCAGCGCGTGCATACGAGGGCTGATATGTTTGGGTTGGAAGCCGGTGATTTCCGGCCACGCTCTTGGGGAATGTGTGGACTCCAATGGTGATCGAGGACATCAACAAGGGAGCCACGTTTTCAATCCACCGGCGATCCCCTCGTAGTATCATCGTATCTTGCAGCCCTCTAAAGTTAAAGCGTCGTCGGAACAAGGGAGGGTTGTGGAGGAGAGGCCGTGTGGAGGAGTGCTCTAGTCATAGGATGGTAACCACCAAGTGTGTGCTTTCTTCGAGTTGGTTTCTGTTTGAGCTCCGATAGCATCCTTTCAGTATCATCGGCTCACAGCAAAACGCCCAACTCGATGAAGCGCACGCTTCCAGACACAAAACGAAAACAGTCGATGTGCTATGTCCTCAAGTGCGAGCCCCTTCGATTTGTTCTTCATTATGCCAGTGCATTGTCCTAATGTTGTCCTTTCACCACGGCATCGTGCATAGCGAACGCTCACCCTCCGAAGGTGTTCCGCGAAGAGAAGGGGTGCAGATGGTCGTCCGTCGACAAGGCGCTGTATATAACGGACTGCAGCCTGTGGTCCATGAGTTTCTGGAGATCAGTTCTCGTTCAGCCAATCCACCACCGCTTCAGGTCGCTCGCCTGCGCTCCTGTTCCCGTCAGACTTTCGGCTCCCTCCAAGCTCTCGCCATATTCCGGTCGAGTCCTCACGCCTCCCTTTCGTATGCGCACAAATCAGTTGGTGTCGTTGCCTCCCCAGATATACGAGCCAAGTTCAGCACAATCGTGTCCGCGATGGTCCTTTCAATTCGTCAATAGCGATACTCGACCCTCGCCTGTGGCCCATCTTGCCTCCAGTTGTACCCATCTCAGCCATGCAATCTGAGTCATCCAGCGCTCAGACGATTTTTCCGTTCACCGCTGACCGAAACGTGGAGGCCCCAACACCCGGTCTCATCTTGCACGAGTGGGAACTGTTTCGGGAGATATTCGAGCAGAGCTCAATGGGACGTACGATTGACCGTGAGAATGGCCACATACTGAAGACCGAATGGCGAGTGTCTGCCTGTATCCCGTGTTCCCACTCGAGGTCTAATCACGAATTCAGCCAAATAAATGACATACTGAAAGAGCTCTACATGTCTGTGATGGCCAGAAATATGTTGTGCCACAGGTTTATGGGTGACGCCACGTCTGAAATCGAGGAGTAATTCGACGACAAAGCTGCACTGCGCGTAAACTTTCTTTTCGTGCAGTGAGACGAAGCCCTGGCGAAACAACTCTGCCGCAGTCATTCATGAGCATCGCAGAGACCATGCATTGCCTACGCCCTGAAATTCCACATTACCCGACATCCTCCGGACTGGCCCTCGGCCCAGGCGCACGATCGCAATCCCGGATCGGACTACCGGGACCAGAAACATGGGAGAGAACGTGGGGCGATGCGTGTGTAGCCGGTGGCTCTACACACCGGGCAAGCCCGATAGTGTGGGCCTACGAGTCGGTGAGAGTTTGCTGTGACCTGAGCCGGCAGTGCAAGGAACACTGACTCGCCCAAAGGGATCATCGAGCGGCAACACAAACCAAAATAACTCCGCTACTTTGTATTCTGTCGACGATCCGGACCGTGCATGAACCAAAGGAAGCAACGGATACATCCTTTTCACCAATCTTCCACGCCCTTTTTCCGGATGAGCATGTTTTGCTTCATCATCACCTAGCAAAGCGGTTTCTCCATGATGTCACGATGTGAGAAGCTTGCGGGGCTTCGTAATATTCGACCTTGTGTTCTTCTCGACGACCTAAGGCGAGAGGACGACCTCAAACTCAGCACGGTCTTTCTATTTCAGATCACAACCTGACATGATTGAGACGCGAGGACGACCGACTGGTATGTGTTGCCAGCCTCTTGCAGTTCGTGTTCCTGCCTCACCCGTGTTGTTTCAGCCGTCCAATTAATTTCCTACGCAAGCAGTCAACCAAGCGGATCTACCCCTTCTTCCAACAGGAACCAGTACGAGAGCCACAGGCCCAGCGAACGGCGTGTGTACCATCCTGCTGCGCCCGCGGATCGGTCCCAATGGGCGATGTGGATGGGCAACGTCCCCAAGCACGCCGACGAGCATGATCTGCAGACGTTCATCGCCGCACAAAATCCCGACCACGGTGTGCTATCCGTGTTTTTGATCTCGAAATCGAGCTGCGCCTTCGTCAACTTCGCGAGCGAGGCACACTTGAATGATGCAATCAAGCAGTGCAATGGCAAGCATTTAGGCCCGGATTGGACTCGGGGGCCGCCGTTGGTTTGCCGAGTCCGGACACTCAACGACGACCTTTGGACTGGCGTCGGTGGGCAGCGAGGAGTTGGCCTGCACCGACAGTGGATCAACAGCCGCATCGCAGCGCGTGATGGCATCGGAGACGCCGATTCGCCGAGCGCAGCTTCCGACGCCTCGACAACGTCGAGCTTCTTCGAAAAGCACTTTCCACGGCGCTTCTTTGTCCTCAAGTCGCAGACAAGAGAAGAGTTGGATCGGTGTGTTGAAGATGGAGTGTGGTTCATCCAGACACACAATGGGGCTGTTCTGGACCGAGCGTTTCGCACATCTGACGAGACGATCTTGTTCTTCAGTGTCAACAAGAGTGGCCAGTTCTATGGCTATGCCAGGTGCGCGATCTTCCTGATGCGCCCGATCCTTACTCATTTTCTCCGACGTTGAGGATGAGGACCTCAGTGATGACTACGAATGATGCTATCCATGATGGCCTGCCACCCGATACAATGGTTGCCGAAAAGTCCCCCAGCCCGTTTACGCCGAGTCCGTCACCGCCCGGTATCACTCAGTCGGCACCCAGTGTGATGACTCCCGCCGGACATCCCGACTTGCAGGAGTTGTACGAAGCTGGGAAAGGCGTTCATCAGCCTATCAGCCTCGACGGGCTCCTCCAGCGGCACCAGGACATCCTCGAAGCTAGATTGGAACCAGAACCGGATGACCACCCTGAGCCTAGTCCCATGAGTGACGGGGTGTCTGGCTACACTGCTCAAATCACCGTCGAGTGGATCTGCCTCGAGCCGCTGCCTTTCAAACGGACGCGCAACATTGTCAATACATGGAACCGTGATCGCGAGGTCAAGATTTCGAGGGACGGCACTGAGCTCGACCCAAATGCTGGATTAGCGCTTCTGGAGGCATGGCGATTGGTGCAGGATGAGAGGAGACGCCGACAGGCGTGAACGTATGATCCTGCCCTCCGACTCCAGAGACATAGGAAATGCGACTGTGTTCTCGACTCCCGTGTTGTGATTCGCTTCCTTTGGTAGTTTCCCAGGTTCCAGGTGCACAGAGATATGCGAGCTGGTATCTGGACACTTGTAAATGTACTCCATCTTACTGTATCTTCTTTTCTCCCAGGTGCACCACTATGTTTGGTGCTATCTGTCTTTTTATAACAAGTTACATAACGTACACTTGGCTCACAAACTTATACCGACATTTCGTTTGATTCTTCGAAGCTATCGATACGATCCACATTCACCTCGTGATTCTCAGCCTATCTACCGGATATGCACTTACTTCTAAGACCGAACTACTAACCCTCTCCATTGGGTACCCAGCAAGCAAGAGCACGAAGCGTCGCTTTCTTGAACCTCTAAGCTCGTGAAGTCGACATGAAGGACCGAGTGTGGGACGTCTGAGATGTCCAATGACTGCGCGTGCTTTTCGACTATAGTTGTGACGTAGATATGCGCGCGCATGTTACATTCTGTTCTCCTTCTCCGCGAGAAATCTACTTACAGCGAAGGTTGTGTCTTGAATTGGCTCCAAGATCGGCAAATCCTCCTCCGCAGGCTTGGCGTGCATCCGGCCCTGATCCGGCCGTGAAGATTGCCATCGGATGTAATTATCAAGTAACCCGTTCTGCGCTAAGCGCTCAACTTCGACTTCGACTCCTGCTCCCAGAGTCTTGGATCCATTGGATCTGAAGTGCGGGGCTCGAGAACCCTTCTCTGTGCGTTATGTCATTGACTTGATATGAGAAATCTAATTCGTCCCTCGAGAGATTGACCCGGGTGTTCATGAAAGTACCGACCGTTCTGGCTTCTCGAATGAACACCTGCCCCTTCCGCCACTAACACACGCCGGTACCGCTATGCAACGACCGTTTCCTCCGCGCGCTCCGATCTCCTCGCAACCTGTCCGACGATCATATCACCCAGCAGCTCCAACACAGCGGTCCCAGTGGGCGATGTGGGTGGGCAACGTCCCAAAGGACGCAGACCAAGACGAGCTTCATCGATTCTTTACCCAGCCGCTGGGGGACGGTGCCGGGGCCCTCGCTCATGGCGTCCAGTCCATTTTCGTGCTCCCTCGCTCCAACTGCGCATTCGTCAACTACAACTCCGAAAGCGCACTCACGATCGCAATTGCTAGCTTCAACGGGGTGTCACTCCGGACGTTTCCCCAACAAACCGCGGTCGTGGGAAAGCGTAATGCGACAAAGCCGCTCATCTGCCGTGCACGCATGGAAGAGCACGACCTCTTCACAGGAGTCGGCGGGCAGCGGGGAGTGGGTCTGCATTCCACTTGGGTGAAGGAGAGGAGGGCGAGGAATCAGGCCAGCGCGACCGAGGACAACTCGGACACCATCTCCAATGCGTCGACCACGTCAAGTCTGCTTCAAGAGAACTTCCCACAGCGGTTCTTCATGCTAAAGTCGTACAAACAGGTCCGCATCAGTGTTGCTGCGGTTGTCTTCTCCCCTCACCTTCTTATAGGATGATCTCGACTCGAGCGTCGATACCGGTCTCTGGAATGCCCAGCGACATAACGCAGAGGTTCTCGATCGTGCGTTTCGCACATCTGAAGACGTGTTCCTCTTTTTCAGTGTCAACAAGAGCGGAGAGTTCTACGGGTACGCGCGGTATGTCGGAACATGAGGTCGCTGGCGATTACTGAGACGAATCCAAGGATGACGGGACCCATAACTCCTCGTGGAGTACCTGGCCAACGACACGAGTCTTTTCCGCACACCGCACTCGGTGCACAATCGCCTTCCTCCCAAGATCTCCCTCCCCCAGAAACCTTCCTCCCCCCTGCCCTGCTCGACGAGATCGAAGCAGAGCCCGAGTTCGACTTTCCTCTGCACTGGATGTGTGTCGACCGGATGCGCTTCTCGCGCACAAAACATATCCACAATCCGTGGAACCAGGACCGGGAGGTGAAGATCTCGCGCGATGGGATGGAGATCGAGCCTGAAGCGGGCCAGGCTGTGCTGGACATCTGGAAAGCCCAGCGCGCAACGCTCATCCAAGCGCCACGAGCCAGGTCTTGATCTGTCCACAAAAAATGTGCTCCTGAACATGGGCTCCAATATATGTCGAGCTGAGCCATTGATTCCGATCTCTTATCTCTCTTTCTCTCTCTTTCGCTATGGATAAACGTCATAAGCCTTCTGTAACCATCTCACCGATATGTACACTAAGTCATCCGCTATGACCGTACAATGCCCAGCTACTATGTATGTACTTCACGATTCTCGCAATCTCATTGGAGCAGTCCGCACGCAAACAGGCTGAACCATCGATGGTGGCGAACAGTGGATGGAGCTCAGGTGTTCGTAGAGGAAGGCAGGGCAAGACAGTCCAGTTCTCACGGTACTTGGGTATAATGAATCAAGAGACCTGATATGTAGAGGAGAATACAGAGATTGTAACTACTGAAAGACGCAAGTAGTACAAAGGATAGAACACGGGTATCGCAACCATCCAGAGATTGGGAGAAATGTAAGTTAAGCCCGAGCTCCTTGCAAGATTCATCCATCTGATCTACGCAAGAGGCAGATAACAAAAAATCAGAGACATTTACAGCTGGCGGTGGCGATTAGGCTCGGTCAGCCACGATTGCCAGGCCGCTATCAACGCCGATCCAGCACTCGGCTCGAGTTCGGTTCCGTCCCTCGAGATTTTGACTTCACGACCCCGGTTCCACCCGTTGACGATGCCGCGCGTCCGTTTGAAGGGCAAAGGCTCGCGGCATAGCCATTCGACGCTGAATTGGCCGCTAAAACCAGACGCCAGCCGCGGCTGCCCTTCACTGGGCCCCGAAACGTTGTCCACCAGTTCTGGCTCGAGCTGGGGATCAGGCCCAGAGTGCTGCGACGTCAGCCAAGGTAGTCGGCTGAAGCTAAGGGATCGATGCTGGCGGGCTCCGGCGTGATCGAATTCTCCAGAGTCAGAGACCCGGCAACTCAGAACACTGGGTGCCGACTGGGTGGCACCTGACTGGAACGAATATGGCGATGCGACTCGCACAACCAGGTTCGGCGATGCATCGCCCGCATCCATGCCATGTGGCAGGGGATCAGATCCAATGGAAGTCACCGGGCTGATCATTCTAGACGCGCATGTAAACTTGTGGGCTCAATGAAGGCAAAGGACGCACTTGGCATAACCGTAGAACTGGCCGCTTTTGTTCATGCTGAAGAACAGGATCGTCTCTTGGGAAGTACGGAACGATTGGTCAAGCACGACCTGATTGTGCTTCTGGATGTACCAAACGCCGTCCATAGCACAGCGATCTAGTTCTTCCCTCGTCTGACACTTGAGCACGAAAAAGCGCCGCGGAAAGTGTGTCTCGAAGAAGCTCGAAGTTGTTGACCCGTCTGAAGCTGAGCTCGGCGAATGGCTGTCCGAGACATCCAGTGCTGGATTTGGAGGCCCTGCATGATCCTTGATCCACTGCCGATGGAGTCCCATTCCTCGCTGCCCACCGACTCCAGTCCAAAGATCGTCATTGAGAGTGCGAACCCGACAGACCAGTGCGGGCCCCATCGACCATTCAGGGCGGAGATGCCTGCCGTCATATTGCTGGATCGCTGCGATCAAGTGCGCCTCGCTCGCAAAGTTCACGAATGCACAGCTGGACTTGGACAGTAAAAATATCGAGACGACGCCGTGGTCTTCAGATTGCGTGAAAAACGTCTGGAGATCGGTTTCATCGGCGTGCTTCGGCACGTTTCCGACCCACATTGCCCAGTCGGAGCGGTCAACTGGTGGATCGGGGTGGTACACCCGGCGTGCTGCCGGTTTCCGGACGGGGAACGATGCTACCGTGTGCGAACCAAGTTCATGACTTGAGGGGTTCGACGATGATCGATTATTGATATGCGACGGTTGTCTCCGCGATGCCTCTGGTGGACCCCCACCGGCATAGAGTCGCAGATGTCCTTGAGAGAGAATGTCAGCTGGAGAAACCGGAGGATGGATGATGTACCTCCTGCATGCATGTTAGAATGTTAGAACTGAGATTGCAGTCCCCCGCTCGGCAGGACGTGTAGAAGCGATCGCTCGCTCGTGGTGTCCGTGGGGAGTTTGGGGGAAGGCCAGTGCTTGCCCCCGTTACGGGACGCTTATGACATCATAAGCAGACACGGTCTTGTGAGTGATGATACAAAGAACGCGGCCGTTTGTTATCTTTGGGGGTCAGATCGAGAGAGGTAGATAGAAACGGAGAAGGAGGAAGGCGGTGGGTGTTTGTGTTGTAACTGGAATGAGTACATATGCATGCCTTATTGTGGTTTGTGTTGCCCTACCATGATCCTCTCTTCGCGAATAGGGCTCGACCCTCATCCTCGCAAGCTCGTGGGGTGTTCGAATGGGCAATTCTCCGCTTATTCCATCACGTGTGGCACTGAACAGTGAAGAATAACTGTCGGAGGTTGGTTAAAAGCATCAAGCATGCCGAGGAGGAGAGCGATCACGGACCCACGGCAGTCTGGTTATTGACTTATCAAGGCACAACACCCGGTCCACAGATGTCGCTGCCTCGGAAGGGGACATGTAGCACGGCAAAAGACCTTCCGTAGACACCTTTGCCCTCAGCTGCCCCTCTCTGATTTCTGTTGCTTCGGTCTCGCAGCCACCATCCCTCCCGATCAACATCCGGGTCTGCCGCTAGCCGTTGTTTGACGAAACGAGAACTTTTGGTTTTCCCACTTGGCCCAGTTGGCTTTGAAAGAACCCAGAGCAATAGCAGAATCAGCAGCATTTGGCTGAAGGAGTTCGACGAGGGCATAGCATCGAGCCGGGGCCCGCACCGAGTGCTGATTTCGATCAGGTGGTCGAGACTGCTCGCCTCTAAACGATGACGAAGAACCGAGTGTACCGCTTCCCTTGCTGCATGACGCCTTCTGTTGAGACGGTGGTTGCGTGATTTGCAGATGGGATCGCAAATCTGCATTGGATCCGCCAGTCCTTTGCTATCGAAGCCGCGTCGTTCACTGGTACCGTCGCTAGCGTGGATGAGTTTGGGTTCTGGGTGCTCCACAGGACGGATGAAGACTGGGAAAGCTGGTGGTAGAATGAATTCGAAGGTCCCAAGGCTCGACAGAATCACGGGTGCCGACATCCGCGATGGGATATGCTTCCACTCAAATCTCGAGACGATCTCGAGCTGCTCCAATGACCTTCCCTGGTCGCCGGGGATGGACGGGGCGAGCCCTAAGCAGAGGCTTTGCACTCCCAAACGACGATCAATCAACGGTCCACCCGCCCTGGTTTGCAACGATGATTGATCGACGAAGGGGCTCTTGAAGAGTCTGGAAGTGAGCTGTCAATCCCGACCCGAGCTCGAACGCAGCCGCCACCCATGCGTGGTACAGACCAGGATTGATGGTGAGCGAGTTTCCATCTCTCGCCGGAGTCGTTGGCTGAGTCAACTCGATATCAGCTTTCAGCACAGCAGAAAACGCCGCAAGGAACGAGCTGTGTTCCGACACAGCTCTCCAGTTTCTGCACATTCAAATATCCGCCATTCCCTCATTTGGCGTTCTTAACGTTCGCGGAATCGTTTTGTCGTGTGTGTTTGCATGCGCAGGCAGTTGGTCTAGTCGCAGATCCGGCGGTCTTTACGCTGTTGATCGCATTCGCCATCGCCCTCCTCGTCCGTATGAGCCAGGCCGGTCCGGAGCCACTAAAGCCTGCGTTAGTGCCGAAAATGAGAATTGGCGAGCATCGGGACTTGCCTTGGTTCCACATGATTAGTGGAAATTCAGAATTCTCCGTCAACTAGCGGTAATGGCTGGATATGGCTCTCGATCGAGCAACGGCTGTTGTTCAAGGCCACTTGTCGGTCACAGCTCTCATTCTATTTCTCCGCATCAATTTGCTAACATATTGAATAGAACACGACCAACCGTTCTATGCGAACCAGTCCGAAATCGATGAGAAAGCGGAAACGAGACTGGAGAGGAAACGAACCGTGTCCTGGTCACTTGCGAATGATACCAGTAGGACGCACGCGGTCCAATTGTTCATCCCCCGGTAACCGTGAAATCGATGGACGCAAAGAGAGCGAAGCCCTATCAAACGTATGAACACGATACGGGCGAAAGTTATCCCCCAACCTAGGCTGCACGTTTTGCCCAGCTGCCTAACTTCCGCGACCCGTCTTTTGCCACCTCACTCCGTTCTGCTCTCAGTTCTCAAAGTGTTCATGCGGGATGCAATGCTGAGGCAGCCCGATTTCATCGTCATCCCATCCGTGCGCCTGGTCTGCAGCCACTACTCGCGGTGCAACCGTACCTGGATGGACGCATTGGATGTGGCACCCGTCCACAGCATATCCGCGTCGGGTCCATTTGGAAGACGGTGTTTGCGAAGGAAGTGGGGGGTGGGTCTCAGCTGCGGATCGAGTCGACTTGTTGGGGAGAGTCCACTCGACTGGTATCTGTGCCGTGAGTGTCGTCCAAGGAAGTAGACGACGACACAGGCTGCTCGTGCTTCAGGTCTGCTCGTGGGATCGACCGTCGTCGATATTGTGGCTGGCATTGTGGCCGGTGATCTGGATGCTTCGAGGGTGAGTCTTCTATGGCTCCTGTCGCACTGCTAATTCGTGTCCAGAGTCATTCATTTGGCCATGGTCTACGACGCAGGGGACTGGTCGGTGAGCATGGCGATTCGACTTGGAGCCTTTCATTCATGAGTTAGGGCGAAACAAGAAACTTTCAAAGGGCGACAAGAGACAACTCACTCGCGACTTTACCGCTAGTTTGTGAGCGATACAAGAGCACATCGTCCCGCGGAGCAGCTCCCATACCCCGCGTGTCCAAAGTATGAGATCGATGCACCTGAGCTCATAAGGAGTCAGCATGCGGATGATTGCCTAGTTTAGGCCCTTATTCGCTGCTTCGACCCTCGTTGATCTTTCACAATCCAAGTTCTTCGCTCGTCGACCCGGCACTGTGACCAACAGCCGATGGAGGAGCTCGCCGACCACGTCGCTGGCTGGTGCTGACTCTTATCAAGCTAGAAAACTTGATACTGGGTTTAGAGGCTCAACGAAAAACGCGCACGATTCACGTGGCAATTTGACTCGCAGGCGGTCGCCACTTCGTCCTGCGGCGAGGAGAGGACTGCGCGGTTTGAAGGTAGCGACGAGCATCACTGTGCTATTGGCCCATGCGAGACTCAGGCTCTGGGACGCACGACAAACCAGAAGGGGAGCGACCGCGGATAGCAATCGCGAGACCTGACGCTCGTTCACTCGTCCGCTTTGACCACAGAAGCCACGGTCATGGCCGGCATCCACGAGCGACCGGATCTTCTAGCCGTCGCGACTACTGCGAAGATGACGACTGAGCGCCACTGGCTCGTGGATCTCGATGAACTTGAGGCGAGAGGCGGAGGGTGGAGCTCGGGTGGGCTTGTCGAAATAAAGAGTGTCGGCGACTGCTCTGGACTCGCAGAATGTATGATTATCATTGCCTGACAGTCGCGTGGAGCTCATCCTCTGAAGTCGGGTCGATGGAAAGTGCTTATCTCCCGCCCGGCGTCTATTCTCGCGGTCGCCACAGAGCTGCATGCTCCCTCCTGTTTCCCGACGATGACATCGGGAACTTGCAGACATGGGACGGCTGGACAGTGCAGAAACAGTGGCATTGTCCATCGTGGAAGTGGTCTGTGCCCGCAGGTGCCGACGATATCGGCTCGTTTCACCATGCGGAAGTGGTGTATCTTCGTGCGCGGCCGCCGGCTGTCGTTGGATGTCATAGAGGATCGAGGTTACGGTGCTGATTTCAAGACGATCTGTTTACTCCGCACTTGTTCGCCGAGCTGATTTACATAAGCAAAACTCCTGCTTTTCCGTTGCCCGTATCGATCTCCACTGAGCAGTCACCGGTGCCGTCACTTTCCTGGGTGTCAGCGCGCTTCCCTCGAAATCCTGGTCGCACATCCATGCCACTCGCGTTCAGGTGGGCTCTCGAAGAGCTCTAAGCACACGGAAATGAGACTCTCAAACGACCGAGTTGCACGTTTCCTGGATGTCGTCGTTCAAGACGAAAATTCACACACACAGGCCCGCCAACATCGTAGACTGGCAAGCGCTCAGGACGGAATCACATTTCTCAGCTGGGGAACGGCGTTTGCTACGCTTTCCGCCATTGTTACTGATGACGCATGACTGACGTCGACTCCGCATCTCGCTTCGCGTCCTCTCGAGCTTCGCAATGTACAATCTGGTGCTTTGCTGTGCTCTGCCGCACAAGTTTCTGTAAGTTGCAAAGACATCGATGATAGGTGACATGATAGTTGGCATTGATTTTCATCCTCAGGTCTCATTCTCCATAAAGACAAGAGAGCGTATCCGAACATGATCCGTTGAGCCGTGCCTTGCCGGGCTCACTGCTCCCTGCAGTCTCAGAAATTTTCTTCGTCTACGGATATCACAGCGATCACGTGCGAACTTTCCGCGACGACATGTGATTTCACTGATAAACATTCTATAGTACGCAAGGCCAGCACCTCAATACACCAACCTGAAAATCTCTGGCACGGATTCGAGTGAGCACTTGTGGAGAGTGATTCATATCATGAGGCTTGTCTATGGGAAAATCGGAACCGACGATGTATGCACTGGTAAACGAGTACGCGGGAGGGAAGCTCAAATCCAAGCAGACTGGATTTCAAGTGGCCTCATGTCTATGAAGACAGCTGGATTTCGGAGACCGCAATTTTTCACAACGACATCGCCCGTTTCTCTTTGAAATTTAACGGCGGAACGAACATGGTCGCTTTCGAACCTCATATCTGGATGGGTGGACGAATCGGATTCAGAATCGAAACCGTCGATCTACTCCGTCGAATATACTGCATGCGAGAACCTCCTGACTCTGCAACTGATCTCTCCTGCTGCTCGTCGCTGGCTGAAAGTACCGTGACATGATATGAAATATAAGGAGTGTCTTGTGACATGGATGCTGTATAGTATGAAATGATATCACAGCGAAGAGGGATCGCCGGATATGATAGACTGTGCAGAAAAGTGTGAACGCATAAGTACAATAGATAAAGTATGTATGTGAGGAGGTATACAGTAACAAATACAGAGAACAGCACGACGCTCACTGACTCCTGGACGCATGCCATGCATGAATGAGCGCCGAACCAGCACCTGGCTCGAGTTCAGTTCCATCTCGCGAGATCTTGATTTCGCGGCCCCGATTCCATGGATTGAAGATGTTGCGCGTCCTCTTGAAAGGCAGAGGCTCGAGGCACAACCAGTCGACGGTAAACTGCCCGCTGAGATCAGATCCCAGCTGCTGGCCTCGAGTCGAACTTTCAGGCCTCAGGGCACTGCCCAGCTCCGGTCGATTGATCGGCTGCGTTGATCTTTCAGGGTCCCCAATCCTGCGTGGGGACAATTGGTCCAGACTGATGCTTCGGCGGTGCATGTTTCCTGCCCGATAACGCTGGTCGAAGGTCGACGGGGAAGACATCAACACATTCGGTGCCGATTGAGTGATGCCAAATGGTGAAGGATACGGCGATAGAGCTGTGTCTGTAAGCCTTGGTGATGTTTCGTACGCGGCTGGGTTCGGCAGCATTCGAGGAGCCTTGGGGAAAGCCGTGGAGAGCACTCGGCTGCTCATTCTGTGGATGACATACTCATGAACAGAGTTGTATCAAATCAGATGACCCACGAACCGGGCATAGCCGTAGAATCGACCACTTTTGTTCTCGCTGAAAAACAAGATGACCTCCTCAGAGGTGCGGAAGGCTTTATCGAGCACCACCTGGTTGTGCATTTGGATATACCACACCCCATCGGCAGCACACCGATCGAGTTCTTCTTTCGTCTGCGACTTGAGCACGAAAAAACGCCGTTTAAAGTGCATTTGGAAGAAGCTAGATGTCGTCGACGTGTCAGAAGCTGCACCGCTCAAGTCTTCTTCGAAAATTTCCATCGACTCCGAGTCCACGCCGGGTACCGAACGGTCCTTGACCCACTGCCGATGTAATCCCATCCCTCGTTGCCCACCGACTCCAGTCCAGAGATCATCGTCGAGACTGCGAATGCGGCACACGAGCGAGGAGCCCCAGGACCACTCTGGGCGCAGATACTGTCCGTTTCCATACTCGATCGCAGCATGCAAATGGGCCTCGCTCGCAAGATTCACGAATGCGCAGCTGGATTTGGAGAGCAGGACGATCGACAGAACGCCATGATCGTCGACTTGAGTAAAAAAATTGCGAATATCGGTTTCATCGGCAGATTTGGGGATGTTTCCGACCCACATCGCCCATTCAGACCGATTTATCGGTGCATCGGGGTGGTAGACTCGACGCACTGCTGGTTTCCGGGTAGGATAGGAGGCTACAGTGGGGGTGGGAGATTGTGGGTCCGCATCACTCGATAACTCAGCCAACGACGCATGACTACCGGAGGATTGGCGGCGTGGAGCCCGTCCTGTGGTAAGGAAGTAAGCAGACGAGGTCATGGCAAGACACTTTGCTTACTCGATCTTCGCATGATGAGATTGTATTGAGACAAGAGACTTGACCGTTACTCCGCCAGTGTGGGCCAGAATGGGTTGAGCTCGCAGTGGTGAAGTCCGATATCCTCTCTCCTTACGAAATCCTTGTTCCAGCGCTGCTGACATCATCGAAAGGACCCGGTCCTGTGACAAAACAGCGTCTTTTGGGCGAGTAGGTCGGAGAATGCGAGAGTCTGTCGAAGGTGATGGAAATTGAGGGGGGCACGATTTACAACTTATTGTGCTTTGTGATGCACTACGGCAGATCGTCCGACGTCTTTCATTTTGAACAGTTGCATGCACGGACTCGAAAGCCGAAGTTTTCGCCTCGTATTCCAGTGGACAAGCATGGCACCCCGTCCGCGAAGCTTCCGCTTTGCGAGCACCCGTTTTTGCTCCTCGTTCGTCGATGCCCTGAGCACTTTTGGATAGCAGCAGTCGGAAGCAGTCGATGACATGAATAACCTGGGAATCCAGTACGTCGCAGCTCCCCATACGTCTCCTTCCAACATGCGAACGACTATCATGCCTCCCAGCTCAAGAGACCTGGTGCCCATCCTAAGTGGGCGTTCGACGTTGATGCTCCTGTCGAACACTCTTCGGAGAATACGCTTCAAAAACTGACTCGCGTTCAAGATCTCGTTGCCGTCACCGAGCAGCAACATCATCGCTTTCACGGCTGTGAGTTGTTGTACCAGCCACGATAGATGATAATTTGGACGGAAATTGCTGCTCCAAGAATAGCCTCTGGAGATAATCTTCATCGCAGCTGAATGCACCGGCAGCACCACCAGGATCCCTTGACGGAAGCCGTATTCGTCGCGACGAGCATTCAGTGTCTGCTGGGAACCATCCACACCTACAGATGAATCCAACCGTTGGAACAGACTGCATCCTTGCGTCCTTGGCCTTGTATGATAGACTCTGGTCGAGATTCGTATTGCGCAATCGGGATGCGATTTCTACTCTGATTCGGGAGCCAGAGAACATTTGCGGCGGCTGCATCCATTATCATGGTTCTACTGCTTTGGCAACCGGAGGATCAAGACGAACGGGGAAGGTTCGGGACAAGCGACTGTAGAAAGAACGGGCCGTGAAGTCCAGATCCTTCGGCGTGGAGTCTTTCATGATATCTTGCTGAGGGGATCTCTGCCGCCATGAAATTTACTGCCTTTGGGCAAGACGAACTGTCGATGGCAAGCGTTGGTCGCATAAAAAGTGTTTGCATCCGGAGAAGCGCCGTCACTCCGATGAGGTTGCAGTACCGTGACCAAGACACGGAGCCATCCTTGCAGTGCCACTCTGGCGACTCCCACTTGTCCAAGATCGAATGGCCTGATAGCGTTGCGATGGAGGATGAACTCGGGCGCAAGCATGCTCTGGTCGCGCAGCTCAGTAAGGTCGCTCGAGTTGAGCGGAGCGCTAGTTCGTCACCGAGTGAGATTGCAGTTCTGAATGGAGGTGAGCAACAGGTTCTCGTATAAGGAGCGGCCCCGCATTGACAGGGCTTTTAGGTCCGACGAGTAGAGCTACGAGAAACGCACGAACCTGAGCGATACCCCGCATGATTCCGCACTTCTCAACTAATCCTGCCTCCTCTATCCGCAGAGCTTCTCTCCATGACTCAAACACATTCGCGGTGGACGCAATAGAGTCTTGTTGCGAAGGACGGTCGTGCGGAAGGGGCCGGCTTGCTTCGCCGATTCGCTCGAGTTGGCGAATACGGGGCTGGTCAACCGTCTGGCCACCGATAATACGTGCAGTGTTGGCTCTGGCCGCACTGCCACGCCGTCTCGTCAATGGCCTCTATGTTCGACACGACTACTTGATCATCCGCTAACGCATGACACATGCGTAAACTTTCGCACAGGTCAGAAAGGGTTGGCGTAGCATGCGATCAAGACTTGGTCGCACCTCTGCTTGTCGCGTCACATAACTATCTTGGGCCAATCAGGAGTTGCATGGCACTGATCGAGGTTCTTCAGTCGGATGCGCACTTGGGTTGCTACTGGTGGGTTTCGCTCGTGTTTGTCTCGATCTCCCGGCTGATAGCGCTTTGGAATCAGTAAAAACAAAGTGGCGGTACTGCCATTCAGTAGTCAGCAAGGAATCCAGCTTGCAGACATTGAATGAACCCGATCTCGATCCAGTCCTGACAGGCTGGCTGGTGACGTCGACCCAAGTTTCCAATGAGCAATTGCGGGTTTCTTGGAGTTTCGCCACAAGTGTGCATCAGGATTGCACTGGGGAAGTGCCGATTATGGATGATTGTGTAGATGAATCCTCGACTCTCGACTCGAACACTGACTCGTTGGCCATCGAAACCCAGGCAACTGCCCGCGTACCAGCTACGAGCTTACCAACGACGTCCCTGGAGATAGAGCTATTCGAGTCGGCAAAGAGTAGGCGGCAGCGGCGGCGGCCAGCACACGCTCGAGGGGAATGCATGGGCAGGTCGCATCTTTACACTGTGTCGACATTGCCCGAGTGTCTAATGGTCGTGATAGAAGGATGGCGGCTTGGTTTGGCTGAATCTTTGGGGCTCCCATGTCTTGGAAGTGCGGAAGAGAAGGGCGGGTCCTGGAAGACAGACAACAGTCTCAAGACATGGTGCACGACTGACTCGTCAAGTCACTCCCGGCCTGGAAAATGACTTTTCGACACCGCTTCGTCAGTGGAGTATCGCCTCGTGAAAAGGGCCCACTTTTTTACGAGGTCGCTTGCCCGACATCGACCTGGCTGCCTATTGCAGTATCCTCCCTTCCCGCTTTCCGTCTCTGTCCCTCATCAATTTGAAACAGGGCTTGGCCAAACTTGTCGATTTCTGGACCTCAAATGATTCGAAATGACTGAGCTCAAAGGCGAATGTGTGTCGGTATCCACTGGCGTAAAGCACAAGGGCACTCAGTTCGAGGTCGTTGGACGAGGATCAATGCGACTCCTCAATCGATCTCCATTTGTCTCACATTGTCAGTCCTTTACATAATCCGGATCGCTCTGACTTGCTTTGTCTAACCTCTATCTTCTCTTTGCTTGAGATTCCAGTCCTCAGAGGCTGGACCCCCCATTCGGCGGAGTCGGCACAGCTCAGTACATCTATATTCAGACGCATCGCTTTTTCGATTCGTCCCGACCTGTGCACAGTCCTCGCTCAAATTGGAAACATCTGGCTGTCTTTGTGTGCTCGCGCAGCGCCCCCTACTCCTGCACACGATGCCCGGGCAGAGTGCATAACACAGGAGGGACTTCTGCATAATGAGTTCGGATGAATTCTGCTTCTCTGACGCTCATGACGAAAGGCTACGATGTGCCGCATTCCTGGTCTCAGGATCGGATTACTATCATTGTCTTTCTGTGCGTGACATCAGCCCGATGATGTCAAGGATGACGTGGAGTGAGCAGCGGCCTCGAGTTGTTTCGATTTCGACCATGGTCGCTTGCCTCTATCCTGTCCACAATGCACATCGAGTCGCAGACGCACGAGTTCAAGCTCTCGGCGCTGTTGAAATTGCGGCGGTAGAGCTTTTGTCTGTCTCGCGCACCGTTGCCGACCTAGAAAGGTCTAGAGCACACCTTATCAAACAAGACATTAGCGGAACTTCCGAGGGCCTGTGTCAGTGGAGTAATTATGCCACAGCCAGTACAATTCTGCCGTCTTTAGCAAACTATGTTCTTCCAAAGTCCATGATTCAAGTTGAACTAAGGACTGCGAGCACGGTAATGAAATTCTGTTGGGGAGTTGGCACGTGACCGGAATACCGAGACACTTCCGCTTCTTGCCTCCTGTGTGCGGCTAGAGTAGATCGAGTAGCCTCAACGAGCTCATGGCGATTTTCCTCGAGAAAGATATGTGAGCGCTGAGTCAACCAGTTTTATTAACTGATTGTTGTCTCATCTCGATTTCGGAAGCTCAACTAGAGCAGCGCGGCTGACGATGAAGTCACATGATCGCGTCGACATCGTGCCATCACGATCGGAGGGAGTAACCTGCGTGACTGGTTTGATGGTGCGGAGGTTGCCGCGTTGCCAAGCAGTCACGATGAAGCAACGACAAACATCGACCGAGGATTGCGACAATTCTTGCTCTTGCTCTAGCCATTCATCCAATGCGGAAACCTCCCAAGGTCGAAAGACTCCAGAGGAAGGACACTCTTGCGCTATCAGTAGCCTCCGAATCTTTATCTTCCCGATATTTTCATGATGGAGATGCCGATTCAGCTTCCATTCTTTGCTTCAGATCGCAACCTAACGTCAATCTGCTCAGCGACTGCCGGGCAGGCTTGGGAATCTAAAGTTGTCGGACCGTGGCCGCGCTGTACTCCTTACCTGATCAATTTGAGATATGTAAACAGCAGAGGCACATACCAATCCTGTGGTGAAGTCACTGAAGTGTACGTACAGAGAAATTCTTGCTTGTCTTGTCGCTCGACTTTGTGATGCATTAGTGCGATTTCATCTTCGTTCGGGCGCGACGTATCCCAAATTGACAATGTGGAGAATCATCATCATGATGAAGCGTGCATGGTGTACTAAGATCAAAACCCTTCTATCCTCGATCTGCGCTGTGCATAAGAGATGCAACCCGCGGATACCGTGCGCGTGCGGTGTTCTTCATTCCTTTTTTCCTCGCCCGGGCCTCTTTTCTATCGTTTCCATTCGTTCCTCCTCGCGCTGCGAGTCGTTCTCTATCCAACATTTCTCAATCCTCCGCCATTTCTCTTGGACTTGTAATTATGGGCGGAGTTGAGCTCCTGTTCGTTTCTCTCTCACCACCACTCTGTCTCCTTGCTTAATGAACGTGTCACAGTTTTGGCCCCATGCTACTTGGTGCGTTAGGGCTTCGGGCGAGAGGACGAAGGGCCTTGATTGAGGAGACCTTTCTGCAGGCGTGGTGCTCAATCTCATTCTATACGGGGTGCGTTCTGCCATGGGTATCATCTCCGGTCTCGTCAATTCTGACGCGCTCTGTTCGTCGTTGCTTAGATGATCGTCATACAAGTCCGCCGAGCCTCCTTGAGATGCATTCCGCTCATTAAGCCATTCTAGATGTCAGAATACCGTCGCCGGTTTCCCAAGTGCGCAACTTTCGCTCGTCTCAGAGCCTCCGTCCTGATCCCCCTCAGTGACCTCAAATGGATCCGACTGCTCGTTCGTCACGCATTACGCTCGTCGCTCGTCGCATCACGTTCATCACCCGCCACAGATGCACTATCTGATGCTCGTAGAGACGGCCAATGTGGTTGTCGAGCTCGGCATTATCTTCGAGCCGTTGATTGTCAACTACGGTGCGCTTGTGGTCGCCACCTATTGCGATTGTCTGCGGCTGAGAAACTGAAAGGAAAACCCGAAGCCTTGATCTTCGCTCCAAAACGTGAGTGGACTGCAGGTTCTAACTGGGCATAATTGACAGAACCAATGCAGTCATGGCAGGAGGTGCGTTCTTAACCCTGCTATCGTACTGCACGCTAATCTATCTTTTGAGATCCGATCTTCATTGTACGTCTCGGAAATGGCCTGGCGTATCACAGCTGACTCGCCATTTATAGTCGATTGTGGCAATGCCCATCCAAGTCTTCACTGCTTGGAGACTCAAAGGTGTGATGAGCAATTTCCTGTATCGTTTGCGTCTCAAGCGACTTCAGTCATCACTCGGTCCTACATAATGCCAGCCGTGATCTGTGTCCTCTCGCTGACATCCTTCGGTACGCGGCGTTCTTTTTCGAGAGACCGTACGGATTCACATGTTTAGGATTCGGAGCGCTCATGTCCATTAACGTCGGAACAACACGCCGGTTCAGCGACTTTGGGAAATTCACGGTGATATCCGCGGTCTGGCTAACTTGCAGCGCTGTGTGCGACCTTGTGATCGCTATCTCAATGAGCTATGCCTTGGTGAGGCCGATTCTTCTCTATGCCGCACCAGTACTCACTCCTCGGCCGAAGCTCAAGCGAAAATCTCCTTTTGCTGGGAATGTAAACGGATATATCGATCGGATAGTGAAATGTGACTTTGATCGTTTGTCTGTTTCTGTTCTAGCTGATGTTCCCGATAGTTGTTGTTGGGACAGGGTCTATGACGGCTGCAGTGGCTCTCACAGACATCCTCCTCTTTCTCCTCGTGCCGGTACGTGCTGCCATGGAAAGCTGATAGCTGGAGGCTTACGAGAAAACGTCTCAGCGCACTTCACTGTATGTCGCCGCACTCCCTTTCATTTTCAGCCACGTTGACCAAAAGGTCCAGTAACTTCCTCGTGGACTTCCCGCTCTCGAATCTGTACACTATATCTATGATCACGATGTGGGTCTGATACTTAGACAAGATTGCCTCTCATGACATCATACCAGGCTGCTTTCTCGCGACCCGGCGAAACTGGCACAAGCGACCAGTACGACACAGGTGCCCCAACTGGATGGGCTCAACGAGAAAGCGGCGAGCAAACGGGCGACTTTCTCCTTTGCTGCCTTGCAAGAAAGGCCTGCCTTCGATCCAGTGGCCTCTTTCTCGACTACGGAACCGGCTGACATCGAGATGCAACTTCCCCGGTCCTTGCAGAGTCCGGCGGTGGACACCCCGGTGTCATCCAGACCCGTGACGCCCGTGCGATCGTTCCCTGTCCGCCCCATCTCCCGTGCCAGAACGCTGAGCCGCGGTGGCGAGTCCGAAGACGAGAGCGGCAGTGTTTCGAGCAGAACGAACAGGATACCGCGCAAACCTGTGCCGATGCCCAAGCGATACGAAAATCATCGGCACAGTCGGTCTATGGAATCAGCCAGATCCATGGAGGTGGGCGGGCCTCCGTTCTTCTCGCATCGCTTGCAAAGCTCATCCGCTCTATTCTCAGCGATTGCGGGCGTATCGTTCCACAGAAACCCTGGTGTCATCGGCTTCAATGAACACCCTCGTATCTGATGCACGAGCCGAAACGTCCAGTCCACACATCAGACCCAGCGTTGAGCTGCCCGCAGAACTCGGCCGGCGCCAGAAACGGGCAGTCGAGTATGATACAAACGCGAGATACGCAGCCCGCATATAGCTACTCTAGTATATACCATTACGAGTGCGCTTTCGCCTATCGCGAATGTCGCTGTCCGTCTTGCCCAAAATTCTCGGCCCCGGAGCAGAGCGTTCTCGACACAACGGGTGGCTGGGGGAGAGCTTGCCGCGAGTGGTGACAAGCAGGACAAGGATTTAACGGGTATAAAACGCCTCTTGGGGACGTATCATCCATTATCCATTTGAGTTCTTGAGGTCTGTAGAAAGACGGGTTGTATGCTGAAAGTGCATTTCCCGGTGGAAATTTCGTCTCAAATGGGAGTCACGTGCAAACCTTCCGCTAGGTGGAGAAACGCACTATCCGTCAACCGTCTGTTCGTTGTCCGTGGCAGTGTATAAGTTGATTGGTAGCACAGCTAGAGCATCGGGCCCCACGGATACGAACATGTTCATACACTTGTAAATACAGACGCCGTTTTCGTGTTACATACATTACGAAGCCATCGTTGGCGCAAATGATCCTCTAGCTCTTCCACCACGGAAGCCACCTCGCCCTCTCGCTCGGTCAGGCAGGAAACCACCACGACCCCTAGGTGGGAGACCATTTGAGGCGGGGGGTCCTGTAATGAAGGGTCCACCTCGGCCTCGTCCGCGGTGGGGAACAGGATGGACGTTTGTGGCAGCAGCCGGTGCAGCAGCAGCAGCAGGGGGAGTAAATCCCCCTCTGCCTCTGTTCGGGTTGGCCATGATGGCAACAGGAGTAGGACTGCGGGATTGTTCAGCAGAGTTTCACAACGCGAACAAAGTCCTTTACCGGAATTGAGTGGCTGCGCCATGTGCCTGTTGCTGTTGATGGGGATACTGGTGTACGTGTCGGTTGGGAGGAGGAGCAGGGTTCGTCGACGTGACATATTGCGGTTGTGACAGATTCAAGCATGTATTGAATTCCACGCTCGAGCCTCGGTACATTGAGCAACTTTATGACTGTCAGTTCCGAGTCACGAGAACAGAAGATGCAACACACCGATCACCCAGTGTTCCGCCTCCCATGAACGGCACATCCCAGACCACATCCATGGATTTTGCATTGAGCCCAATCACCACGCCTTTCACCGACAAGGGCACGCTCCCTGAATCCTGGACCATCACAACTCGGTCTCCGAGCGCAAATCGCTGGTTCTGCAAGCGATACACAGCGTGGCTCGGCTTCAACACGGCTTGCCGAGGAATGCCTTTCACGATGGCTTTCTTGATTCCCTGGGTAGACTTGGATTCTGTGAATGAGTCCGCCAGTTTCTCGATCTCCGTCACCGAGTCCTAGGAGCCGTCAAATTTGTCCAAACGAAGGGGCACATAAAGGCGCACCTTGCCCAACTGGTCACAGTACAGCGAGACAGGCTCTAAATCCCTGACCCCTTTGCCTTTGAGCCAAGCTTTGGCCTCCTTGACTCGCTGGTCAGCATCCCCTTTCCGGAAGATTTCGCTCGCTTTGGCAATTGCTACTTGATTGTCAGCGACTTCAACGAACAGTCGAGCTAGCCCGCACCATCGCCCGGGAGATCCAGCGACAAGAACAAGTCGGGGAAAGTGGTCTAGACTGGTTTCTTAGCGTCATCGGACAGACCCTGCCAACCGTACAGACCAGATATTCTTTCAGCAACGCAACTGCTTTGTCGCTAAACTCCCAACCTCTCACTCCCTTACGAGAGTAATCGATGACCTTCATCCCTTTGCCCTCGAATTTGAGACTCAATCCCAGGTTGACTTTGGCGCCATCTGCAGTGATGACCAAAAAACTGCTCGTGATCTTGGACACCGCCCGGCTCGAAACACCCAACTGGTCAGCCACCCTAAACGAAGGTAGATACGCTACGGCGTGGCGTTGATCGACCACAGTCTTGAAGCGCTCATTCTCTGCCTTCTCGGTGGGGAAGAACGCCAAGACGACGGAAAGCGTTTTATCCGTGGTTGCTGACACCTGGGCAGCGACGCCATATGCGTGTTCGCCCAAGAAGAAGATTTTGCTGCCTTCAGGGAACTCCTCGGCCAGAGGCGGAGCCGCTCGCTCAAGAAATCGCGGATCTTCAGACGCAACTTCTGACAGCGTCATCTGGACAGCATGCTCCTGCTCTTTGTCTGCTCCTTCGTAGTCTTTCACAAGCGCGCCGGATTCTAGCCGTTTCATGCCTAGGATATGTTAGCCAATGAGCGCGGGCGAAAACTTCTTCACCTTTCAAAGGCCTGACATGCAGCAGCACATCTACATTTCCCGTGACCACACCCATTCGCTTCGAGTAAGTTTGTTCGATCCGCTCTGCCTTTGATTTCCAGTGCCCCAATGCAGTTGGCGCATGAGGCGTCGAGACAATTTTGGCAGGGCCCCCGTGCACGATGGCCATCTTCTCATACTTGAACAACGAGTCCGATAGCGCCACGACCAGCCCTTCCTGTAAGAACGGCCACCCGACGAAGGTCCGCTTCCCGACCATTTCTTCGCCGATCTGCTGCAGATTCTTTTCCTCGTGCGGGTTCTGGATATGTACGATCATTGACTTGTTTCGACTCTCAGATCCATGGACGTTAACACCGTGAAATCCGAGAGAGGCGGAGTGCGGAAGCGTCTTAAGCGAAGGGAACCCAGCAAGCGCGTCGGCGCCGAGGAAGACACCATCACAAAGACCCTCTAAGAGATGTAGACCATCGAGGGTCGGCAGATCAAAAGTCTCCATGATGCAAGAGCACCTATACAGCGGTGGAAAGAATCCGGGCAAGGATGAAGGATAAAGGGTGGGCTCTCCGTGGTTGAAGCTGAACTTCACGCTCGCACCGAAAGTGTTGCGTCGCTTCTCGTCATCACTCAGCCGATGCTCTCGGGCTGTCCGAGAATCAGCATGAGAACAAAAAAAGGGAGAACGGCCCACTTTTCATCGCCGTCAGCAGCCGATCGCCATCTATGAAGGGAATTTTAACGACAGCCTCCCAGTCTTGTTTCTTCCCATTCAGATCCTGCTCGAACTCAAGCGGATAGAAGTCAAGGATGGGTGAGGTCGGGTTGTACATTAAATCCTGACACACATTAGTATCAACGTACACAAGCGCAGAAGACAATGTGGCACCTGATACGCGACAGGTATGTGGTCTTTGCTGGCGACGGGGAGCACGCCCATCAGTTGTTCAAAAGGCTTGAAGGGAGCACCGAGCTCAAAGCTGAACTCCATGTCAGCGACGTGTCGCAAGTCTGCATGCATTTGTCAACCGATGATCGAAGGAAACCGAACGGCAAACCTGATATCCTGGGTGCGTAGTGATAGTCGTAGAACCAACCCCACGATGCAACGCCACTATAGTAGTAGTGCATGACCCATTGTAGCCCTTCCACGTAACGATACATCAAAGCACCCATGGCTTTGGGGTCATCGTACGAGATCTCAAGCTTGCCCTGTCGTCCATTCAAGCCAGTGATTCATTGCTATGAAGATGGTGAAAACCCACCTGGTAGTAACCGCGCTTCCACTCGTCCATTTTTTCCCTGACAGATCGTGCATGTCGAGCTTCAAATCCTCCATCTTCGTCGTCATCCATGACAGGAGCCTTGTCGTACTTGCGCAATACTCGCTCGATTGCAGCCAAGCTCTCGGGGTCCTCTTCGTCATCATCGACGTCCTCCCACTCTGCATCATTCCCGTCCGGCACCTTTGCACTCTCGTCACTGTCGCCCTCTTCCGTTACTGCACTGGGGAAGCGCCACGTGACCAAGTTTCTATCCTCGTCGTCGAACTCATCCCATCGGAGTCCTAGGTGCAGATCCTCGCCTAAAGTTGATATGAACTTGCGATCTCGCGCAGGGAATTCGTTTCTCATGGAGAGGACGGTAGTCTTGGACTTCTTCGTCAATACAAAAGTCTTGACTTTATCGAATATCTCGCGCTGAGACACCGTGAGGACTGCATGTTGATCAATCGCGGTCGAGAAAGAAAGGATAGAACACCCACTCAGCTTTCCTCGTTTCCTCGCCAGCTCCATTTCGTTCACATGCTTGGCCTGCTTTCCCTTGAACCAATTGACATCAGCGTACTCCTTCTCGAAAACATCCTGCTCCCACAGAGCCATCTCGTCCAGCACAATCTGCAACCTCTTCACACTGATCGTCCCGTTCACGTTGATGTAACCGTCCAACCCTGGCAGGACCTTCTTGTACACATCGAACAGTCGCTCTAACCCGTTCTCGTGGATATGTAGATCGGGAAGATGAGGAAGGAAATCGTTGCCGACAAAGGCGGCGAGAAGAATGAAGTCATCGAGCACGCGCTCCAGACTGTACTTGAACGGAAGCAGCGACTCGATATCGCGGAACTCGAGGTCAAGGTACTCGCGAAGAAGCGAAAGATGCAGTAGATAGAAGTTGGTGGCCTCGAGAGAAGTGTTCCCCCGTTTACGCGCTGGCCCAAACTTGACTTCCTCCCGAAGGAGACAGAAGTGCGGATCGTGGCTGAGCAGACTGAGCATAATAAGGTCCGCGTCGAGCCCATACATGCAGTGCCGAACATTGGGGTTATAGTCCGGTTGAGCTCGAGAATGTCGGATGTACTCCATGATCTTATGCTCGCCCTCTCCTGGAACTTCGTGCCCAGAAAGCACCACTTCGACGTCCCGCCAATCCGAATCCTCCGTGATCTTCTTGTTAACGAAGTAGCGCAGCTGCTCAGACAGTCGAACCATGAAAGGTGTGCCAGGCGTGATGCAGTTACTGTCGAATGGCTTCTCTGCAGGCAACTGCTCCCCTCTCGCCTCCGCTTTCTCCCGGACGTCCTTTGCCTCCTTTGCTGTCCTGAAACGCCGGCTGCGTTGTTGATTCATCTTGGCTCGAGGAGCGACGCCGTCAACCGCCATGAAAAAGAGCTTCTTGGGCTTGATCTTCCCAAATAGGTGATCGACGTATCCAAAGATTGAGGTGAATATCTGCTCTTCGGACAGCCGGAAATGAGCATCCTCGTCGTTTGGATGTGAGCCTATCGGGTGTGAGGAGTGTCCGAAAGGTGTGAAAGTGCGCACAGTTATGAATGATCCCATTGAAGTCAAGATACAAATTGTCTGCCCCATGCATTGAGAGCGTTTTTACAACATCACCGAGTAGACGCACCAAATTCGGGAATCTTATTCTCTTGGATGAGTTGCGAGGTGAGTGGATAGCGTTCTCTTCCGTGTTCATTCAGTACCCCTTCGTTGTCGTTTGCGGAGTCCACTCACGAGATGTAACGAAAGAACTTTCTCACGGGAATCAGACATCACTAGGTGCAAGAAGAAGGTCGCAACAGACCTTTGGAATACCTGCATCAGAATGAACAAGAGGACAAGTGAGTTTGAAGGAGCTGCGACGTACCCATTACTTATGTGGAGAGCGGTCGGATGGCAGTGATCAAAAGCGTCTGATCGAGTTTCTCACGCTCAATGTTGCTGAGTCAGCTCCAACATGAGGCATGCACATTGCATGATCAATGGTCCTCGTCACTCAACGAGTAGCACTTGCCCAAGGCTTGTTACTTGTGGCAAGTAAAAGTGTCATTTCCCGTTGACCCTGAGATGTGTCAAGACAGGAAGGAAGAGCTTGGATTGGCAATCTTTCCGCATAATGGCTGACAAAAATTTCTTGTGCCACCTCATGACTGTGACTAGGAGAGCAGCTGTTAGGGGCACCTTTATCAGAAGCCTGCATTCAAAAATGGTTTGATCTTGACAAAGTTTTGCATATCATCCAAAGTTATTGCAGCTGGTCAAGGCTCAGGTACTAGTTGCACCTCAGGTGCATCTGTCACAGATGACACCCCCCCCCCCTCCAAGGCCCTCGGAAGTGGTCAAAATTGGGGCCTAACAGGCCCCATCATGGTCAGATGGGTCTGTGCTTCTGTGATCAATATAGTGACGTGAGCTTCTAGTACCTGCCTAATCTGGTAGCTTGCCATCAATTTTACTGTTATATTCTTCTCTGCAAGACCTCAATGGCTCCTCGCAAGTGTGCCACTGCTCAGCTGCCCCTTGGCATACCTAGCACCGGCCCCATGAAATGGAAGGCTGCTAGGGAGGTGGTTGACATACACCCGCATAAGCGCACTCAGGTGGCACATCTGCAAGCACGGCTTAATGCACTGCTTGCCAGGAAACCACTCCCCTCAATTCCCAGCTCTTCCCAGACACTAGAAGAGGATACTCCCTACTTCTCTGAGCCTCCTGAGCTGCCACAGACACTTCCTGATCATTCTGGGGATCCTAGCCAGCACTCAGAAGATGCATCTGTTCAGCCTTTGGTGTGACAATCAACCCAAAAACAAGTCAATAAGAAGAATGAATTTGAAGACTAGAGAATACAACCAAGTACCTACAGTATTTATACCCAAATCCAGTCTGAGTCATATCTACAACTAATGAGTCATAAGACTATGTACTGCATGGAGCACTGGTCATGGGTTGTAGTAGAACCTTCTGGAGCATATAGTGTTGTCCCAGGTCGGGTCGCGACCCGCGACCCGACCCGAAACCTGGGTCGCAGCGACCCGACCCGAGAGGTGGGTCGGGTCGGGTCAGAGACCGGGTCGGGGTCGGGTCGGGCTATCTGCGCGACCCGACGACCCGGGTCTCGACCCGGGTCACGTCAGGTGCATTGACACGTGAGTCCCTGGAGGTCTGCGGCACCCTGCAACGCAAGCGTGGGGTTCTGGATCGCAGCCACGAGCCTGCAAATGTGACAGGCTGTTGATTTTTACGTTCCCACCTTTGTCCCACCCTGCGGACAACCCCGCGATCACGCCCCGCACAAACCCTAACCTGAATTCCAAGCATGTGATGGCTGTCTCGCAGATGAACCCGATGAGCAAGAGGATGACGAAGACATCTAAAATATTGTTCAATGTCTATTTCTCGCTCACATACAACACTGCATACAAAATGTAATGCAATTTTTGTGTAATCTTCTGACCTCCCGACCCGGGTCTCGACCCAGACCCGACCCGCGACCTGACCCGACCCAGTCCCCCAGGTCGGGTCGGGCAAAATCCCTCGACCCGACCCACCTCTGACCCGACCCGACCTGCCTCTGACCCGACCCGACCCGACCCGGAACAACACTAGGAGCATATATTGCGCAGCCTTGGATCAATAAAGATGATCCCCTGGACCCCTAGCCTAGACCGTCTGATGCCATGATCTGTGATAAGATAAGATTGTTGATGATAAGATGAAAAAGTGGTCAAACTATGACATTACCCCCTCTGGGCCCTCTCTAGGGTCAATGTCCTCATTGACTGAGCCAATGGGTATGAAGGCATTTTTGTAAGGGTTGAAGAATTGTTGTTGTTGGAGTGGCCGGTTGTCGTGATGGAAGCAGAAGGAATGCTGTCTCTGTCTACAAACATCCTCGTGTGAACTATGGACTGATCCGGGGCACGTGACCCCTACTCCATGTGCCCCCATTTTAAATGGCGACGCCCTCGTCGCCTCTGACGTTGCCCAGGTCTTTCTCTGCTCGATGCAAACACCATTGCTCAACCTCATCGAGTTCGGCTTGTCTCAGCCTGCCCACCTCTGTTGCCTCATCCATCTTGCATTTTGATCTTGATTCGGCCCATGCACTTTTGAGTGCGGCCTGTGCTATTGCTAGCTGTGTCCCAGCTCTGGGGACGTATTGTTGAAGTCGTCTAGCATTGAAGACACCGTCTATGGGCGTCCCCTCGACTGATTCCAGCCGAACTGAGTGCAGCAGCTTGTCCTGCACCCTATGTGGCTCCGACCACCGGCACATCAGTTTTCGCTCGTTACTAACTGTGTTGGTCAGGTCGCTGCAAAACACCTGGACTAGGTCACCAATCTCGAAGGCCACAACCCCTGCCCTCGACCTCATCACCTTCCTGTCAAAGGCCACCTTGTGACCCATAGCGTACTTGACACGCTCCGCGTATCCGTCCAGTTGGAGCTGTTCCGCGTATTCCATGTGCAACACCATGTCGCTTGTCAGTGGTCGCGAACTGACGTCCGGGTGTTGCCCTGCGTCCAGTGTCGGTGTCATGAGTCCAAAAAGCAGCTCCCGGGGCGAGAACTTCACCGCCGGCAGTAGTTGGTCGTTCATTGTCTCGATGGCGGTGTCAAAATGGTCCGGCCAGAGTCGTGGTAAGTTGTCCTTTTTCGTGGATTTCCACGTGTCCTCACCAACCTCCGGTGCGCAGAGCCTTGCCAGAATGTACAGCAGGATCCTATTCGCTTCCTCAACCAGTCCGTTAATCCACGGGGAATATGCAGCGACTTTATGGAACCGGACCCATCAGCGCTCGCATAATGCCTCCACGTCCTTGTTGGCAAAGTGAGAGCCATTGTCAGACATGAAGACCTCCGTGCTGTGGAATTTGCTGAATATGTGTTCGAGTGCAGCTGTGGTAGATTTAGCAGAACCGGATTCTTTGAGCTTGAACCCCCAAACAAATTGTGAGAACACATCAAGGAACAGGCCGATGGTCTTGAAGCCGCCTTTGCCATTCGGCATCAAAAGGTAGTCGCCCACAATAAGCTCGAAGGGTTGTCGATGTGTAATGGGGTTCATCAGCGCATGCAGATTTGCAGGACCAAATCCTTTGCACTTGGCGCAGTCCGCGATGGCTCTCATGATGGAGTTGTCCAAGCCCGGGCTATGGTATTTGTCCATCAGTGCAAGCTTGACAGCATCGCGGCAAAAGTGTCCCCCTTTTGCATGCACGTCTACCGCCTTCTGGCAAGCTTCCTCACGGGTGAGGCATTCGTGCCGCAAGCGTCCCCTGACCCACCATGCCACCTCCTACGCGCCACAATCGACCCTCCTCAATGAAGTACTGTGATGCTTGGTGCCGGGCTCGCTTTCGGTCAGCCAGGCTGGATCCCAGATCCATTTCCATCAGTGCGTCCACAACCTCCTGATACATTGGCTCGTCCTTGAAGCGTTCCCGGAGTTTCATGGTGCCCTCGGGTACCCGGACTACCTCACAGACGAGCTCCTTGGTCCTGCGATCATTGATTGAGAACAAGTTGTTGGTTAGACCTGTCCGAGCCTCCCAGTCTGGGGAGACGCTTGACTCTCTCCCATTGCCTGGGGTTTTCGGTGTCCCCTCTGCAGCCTGGCTCAGTGCATCCGCCACGGCATTTGTCGACCCTTTGATGTGTTCCGCACCGACAATGTTGTAGCCCAGGAGTCCGTTCAGCCATCGAGTGTGTGTTGCATTGAGCTTCTCGTTGTTGAGGATATCGCGCAGCGCTTGGCAGTCCGTCTCCAACCAGATCGGCTGGCCCCATACAATATTGGAGAACTTGTCTAGGGCAAATTTTAGTGCGGCAAACTCCAATAGATGTGGCTGATACCGCTCCTCAGCCACTGATGTCCGCTTGGACGCAAATGCAATGGGATGCTGTCAGACCGCCACTCGCCCATCTGATGTTGTCGACTCCATTTTCTGTGAGAGAACACTGGCAAAAGTGTCCTTGCTGCCATCAGTGGTGATGATGAAAGGGTGTTTGTGGACGGTGTCGTATAGCGGGGCTCGAAGCACTGGCGTGGAAAGGAGGAGTTGCTTGAGCCGGAGGAAGCACTGGGTGTGTCCTGGGGTCCACAGTGGTTGCAAGTCGAAATTCTTCATGCCCGTCCGGTAGACTTGACGACTGGGGCTGGGCGGCATCGGCACGGACTTGAGGAGGTTCCAAAGTGGTGCTTCCTCTCTGGCATAGTTCTGGATGATATCCCGGAAGTATCCGGTCAGCCCCAAAAACGCCGCAAGGTTGGTTGCGTTTTCCGGTGTCTTCCATCCCACCACCGCTGTAAGCTTGGTGGGATCTGGTGTAACCCCTTGAGGGCCGACCATTGCCCCCGCAAACACCGCTTCCATCATGAAAAGCCGTGTCTTTGCCGCCGACAGCGACAGACCCTCCAAACGGACCCAATCAAAGACCAACTGCAGCTTGTTCATCATCTCCTCGAACGTATCTGCTGCAGATCCGCCGTCGTCCACAAACAACTCCATGACCCGTACCAGCAGGTCGCTGAGCTTGTCCGCACACATGGCACCAAACTCCGTGGGAGCGTCTGTCAGCCCGAATGGCATCTGCATGTAAGCAAAATATCCCATGCCTGGTACGAACATCACAAGATATGGCTGTGCGTTCTCATTGACACGTAGGGCAAAGAACCCTGAGGCAAAATCAAACACCGACACATACCAGTGTCCGGCCAGGCGTCTCTGCTTGTCCCAAATGTCACCTTGCGGCACAGGGATCAGTAGAGCCTTCAGCTCATGAAAGTTCTGGCAGATCCTCCACTTCTGCTCTTGTGGCCGCTCGGGCCGCGAGTTGCCGCGGGTTCCCAAGCCCACCTCTGTCTTGTAGGGTAAAGGTAACCCTGCTTGTTCGCATGCAATGTTGAGCTCACGCTTCAACTCCTCATGCGACAAGGCAGCACTGTCGTGCTCCTTCTGTGCCAGCTTGATAGGTGATACGCACTTTACGTCCCGGGGATGAATTGGGCAGATAACCCCAGCCTCGACCAACTTTTGTGTTTGCGCCTGTAGGTATGCCTCCTGTGGTGGTGTCATTGGTTTCTGGTGGACCTTCGTGCTGAACTTGTGGTCAGGCGGGATCTTTGGTGCGTAAGTTGCGCCCTCCACCGGGAACACCTCTGATACTGAGAGTGCAAAGATGTCGGCATAGCTGGCGATGAAGTCTTGAGCTTGCATCCATTGTTCGTCTGACAGATCTGGTCCAGTCTTGACCAGCTTCAGAATTGCCGCAACACACTCTGGTTTGAATGGATTGGTGGCTCGCGTGAATATTGATGTGTTAGGTACGTCTGGTAGTGCCTCCGGGCTAGCAATGTCCATGAAGTTGCCTGGTATGGCATCAGTGACCAATGCAACGATTCCTGGTTTGTCATCCAGTACTTCCCTCGAAGGGGGTGCGCTACTTCCCCCTGTCAAGTTTGCTTGCGCGTCCATACCCTGGAATGTTCCAGCCACCTCTTCCTTGCCTTGCTCATCCAGCCATATCCGCTCAGAAATGTGGTCCGTCATTGGAGTTGCCATCGCAGCAGTGATTTGTGCTCCCCTTGAGGGGGTCATCGGGAATGAAGACAGGACCCCCTGGAAGGGCACACATAGTCCCATAGTTCTGGAGGATCTCTTCCTGCCGCTGTGGTTATGCAGCAGGATCTCGGTCTCGCCATATGCACCCGGGAGCTTCACCACATCAGCGGCGAAGTCCTGTATTGCGTGTGCGGCAGCAAGAGATGGCTTGCTTCCCAAACAGGAAGTCCCAGCCGCCTTTGCTGTCAAAGACCTCCAGTTGAACAGCCACTGTCGTGCCACCCACACAGACATCACTGTCCCAGTGTGCCACCGGCCATGCAATCGATCTGTCCGCCATCCTCAGCGCCCGCTTGGATGGCACTCCACCTCCCAGCTTCTCCTTCAGCCTGTTCCACACCGACACGTCCATGGCGCTAACCGATGCACCACCATCGAATAGCGCGTTCACATGCGTCCCGTCTCCTGAACTATCCACCACCGTGATTGGATGCATGAATGGCGGTGATCTTCCGGTGTCCACAGCATAGAGCTCAAGCACTTCGTATTCCACATTGTTGCAAATGACATGCAAACCATCTATGTTACAGGCACCGGGGCTAGACTCTTGCCCTGGGCGCGCGGAGTCACTGCTTGGGCACTCACAGTGACTCCCCTGGAAAACCCTGCTCGTCATTGTCGTCCATCCAGCTTCCCAAAACAGCGTTGACAGCAACCGGCGCGGTGCGAGGAAGGTTTTTTGAGCAGATGCGGCGGAAGCGCCGTTCGGGGAGAGGGATTTTGGCGCCGTCACAATCCGCGGCATTGTGGCGCGGTGCAGTGACTTTGCCGCAGTTCCAGCATTCACTGCTGCCAGGCCAGACCGTGCCCGGCGACAGCGGGACTCCAACCTCCTCCACGGGACGTGCTGAACTTGTCTCTTTCCAATGCTGGAACAGCGTGTTATACCAGGCTACATCCGTGGCGGAGGTTGAAAGCAGCGGGGCGGCAGATCGCATCCGTTCTACCACGCGGATGAGGTTGGCCTTGGCTTCCGGGCCCAGAATCTTGGGTGATGAGGTAAATGCGGGAGCAGGGATGTGCGTTGACGAGATGTTGGTGCGGCCCAGCTGAGTGCGGATGTGGGTGGTGGGGGATGCAGGGATGGCTGGCGGCGGCACCCTCAGTCCGCATGCCCGCAGAACGGCCAGTTCTGCTTCGACCTTCTGGGTTCTGGCTTTGGCTTTGACCATATGGCGCTCCTCCTCCGCGGCCTCAATGAGCTGGGTGATGTCAACCTTCTTGATTGCCTCTGTGAATGCGGTCCAGTCCTTTGGTGCTGGGGGCGTTTTGTCCTTGAGCGAGTCAGGGAAGTGGTCGCGTACCGCCCAGATGTTGCTGCTTGACTTGTCGACTCCGGCTTTCTTTGCGGCGCGCATCAGTTTGCACGCAAAGGCTATGTGTGCATGGGTGTCGACACCGCCGAGAGCAATCTTGGTGCCTAGCTCATCAAGCCCAATGCGCATCGCTGCAAGCTCCTTCTCCTATTCCTGGGAAGTCTTCTCGGCTGCTTGTGGGATGTCAAACTCCTGCACGAATGCGGCGCGCGCGGCCGACCACGTTGTGAAGGGGGTAGCGCTGGCCTGTGCCGCCTCCCACCAGATGTCGGCGGCTTTGCCCGCAAGAAGGGAGTCGCCGAAAGCTTCCAGTTTCTCTGGTTCGGCCAATCCGAGACCAAGTATCCGGTTTGTGAAGACCCTTGCAAAGTCCTTGGCTGAGACGTCATCAGCCCCTGCTTTGCCCGAGTACATTCGGGTTTTTTCGGCGTCGGTCATGCGTGCCGTGGTGTTTTTCGGTTTGGGGATGTGTCGTGTAGGCTGAGTGAGGGCAGTGACAACCGGGGGAGTGGCAGGTGCAGCGGATCCAGTGGTGACTGCAGGTGCAGCGGATCCAGTGGTGACTGCAGGTGCAGAAAATGTTGGTAGAACATTTGGGTCGAGCGCGGGTGTGTTGGAGCGAGAGATTAGCTCAAATGGTGTGGTAGAACCGCTGCCACGTAGCGTGTTCTCGGGTGTGCTCGGTCTGCTCGTATGCTCGGGCACATCCGTTGTCTCCAGGGTTCTTCTGAAGCACCCTTTTTTGTCTCTCAGGTGCAGCTCTCGGTTGCTACTGCATCTGCTGCGGTCGGCCACGGTAACATTGTCTACTGTTATGCATGCTGGGTTTCGGTCAATGCATGTGAAACAAATGCAATTGGGCGCCAAATGGGAGTCCGTCTCCTCCCTTCATTGTACCATTGTCGCCCGATCTGGTGCATCAAAACCAACCCAGGCCCTCTGATCCCTACCTCGCCCTCCCGCTGCCTGAAGACGAGATTCCCGACCTTGACAAATTGCCCTCCAAACAACCACCTTCACCCCCACCTACCACACCTGCTCATACCATGTCAGGACATCACTGCATCACTCTCGCTGCGCCCCCCCCCTATTTCGATGGGGACAAGTCCAAATATCTGGGTTTCGTGGACTTGCGCACCACCTACATTGGTGCTTATCAATTGGAATTCTCAGAGGATACAACAAAAATCCTCTTTGTCCTCTCCTACCTTGGTAACAAGGCCGGCACAAGCTGCACCACTTCAAGATGGGCGATGAACTGGAAACAGCACAACTTTGAGGGCCTTAAGGGAATTAAGGCAGGGGTCACCTCGACGACCTTCTTAGAGGAGCTTCAGAGGGCCTTTGGGGACTCAAATGCAGAGCAAGTCGCCGCCGCTTGACTCATGGCCCTGCGCCAGAACAAACAATCCTTTGCGGTGATAGGCTGGCTACCAGACGCGCTCTGCACCAGCTCTGTAAGGGCGTATTTTTGCGCTTTTTACAGGGTTTACTCTTGAACCACTCGGTGTATCATGTCGCGGTTGACAGTGTTGCAATCAGTAGGGCTTAAGGGTCTACTGCCCAGTCGACGACTGTGGATAGTGTCAACAATGGCAAGGCAGTCAGGCCACTACTGTGGAATTGGTCTTATATATCTACACCAGACTCTGGGCTATTAGTGATGGACACTTGGACCGTGACAATTCCTCAAAAGGGATACTTTGTTGTGGCGACTTCTCAAAAGGGTCATTCTCTGCAGATGGGAACTTGGGCTGAAGGGCTGAGCAATGTGCGACGTTCTCAATATTACAACTACTACTGGACAGGACTTGGTGTTACGAGATTGAACCAATCTTGTCGCAGCAACTCCTGGTTTTGGGTTGGACGTTTCCTCAGATCATGCCACGGCAACGACTTGTCACATGTCAGGATCCATTCGATCACGGGACATTGTGGACGCGTCGCGGTGACACTTCCAAGTGTCATGGCAAGTTGCGCCCATTGACACAGGCTAGATCCGTGAACCGAACCATGTGAGGAACGACTGGCGTGCCTAGGACCATACAGCTTCTTGGAGCACCCACGTTGGACTCACTTGCCAAGACATACCAGTTGGCCAATCCAGCACGTTGTATTCCAGAAGTATGACGCGGTGGGTTGTCCCACATCAAAAGCACTATATGGACAATGGGGTGGGGTCCTGATCAGTCAGGACCTGTCCGATCGTTCAACTTTTTCATTGCCATAAAAAGCAACCGATCTTAGATAGCGTAGCTACTATGCAGTTGTACAGGACTTGACTAAGCATTGTCGTAGACAGTATAAGTAGCACGTCGTTTCTTTGTATTGGGGAGCTTTCCCCTGGACTGTGAATCATATCCATATCTGTCAGGGGAGACGTGTCAGCAGGATGAGGTCATCGGTATTGATCCGGCGGTGTTCCGGCGGTGATCCGAGGGTTATCAGTCAGCGGTGTCATGCTCCTTACGTCATCTACTTGTATATAGATAGTTGCTGGGGATCTCTGATCCCCAGTCTTGTTATCGACTTGGCCCCTGGGCTCCACTCCCCTTACAGCATAACAAGACTATTCTTCGGCTCTGGCACTCCCCCTAGCCCCAGTCGACCACCCTATCTCCTACTCTGCCCTCACCCTACCCTCGACCCTACACCTCCCACACCATGGCTACACCCACGGGCCACCTGGATATCTATTCCTACTGCGAACTCTTGCGACATGAGGTTCAGCGTCTCCACGACCGCCTGGACCGTATGGAGCATGGGAACACTGCAGCCTCTACCCCCCGCGGTCATGCCTGGCGCCCTGCCTGGGATGGTGCTCGCTGGCAGTCTGCCCCCACTACTCCAGCCCCTACCCCTGCCGTCATTGCCGTCGGCCACACCACCATACCACTTGCTGAGACCCTCCCTACTGCCGCCGGTTCACCTGGCCGCTACTCCTGCACGCTCGTGGTGCCTGACTCTGTTGTTGGGCATATCGTTGGTCGAGGCGGCAAGGGCCTTCACCAGGCTCACGACACTTCCGGCGCTCAACTGCGGGTCTACACCGACAAGACTTCTCCCGCCGAACGCCACGTCTCTATCCGGGGTACCGACCAGCAAGTCGGTGAAGCCCTCATTGTGCTTGGGAAGCGCTTCATGCGCAAGCGTGTCCGCACTAAGAAGACGGGCCTGCCACGCCCTTCTGGGGACCCTGCCCCTCCCCCTCCTGGCCCTGCACCGGCGCCTTCGGACATAGCGATGCCCGAGGCCAGCCCGCTCAAGGAGCCCGCACCTGCGGCACGACGCTCCAAGACTCGGCAGCAGGATCCACCCGTCCCGGCCGCCTCCGGCCCCCCGCAGCCACGTGAGGCACCTCCGCCCACAGCTCCGGCTCCGCAGCACCGGGCACGGGCTCGATTCGCACCACAGGACTCTTCCCTTCCCGCCCCGGCTCCCCTACCCCATGAGCGTGCGACTACCCCCTATGCCCCTACGCACGCCATGGCAACCGCTATCCCTACCCCCCAGCCCAACTCTACTCCATTCGTCCCCTCGGTGGCCATGCCCACTGCAACCTCTACCCCTCAGTCCTTCACCCCTGCCGGATCGCCCATGGCCATCGACTCGGTGAGGACCAGGGTGCCTCGGAGGCAGACGGCACGGCGAGGGCGTGGTGTTCTTGGATCGGTCGCCCGTACTGACTCCCGCGGTAATCTATTGTTTCCAGGCGATCCCGGCTACGACCGGGCGTAAACCCTACAAGTTCGGGGTATACTCGTCGAGGCGACGAATCTTGAAGAGGGGATGATGTCAGGGGAGACGTGTCAGCAGGATGAGGTCATCGGTATTGATCCGGCGGTGTTCCGGCGGTGATCCGAGGGTTATCAGTCAGCGGTGTCATGCTCCTTACGTCATCTACTTGTATATAGATAGTTGCTGGGGATCTCTGATCCCCAGTCTTGTTATCGACTTGGCCCCTGGGCTCCACTCCCCTTACAATATCAGATTGTTTTGTACAATTTGCATGTCATGTGATTCCTCCTTAAGAAGTTCTGCTACCCCTGCCCGGTTGCGACAAGTTGCTCCCTGAGCACTTGTAGCTACTGTGATTTGAGTTTGAGTTTGAGATATCAGAAAGTCGGACGCGCCGCATCTGGTTTAGTCGCGGCACTTAGTGTCGTTGCCTTTGGGCTTCGTTGAGATCGTTTCCACACCTCTAGTTTGGCAGTGCGTCGACTAGTTGTGCTCGGGTTGTTTTGGTCAGTTGGCAGTGCGTCGACTTGAGAACTTTGGTTCCACACTTCTTGCTTGGCAGTGCGTCGACAAGTTGTGCTCGGGTTTTGGACATTGGATATTGGCTGTTAGTTGGCAGTGCGTCGATGCGGCATTTTGGTTCTACTAGTTGGCAGTGCGTCGACTCAGTATATTGGTTGTATCGGTTGGCAGTGCATCAACTTGATATTTGGGCTTTGCGTTGCCATCTGGACGCTGTCGCTAAAAGGGATCTTAATACTTTGTATTAAGCTCTGACTTGTGATATTGTTGGTTGTGGTTGGATTAGTGTTGGTTTTGTTCGTATAGAAGATATTGGTTGAGACACCACTGTTTTGCTATATATATATATCCTTGTTGTCGACTCCGCCTTCTGCAACTATTGAATCCCGCATCTATTGAGAGTTGTGATACTGGTGTTCTGTTCACCCCGAAGCCCTTGCATCTTTCACACACTGAGAAGCTGATTACGAGGAGTGTGAACGTGTTTATATTTGGGTTTACTTTCATAGTAGATTCACTTGTGAGCGCGCCCTCAGCATTTCAGCGGATTATATCTCCGACTTCGAGATGTTGGCAGCAGATGTAGGATACAATATGGTCACCACCACCGATGACAAGGGCGAGTACAAGAAGGGGGATTAGGACAACATTCTGATCGAGTTCCTTGAGCGTGGACTCAGCAGCGAGATTGCCAGCTGCCTCTACAACACTGGTGTCCCTTTGCCCAAGGTGTATGGTGCCTTCAAGGACTGGTGCATCAACATTGAGGCAAACACTCTGCACGATCAACTACGCAAGGCATCAAACAGACACCCCACACAATGACCATCTCCCCAATTCCATCCCCAGGCTGCACCCGTGGCACCCGCACCCGTTCTGGCCCAACTGGCTGCTAACAAACTGGTTCTGATGGAAATCAATTGCACCAATGCCTGTGGCTGCAACATCATCTGCTACAACTGTCAGCAGCCTGGACACATTACGCAGGTCTGTCCGGAGCCAAGAAAGAAGCGCGCGTTCTTCAATCGGGCCACGATGCTGGAAGAAATTGAGAATGGGGACAAGGACAACAAGTTCCTCAAGGAGATCACTGAGAAGCTGCGCAAGAAGGGTTTTTGAAACGCTCCACTCCTCTAGCCAAGGAGGTGGAGCATCTGGACTATGGACGTTTTTCTGTACTTGTTTTGATTAAAGATATAAACAATATCCCTCATCATACATACACGCTCCCTGACTCACTACATACTAATATTCACAATTTTCTTGTTGCCGAGATGGAAAAAGAACACAAGGAAAAAATAGCTCTAAATAGAAAATACCTACAAGATAAAAAAGCCCAGAAGATAGCGGCTGCAGATAAATTATTTTTGGACTCCTACGTATTTATGGCTTGTGGAGAAGGAGCCACATCAACAAAGACCAAAAAGGGGAGTACTGCTCTGGAGGCTTGATCCTTGGAAAAGGAGGGAGCGCCTGAGGAATCTGCCAAAATCAAGGTTCCAGACGCACCCAAATGCACAAGGGTGCCAGATGCCGTCCAGAGAAGATCAGGAGCTGAAAATCAGCAGGGCCCCCAACCCAGCAAATTGGCGCAAGAATTGCGTAGCTACCAGGTGGAAAGGAAGAGGCATTTGATGGACGTGTATGTCCAGGTCACGGGCTTAGATTTGGGGAAAACATGCAGGGTCAAGGCTCTGCTTGATAGTGGTTGTAGCACCTGTTGTATTGATACCAACTACGCACAAGCGGAGAGATTGGACATCCAAGAGCTTCCACAACCCATTGTAGCTTGTAACGCCAACAACACCAAGAAGATCAGCAGTCAGATCACTCATTACATTGACCTGAGGATGAGAATTGATCCTCATGTGAAGACATGCACATTCCTCCTGACATGTCTAGGAAAAGCTCAGATCTTCACTGGTCTTGATTGGTTGACAGAACACAATCCCAAGGTGGATTGGCAGGAACAAACCATGCAATTCAGCTGATATCCAGAGCAATGCTACATGAGGGGTCATGAGGAGCACCAGGCAATGATCAATATGGATGCAATTGACCTGGACATGGGCACACCAGATCTGGAAGAGGGGGAATCAATTCTATTGGTCAACTTTGGGAAGGAAGTGTACCTATGGCTGAAGGAAACGCCAGCACAGAAATTTGCAGAAGAAGCAGAAAAAGAGAAGGAGAGAATGACCAAGGAAAAGATTCCGGATCAATACCGGGAATTTGTCAAAGTGTTTGCCAAGGAATTGTTTGACTCACTACCAAACCGACACACGTGGGACCATGCAATCAAACTCAAACCTGGTTCCAAGGCAGTGGACTGCAAAGTGTATCCACTGTCACGAGACAAACAGGTCAAATTAGACAAGTTTCTGGAAGAGAATCTGGCTAGTGGACAGATCTGGTGAAATGCTGAGGGTGAGCTCACAAGTGAATCTACTGTGAAAGTAAACCCAAATATAAACATGTTCACACTCCTCGTAATCAGCTTCTCAGTGTGTGAAAGATGCAAGGGCTTTGGGATAGACAGAACACCAGTATCACAACTCTCAATAGATGCGGGATTCAATAGTTGCAGAAGGCGGAGTCAACAACAAGGATATATATATATATAGCAAAACAATGGTGTCTTAACCAATATCTTCTATACAGCCAAAACCAACACTAATCCAACCACAACCAACAATATCACAAGTCAGAACTTAATACAGAGTAGTAAGATCCCTTGTAGCAACAGCATCCAGATGGCGACGCAAAGCCCAAAATATCAAGTTGACGCACTGCCAACCAATACAACCAAGATACTGAGTCAATACACTGCCAACTAGTAGAACCAAAATGTCAAGTCGACGCACTGTATAAGGGCAACTCCTGCCAGCCCAAAGGAAGAGAGCACACAGCACACAACAACCTCACATGAGTCTGAGAACGGAGGGGGATCCTTAGAGACTATCAAATACAAGGGAGGTATACTACTCACCTGAGCACAGAGGGGGATCCTTAGAGAACAGTTCAAGGATCCATGTGCCCAGGTGTCACACTATATAGTTAGCTGTGACAAGTGACTGATGATGATGGAATATCACTGCCATGGAACAATGGCAGATGACAAGAAGATGATGACAAACCCAGATAAGATAGTGAGCGGCTCAGAGGGGTCAGTGATAGCCAGCTCCTGAGACACCAACAGTGGAAGGCCACACTGGAGGAGCCCAGTGGCCAGGCCAGTGCCGGGCCGGCCAGTGGAGACATTGGAGGCAAGGACCAATGCCCGACTGGGAAGAGGGGTGGTGCGGATGAGCGCAAGGGCTGGTATAAGCCTGTACGGCAGTAGACCACATCCATGGGAGGAAGGCTGAAGTAGAGGGGGAGGAGTGTGTACGGCAGTAGCACTCCCGGGTGCAAGGAATTGGGCTTGGCTAGACCGCTTGCGGGGATTTGAAGGAGATGGCCGGGGGAAGGAGGAAGAGGGCGGACGTTGGCACAGATGGAGGTGGGGATCAAAGGAGGAGGAGGAGGCTGGGTGATCAACAGGTGAGCAGGTACGGGTCGGCAGAGAGGGCGCAGTGGGTCATGTGCATGGTCACGTGCCCAAGGAGCGTGGCGTCCCCTGATACACTGCCAACTAACAGCCAAATCCAAAATCCAAAACCCAAGCACAACTTGTCGATGCACTGCCAAGCAAGAAGTGTGGAACCAAAGTTCTCAAGTCAATGCACTGCCAACTGATACGAAACTACCCAAGCACAACTAGTCAACGCACTGCCAAACTAGAGGTGTGGAAACAATCTCAACAAAACCCAAAGTAACGACACAAAGTGCCACAACAAAACCAGAAGTGGCAAATCCAACTTTCTGATGTCTCAACTCAAACTCAAATCACAGTAGCTACGAGTGCTCAGGGAGCAACTCATCATGACCAGGCAGGGATAACAGAACTTCTTAAGGAGGAATCACGTGACATGCAAATTGTACAAAACAATCTGATATGGATATGATTCACAGTCCAGGGGAAAGCTCCCCAATACAAAGAAACGACGTGCTACTTATACTGTCTACGACAATGCTTAGTCAAGTCCTGTACAACTGCATAGTAGCTACGCTATCTAAGATCGGTTGCTTTTTATGGCAATGAAAAAGTTGAACGATCGGACAGGTCCTGACTGATCAGGACCCCACCCCATTGTCCATATAGTGCTTTTGATGTGGGACAACCCACCGCGTCATACTTCTGGAATACAACGTGCTGGATTGGCCAACTGGTATGTCTTGGCAAGTGAGTCCAACGTGGGTGCTCCAAGAAGCCGTATGGTCCTAGGCACACCAGACGTTCCTCATATGGCTCAGTTCATGGATCTAGCCCGTGTTGCTTTTAGTGTGTTTGGGTATGGGCGCGACACGTCCACAATATCCCGTGATTGAGTGGAACATGGCATGTGACAAGTCATTGCTGTGGCATGATCCAAAGGAACATCCAACCTAAAGCCAGGAGTTCCCACAACAAGATTGGTTTAATCTTGTAATGCCAAGTCCTGTCTAGTAGTAGTTGTTATGTTGAGCACGTCGCGCATTGCTAAGCCCTCCAGCCCGAGTTCCCATCTGCAGAGAATGACCCTTTCGAGGAGTCGCCACAACAAAGTATCCCTTTTGAGGAATTGTCACGGTCCAAGTGTCCATCACTAATAGCCCAGAGTCTGGTGTAGACTTATAAGACCAATTCCACAGTAGTGGCCTGACTGCCTTGCCATTGTTGACACTATCCACAGTCGTTGACTGGGCAGCAGACCCTTAAGTCCTACTGAGCACAACACTGGCAACCGCAACACGATACACTGAGTAGTTCAAGAGTAAACTCTGTAAAAGCGCAAAAATACGCCCTTATAGAGCTGGTGCAGAGCACGTCTGGTAGCCAGCCTATCACCGGCAATCAAAATCACTAATGGCATTAGTGTTCTTCTGTGTCAAGAAAAAGGATGGCTTGCTATGCCCTGTCCAAGACTATTGGAAGTTGGACAAGATGACCATCCAAAATTGATACCCGCTGCTGCTTATCTCTGAACTGGTCCATAATCTATGCGGCACCAAGGTCTTCACAAAGTTAGACATCCGGTGGGGGTACAACAATGTACAAATCAAAGAGGGCAATGAGTGGAAGGCTGCATTCCATACAAACTGCAGACTGTATGAGCCCTTGGTCATGTTCTTTGGTCTCATGAATTCCCCTGCAACCTTTCAAAACATGATGAACAACATACTTTGGGAACTGATCAACAAGAGTCACATGGTAGTTTATCTTGATGATATACTGATCTTCAGAGAAAACTTGGACGGACATTGGCAGATCACAAAACAAGTGCTCGAATTGCTCCAAAAACACAAGTTGTACCTGAAACCCGAAAAGTGCAAGTTCAAATGCACAGAAATCAAATATTTGGGTGTAATTATCAGGCACAACTCAATGCAGATAGACCCAGTCAAGACTAAGGGCGTGATGGAATGGCCTGAGCCACAGAGCTTAGCACTGCCAAATGACACTGGCCAATATTGTCTAGAAGCCGATGCTTTGGAAGGGGCAACAGGCTCTGTTTTGAGCCAAAACCAGGACAGTATTTGGCACCCAATTGTGTTTATTTCACATACATTGACTAACACTGAGCAAAATTACGAGATCTATGACAAGGAAATGCTCGTGATCATGCTATCATTGGACAAATGGAGGCAGTTACTGCTAGGAGCCACGGAAACATTTGAGATCTTCACCAATCATCAGAATCGCAAGTACTTCCGGAAGCCGCAGAAGCTCAACCAACAACAAGCACGATGGATCACGGAGTTGGCAGAGTTTGATTTCACCTTATGACACCAGCCTGGCGCGCTCAACTGCAAGATGGATCTCTTATGTCGATGAGCAGATCACAATCAGGGCAAGAATGACAACAAGGACATCACTTTGCTGAAGCCCAAATTCTTCCAATCACAAGAAGTCACATTTGAAGGGCAAGATCAGCAGCTGATTGACGAGATCAAGGCTATTTGATCAATTGATGGAAGCATTAAGGCAGCCTTGGAGAAGTCACTCGTCAGATCTTACCCATGCAAAGAAGGTCCTGAGAGCTTGGCAGAGGAAACAATTCAATCCAGACACACACATTCACCTCCTGCCAACGCTCAAAGCTTGTCATAGTTTGGCCACTTTTTCATCTTATCATCAACAATCTTATCTTATCTTGGCATGGGTTATCTTATCATGGATCACAGCATCCAACGGTTTGGGCTAGGGGTCCAGGGGATTATCTTTATCGATTCAAGGCTGCGCGACATATGCTCTTGAAGGTTCTACTACAACTCATGACCAGCGCTCCATACAGTACATAGCCTTATGACTCATTAGTTGTAGATATGACTCAGACTGGATTTGGGTATAAATACTGTAGCTACTTGTTTGTATTCTCTAGTCTTTGAATTCACTTCTCTTTTCGACTTTGTTTTTGGGTTGATTGTCACAACTTGCCATTCATCCACCTAGTAGTAGACCCAGCTAGGTCCTTCTAATTTTTTGGCTGCGCCAAAAATTGTGCTTCTACATAGTATGTACTTGCACTTCTTCTCCTATCTATCTGCTGCAGTGCCGTTGGGCTGCCAAATTTACTTTGGAAACCAGCCCCAGACCTTGCTCATATTGTTGGATTATGACAGGCTTCTTTTATAATCCACAATGAACCAACTGATCCTATCACCCACCTGCTTCATGCCAGCGAATTGGCAATGCAACATCTGTTCCAACTACTCCCTCGAGTTGCTGCATGGCCTGGTCAGGGTGTGGATTTGAGATTTCGGGAATATGCTACACCCTAATTTCTTTGCATCTGCATGTTCTTTCAAATTGCTGTCCTTGTCATTCAGATAGATGCACTATATCAATGACAAGTGGAGAGGTAAATGCTATTCACACATTGATGGTCACTTCCTCATTTATTCTGTTTCCTAATCCCCAAGTAGGTCCGAACAGGTCCGAACATTGGCTCATGACCTCTCAAACCACTGAAGGAGACTCAGTTGTAATGAATTTAAGTAGAAAGTGGATTCGTCATTGCCGGGAGGAGACTCTAACGGATGAGCGATGAAGTCAAAACCTCAGTCACAAGTTGCCAGTTTTGCACAGACGTCTCACCATTGGGTGAACACTAGCTTTGTTGTCTGGAAAAGGCAACTTTGGCTAGCCGATATGCCCGCTGAGTGGTATAGCCCCAGGGAGCGGTCCTCGCAGCTGCGGTGCGTGGTGCCTCGATTTCGGCCAATTTGGAGAGCTCGGGTTGTTGTGTCCAGGCGGTTAAACGCGACAAGGATCAATCGATCACATTTGATCACATCACCCTAATGGCATACACAACGCCATATTTATCCGCAGCATTTTATATTGCTTTGAACATGGGTGGGAGCTGCCTCCTTTCTGTGCCCCTGCACTTGAACAACAATGGACGCGGAGAAGGCACCAGCAATGGACATCCCTTCGGCTTCCCCAACAGTATCAGAAGGGACGACTGCACCACCTGCCCCTGCTCCTTCCATCCCGCCCTTCTCTACTGGCATCTTCGATAAGACTCCAGCTGCCTCCGCAGCGTTCAAGATATATCTGAAAGTCATGGTTGGAGGTATCTTCGCATTATCCTTGGTCATATTCGGAGCTTTCTTGATCTACTGGGGCAGCTTGTGGACAACACCCAAGTATCCTGTGAAAGGCTGGATTGTGGACTTTGACAGCGGTTTCGTTGGGCAGAGTGTTCTGTCAGCGATCAATGCCATCCCATCTGGGCGGGGTATTGCCTGGGAGCCTATGCCTCCGTCGCAATTTCCGGGAGGGGTCGCTGATCTCGAGGAAGCTGTGAGGAAAGAAAAGATGTTCTACGGGCTTGCCAGTGCGTCCTGTCCATTGTTTTCTCGACACTGGTTGATGTGTTCCAACTTAGTCAACGTTGGCGCAATGGCTAACTACACAGCGGCTCTCTCAAACCCTACACCAACTTACGATGGATCCAACGCCCTCTGGTTCATCGGCGCAGAGGCAAGGAACGAAAACCTGTAGTACGTATCAAGTTTCTCTTTTGCTTGCAGTCACCGTAATTGACCAGTTCCCAGTCCTATCCATATACAGATCATACTTCCTGAATTGAAGTCAGTGACTGAGCACCTCAGTTACCACCGCCAACCCCCCGTAGTAGACCCCGCGGGGGACCTCCTGGGTACCCTTAGACATAGCTCTATGGGTACCCAGGAGGTCCCCCCCCCCCCCCTGCGGGGGTACAGGGGGCAGCTGGCCATTTTGGGGCAGGGGGATGGGCGGGGGTCAGGGCGGGGGTCAGGACGGGGGTGCCCATACATACCATGTGACTTGTCCATAAGAGCGGGCAGCTGGGCAGGAAAAAAAAATCGATCACATGATGTATCAAATGGGCGGGATGGCAGGAAAATCATGTGATGAGCTGCAAGAAAAATTTCAAAATGGCGGGGGTTGGCAGAGGCATTGGTGGGGGCGCTACCGCCCCTCCCGAACACTGCAGCGGGCAGTGGGCGCATTATCACGTGACTTTTTGGGGGCCCCTTTTTGCACCATTTGGCATGATTTTGGAGGTGCTGCTTGATAGATTGCATGTTGTGGCAGACAGTGGGTGCAAAATCACGTGATTTTCTGCCAAAAAAAAAAAATGGAAGCCTCTCTAAATCATCCCAGTATAATTTGTATAGGTAAATACACTAATTGACCTTGCATTTGAGCTTAGAAAACCCCAAATGCACCCTGCACAATAGGATTGTTGATGCGCTTGATCCCATCATCTGGCGGGGTCTGCCGCGGGGTCAGTCTGGCATATTCTATATTTGACCTCCTTTAGCCGTAGCAGTAGTGCTGCTGACCACCAGGGCAAGAATACAAATATTCATGAAATATCTTATCAAGGTAGACAAAGCCAATAGGGCAGGTGAAGATGTGTAACTGGATATTGCAATTGATGCAGGGCCCAGTGCGGGGTCTGGTGCGGGGTCTGGTGCGGGGTCTGGTGCAGGGTCTGGTGCGGGGTCTGATGTGGGGTCTGGTGGGGGAGCAGGGGCAGGGGTGGATTACACAAAATTTTGATGTATCTACTCTGGCTAGGGTTGTAGAATGTCACATAACTTTTCTCTATTTTGGCAGGGAATGGGGGATAAAGATACACAACATTGCCCGCATGTTTTGGCTGGGTCTCCAGGTCAAGTCATGTGATTTACCAATGTTTTGGTGGGGGGTAGGAGATTAACAGATGATGTTACCTATATAATCCATGGCATGTGAAGTCAAGCAGAACATGTGATTTTCTCATTTTTTGGCTGGCAGGATGGGTGGCATAGTAGATTGGCAGACCAGGGTCCACACTCCACTCATTGATTGTTTGCTTTACCCATTTAATATATATGTGTAGCACAGTGGTATCCATTTTTGGAGCTTGTAATAGAACAAATTAGGTACACATCTCATCCCCCCCTTCCTGGCTGAATGCACTTGAGGTTTGAAAGTTGTGTGTTCCCTTGCAAGCGATCTGCTTGGGTTTCAGCATGAATTCATTAAATAGAGTGGATTTGAGGTGAACTATATTCATTACTTGGTGTGATGTGAGAGGATGTATTTACTGGCAAGTTGTCCCACAATAGTCAGAGCTTGGTTATCAGTGCAAATTTGACATGTAAACTCTTAACAACTTGTGTCTTGGCTTGTATCTTTTGGAAGACCAACTGCAAACACATGGCTGATTGTTTTTACCAATGAGTCTCTACCCACCCCAGCCATGACTACCTGCCTGCACCCCCACCTTCACCCCCGCCCCCCCCGCCAGCACCCCCGCAACTACCCTGCCACTGATTGACCCCTGCCATCACCCCCGCCACACCGGTGCCTCAGCCCCTGCCATCTCTGTAGACGACGGATCAATACGTAAGTCCTCAGTCCGACCTTAGCAAATGGTAAGACCCATTGATTACCTGTAGACGACGGATCAATACGTAAGTCTAAATAATGTAAGTACCATGGGATAGTAATAGATGACACAGACGTACCCTCAGTCCGACCTTAGCAAATGGTAAGACTGAGGGTACGATACAATCGGAAAAACTTATATAGGTGTCAGAAAACGATCGGAGCAAACAGATCCCAACACCTGAACGCCTATGCGCCCAATATGGGATCTCAACAATCTCTGAATATGTAATATTATGTAAAGTGACAGCCCGGAACACATCAAGTCAGTAGCCAATCAGGACCTGTATAAACGTCGTACCTAACTATGTTTTGCTCTTCTGAGACTGTTTTTACATATATGCAGCTAAAAACCATCGGAATTATGTCTCCCTATGCTGTTCTTGTTGAATATAATGCCACTTCATGTCCTCTGTCAGCCCCAAATTCGAAACATGGAAACAGCTCATAGTGACTCAATGTTCCTACATATATAGAGAACACTTCAACATGGTTCACTTTGCATGTTGCGCAAAATATATTTTCTGCAAGGGCCCAACTTCACACAGCCAAAGGATACACCCTTTGGCAATGCCTGAACAAAATCTGGGGAGTGCTGGACCCTGTAACGATTCAAAAATACGAAATAAATCCAAAGTATAGTGTATTTTATAATGTGGGATACGGGCCAGTTTAAAGAGATGTGAGCCTCTGGTCATCTTGAATATGGTTTCTAACAATGTTTCGGTCCCCTACCTCCTACCAGACAACCTCTGTTCTCACTGGAATGTGCAAAACCCACCCAAGCTTGTAAAATCAATTGTCGCCCAGAAACAAGAGCAGTCAAGTTCCTTTGTTGGAATTGGGTAGAGGTAACCGTGAAGTTGCTTGGGCTGCAGTATAAAAGCATGGGAATGTGTTTCTATGTGTGTTCATCTGGTTGCTCCACATTTGATTGGCCAGCAGGGGCTGGCGCACCCCCGCAGTCAACCCCGCCCAATCCCCTGCAAGAATTGTATTCACAAGGTTTCTGCGCAATTCTTTGTCAGGGGCCTGTGTATTAGCACACTCATTACAGTGTCTCAATGTGATGTTCACAGGTTATATTCAATCCAGCAAATGATGCTTGTAACAGCTGCATCAAATATGCTATTAAAGAGAGTGAAACATTGGAGATGCAGTCATCCTTAAAACGCAGGAGGACCACTTCAGCTGTTCGGAAGGGGAGCAGTAGCCATGACTATTCCTGCTGATCAATGTAGCTGTGACTGGACAACCCCCTTGGGGGATTTGCTGAACACATGTAGTTGCACATTTTTCAATATGTTAGCATCTTTTGAAGCCACAAACTCCACCAAAATGAACTGGCAAAACCATGCTTTAATCTCCTACCCCCACCGAAACATTGGTAAATCACATGACTTGACCTGGAGACCCAGCCAAAACATGCGGGCAATGTTGTGTATCTTTATCCCCCATTCCCTGCCAAAATAGAGAAAAGTTATGTGACATTCTACAACCCTAGCCAGAGTAGATACATCAACATTTTGTGTAATCCACCCCTGCCCCTGCTCCCCCACCAGACCCCGCACCAGACCCCGCACTGGGCCCTGCATCAATTGCAATATCCAGTTACACATCTTCACCTGCCCTATTGGCTTTGTCTACCTTGATAAGATATTTCATGCATATTTGTATTCTTGCCCTGGTGGTCAGCAGCACTACTGCTACGGCTAAAGGAGGTCAAATATAGAATATGCCAGACTGACCCCGCGGCAGACCCCGCCAGATGATGGGATCAAGCGCATCAACAATCCTATTGTGCAGGGTGCATTTGGGGTTTTCTAAGCTCAAATGCAAGGTCAATTAGTGTATTTACCTATACAAATTATACTGGGATGATTTAGAGAGGCTTCCGTTTTTTTTTTTTGGCAGAAAATCACGTGATTTTGCACCCACTGTCTGCCACAACATGCAATCTATCAAGCAGCACCTCCAAAATCATGCCAAATGGTGCAAAAAGGGGCCCCCAAAAAGTCACGTGATAATGCGCCCACTGCCCGCTGCAGTGTGCGGGAGGGGCGGTAGCGCCCCCACCAATGCCTCTGCCAACCCCCGCCATTTTGAAATTTTTCTTGCAGCTCATCACATGATTTTCCTGCCATCCCGCCCATTTGATACATCATGTGATCGATTTTTTTTTCCTGCCCAGCTGCCCGCTCTTATGGACAAGTCACATGGTATGTATGGGCACCCCCGTCCTGACCCCCGCCCTGACCCCTGCCCATCCCCCTGCCCCAAAATGGCCAGCTGCCCCCTGTACCCCCGCGGGGTCTATACAGGGGGTTGGCGGTGGTAACTGAGGTGTGACTGAGCGGCTTGCGCTGCAAATGGCCAGGAATCTCACGCAGAGGACCAATATCAACACTATCCTCTCGACTGCTCCACAGCTGTTGACAAGTCCCATTGGGTACACCATTGACAATATCATCCCTTTCAACATACCAGTCGCTCAGGCGGTGACCTTTGTGGGTTTGATCTATCTACTTATCCTCTCCGTACATCTCTTTTTGTCTCCATCTGTGTCTGTTCTCATTTTTGCAGTGCTTTGTTGTGGTGATGGCCAATGGCGCGAGACAGGCTGCTGGCTACGACCAGCGACTAAAGTTCACGTCCGTTATCCTCCTGCGATTCATCTCGTCATTCGTTGCCTACTTCATCATCTCAGTGCGGTTTGATCCTGCGCGTCGAACATTTACTGACTGACTGCCTCTAGCTATTCTATTCGCTCCTTAGCCGGGCCTTCCAAGTGCCATTTCCACGGCACTATGGTCACGCCGGCTTTGTCATCTTCTGGTTTCTCACATGGGTTGCCATGATGGCCACCGGCCTTGCGCTTGAGGCCATGATCACCCTCATGACCATCCGCTTCGTCCCGTTCTTCCTCATCATCTGGATCATCTCCAACGTCTCGACCTGTGTGTTTCCGCTCGAGGTTCTGCCGCACGTTTATTGTTACGGATATGCCTGGCCCTTTTACAACGTGGAGAAGGCTGTCAGGGCTATCATCTTTGGGACCAAGAACAACAGTGTGCCCGCTCCCTTTGCTTTTGTGACTGTTCCTGCTGACCTGACGACCTATGTAGTTGGCCTCAACTTCGGGGTTTTGTTTGCATGGATTGCCGTTTCGTGCATCACGATCCCGTTGTTTACCTTTCTTATGCGACGAGGAGCCACATCTTAAGACAGGCTAATGTTCGAATAGAGGAGACAACCCATCATATATCTCCTTTCCATCTCGCTGTACCATAGCTCAGATTAAAGTACAGAATCCGGAATCCTGTCAATGACTATGATTCCGATGCACATATTCGACGTTTTAGCATTCCTGGGAGTGACCAGCTAGTGTACAGACAATTCAGTGTCACCCACCCGCTGGATAGGCTTGTGGCAGACTATAGGTCTATTGCGACTACCATAGTTCCGACTAATTTGCACGCGCGAGCAACACCTTCCAAAGCCGAAACGACCTGGCATTGTCAGCAACTGCCTGCACAGACCACTCCCCTGACGTACGGTGCCACTATTTTCACCATGTCCGGTGTCCAGTATTTGCGAGCTCCCGAAGTCATCACCGGGAAACAGGAGGGGAAGGGAATCAGCTCTGCGACCACTGCAAGAACAGAAGCATTGCGTGGCAGGTAAGTCTTCTCCGTCGGCCCGACTTCCAACGACGAGCTTCAATGCGACTGTGCACGTCAGCCGCTGGTAATCATTTGTTCCGGCGCACTCAGAGCAAACGTCGTCATTGTTTCTTCGACTAGGCCACCTGGTCTCCATCCCCCACCACTCACCTCAATTTCATCGTACAGTCCAGAGCTTGAGATTCGCAAGCCAGTGGTGCTCAGTGCTCAGTCGAGATCCTTGTAGCCATGCTCGCGATGGGGAGAAGCCACATTCACAGCTCCTGGTGTGTCCCAGCCCTCTCCGTGGCTCTTCAGAGGGGAGCGAGCGTCAGGTCGTCCAATCTCCATTCGCTGTCGGTCACCGCCCAGTTCGTCACACTATCGAGAGCTTGGGTCCCGTATGCCCGGTAGAGCAGCAATGGTAGGCGTTGCCATCGAACCATGCAGTGCTCGCCACGGTCCCAGGTTGCTGCCGCCTGCGACTTCCTCGCCACCTGAACCATGTCCCGTTTCCCGCCTGACCAACAATATCCAGTTTTCCTGGCTTGATAAAAGTTAGTACCAGCCAGCAATGTGGTCGGCGAGCTACTGCATCAGATGTCACTAGGGTTGAGTGTTTCGATGTGTCATGATTTTGGACCGGTGTAGAATGGGAGTTGCATGACAGGGTGATGTGCTCTGGTATTGCTCACAAACTAGCAGCAACGTCGCAAGTGCGTTTTCCCATGTTGCCATTCAAATGCTTCTCGATTCGCCGCCAACTAAGGAATGGAGGACTCCGAGATGGACCGTTGTACTGATCACACAGCTCTGTGTTCCGAAGACCATAGTTGAATGAATGATCCTGGACACGAATCAACAATGTGACAGGAGCCATCGAGAACTCACTTGTGAAGCATCCAGATCACCGGCCATGACACCAGCCGCAAAATCAACGGCAGATGTGTAGGACAAAGACATCCAGCCCGTCCGCTGCTCTTTACAATTGAAATCTGGAGGCACGCAAACCTAGCGGTGTCAACTCTCCGCAACCCGATCCGAAGCTGAGACCCGCTTGCCTCTTCCTTCCCAAGCATCGTGTTCCGAAAATTGCCCGACCTCGGTGAATTGTACAGCTTTCTGATGAGTGCAACATGTAGTGAGTCCTAGCACCTGCATGCCAGGCAGCAGGTGGGATGATGAAGATGTGCATGAAAGTGGGTCGCCTCAACGTTGCATCACGCATCAACATCCTCAGAATGGAGAGGAGTATGGAGTGGGGTGGCAAAAGACAGATTTTGGATGCTAGGACAACTGAGGAAAACGTCAAGCGATGTCAGATACTCGCGTTAAGTCCTCCTTAGCAATCTCTCTCGCCCTCTGGTCTTCATACCATTGGCACGCCTGCACATTCTTTGGAACTATTGGTGGCATGGTCAGCGGTTGGTGCACACTCAAGTGGGTTTTCCCGGTGTCATTTAGAAGTGACCAAAACACCGTCGGTATTCCACCCTCCTCAGTTTCCGCTTTCCCATGGAATCATGAAACGGTCGATCACTCTCTGTTCAAGAAGTTAAAACATTATGACGTGGAATAACAGAACAAAGGCTGGGACTAACGAGAGGGCGTACGGAAGATGTTGGTGGGTTTGGAGCTGCATTTAGCCCCAGCCGCCAGTCGACAAAGGGCTCTGAACGGCCACAAATTCTGTGGTGAGAATGTAGGCAATGCCCATAGACTTCATCTTCTACATGGGTCTTTGCCAACGTGCACCTGTGTTTTTGTCAATGGGCGAGATAATTCAAGGCCACGACACGCTCACCTCTGCATGAGAACAGGTACAATCTTGCTCACTATTGCCGAATACGAATCACTTCAGTCTTTTTGCGCCCTTGTATCCTCCCGATCCGGGGGGATCATTAGAGCGACGTAGAGTTCATCCACAACGCAAGCCAGCTTTCGGAAGACGTTTGGAATTGAAGATAAACTTGCATCCATCTAGCTCAGATCCGTTGTTCTGCGTCGAGCTCCAAGTCCCATTCCCATAGAGCGGCATACAGCGGGCTCCTGCTGACCGCAGACAAGTGCCTTTGTCTACGTCCGGCTACCACAGTCATCGCATTGCATTCATGTTGTTCATGAAGGGGTCATCGTGGATCTGCTTTCCAGACATGGCGTCACCACGCTCCTGCGTCGCGCTCTTCTGACTGCGGTCGCTGCCAGTAGGAAGCCATGAAAAGTCTCTTTGGTTTCCGGTAGTTGGTGCCCAAGCTGTTCGGTCATCCTCTTCGAGCTGTCGGGCCGACCAAAAGTAAGCCATTGTGAATTGGTTACTCAGGACCTGCCTGGCTCACACGAACGCCGAGGTTGATGATGAGTGTGATCAACAAAGCAAAGACCACCACTTCTGCGGCTGGACCAACTGTCAGGGCAGGCAAACACACCACGACACAACGATTTCGCTAATGTCAAGGAGCTCCAAAGGAGGATCGACGAATACTGGATCGTGCAAGAATCGATGAAAGGCTTGCCGGAGCACACCCTTGCCGTGTTCCCTGCTGCACGTGCTGAAATCTGATCTCAAGGAAGGAGAGACTCAGGGAAAGGGGATGAAGCTGGCGCGGGATGGAGATACGCTCACCCTCAATCCTGCTCTGTGACGCATTGTCAGTGTCTGCATTTGGCCCCATGCAAGTGTTGACTGCCACCTCGCCACCACTTCGCGAAGAGCTGTTTTTCGACCGAAAATTGTGGTCCTTGATTGATCGCCGTTTGTGGGGGCAAGTTCCCCACTCCGGGCTCGCGCCGTCTATCTGCAGCAACTAGCGAAGGGTGTTCATGCAGCTCGAGATTTGGCTAGCAGTCTTTCATCCTGGTCGGCACAAATGGCGCCTTCAGGCCTCGGGACCTTCACATCAATTCCCCCACCAGTTGTTCGAGCCTCTGTGCGTGCTGTTGGGGGTCCAGAAACTAAATTGGTCCTAGCTGTGATGGCACTTGTAAACGTCACCTCTTCTATATCGACAGACGAGTGTATCCAATTCAAACTGGCGATTGCATCTCGGAATCACGCAACACGGGTCTTGACTCGGCGTCATGCATGAGCAGAAAGCGGTAGTACATTGGATTTCCTCGTCATTGTTCCGGAGTAAATAATCTCCGTTCCCTGATGAATATTCAGCCCAGCTGGCAGCCTACCTCATCCCGGTGTCAAGGACTCTTTGGTCATTCAGCCAGGTGCTGCGGATTTCTTCCGCATCATCCGTCACGTTCCCGGCCTGGGCCTCGTGGAAAGCACGAAATCTTCAATCGTACCTCGGAAAAACTGCAGGGAAAGCAGCGGATGTTGATCCTAAAGCATGTCGATTTTGGGACCGGAGCGAGATAGCTAATGGAGACGCAGGTGAGCGTGAGACCGTGTACGGAAGTCCTGCCGTTCTGCGCAGGGCATTTTGAGGCAGCGACATTGACAGATCAGGTGTCTTGCCTTTGTGCAGTTCAATGCCCACTGACCAGCCCGCCTCCATTGCTCTCCAGTACTTGCCCAGTGACCTTGCAAGCATAATCATTGGGCCCTATTCGCGGAAGGATCAGGGAAGGGCAACACAATCCGCAATATGCCATGTCTGCTCATTTGGGCCTTCCTACCACGCGGCACAAACGTCCATCACTTTTCTCTACCTGCGTCACTGTCTCCCACACTCAAGTTGACCCGCCAAAGACTACAGCCGGCTGCATCCTGTTGTATCATCACTCACAGGACCGTGTCTGCTTATGATATCAGAAGTGTTTCATAACAGGACAAGTACTGGCCTACCCTCGATTCCCCACGGACGCTACGAGGGGGAGGTCTAACTGTTGCACATGACCGATCGAGCATCGTTGACGATCTCAGCTCAAGGATCTACCGCCCAAAGGGTCGAATCGGCTATCATCCGGAAACCCGCAGCGCGTCGAGTGTATCACCCCGATGCACCTGCAGACCGGTCTGAATGGGCAATGTGGGTCGGAAATGTGCCGAAGCATGCCGATGAAACCAATCTCCAGACGTTTTTCACGCAATTCGAAGACCACGGCGTTGTGTCGATATTTCGACTGTCCAAGTCCAGCTGCGCATTCGTGAACTTCGCTAGCGAGACGCACTTGATCGTGGCGATTGAGCAATATGACGGAAGCCATCTCCGCCCTGAATGGTCGACGGGGCCGGTGCTTGTCTGTCGGGTTCGCACTCTCGACGACGATCTTTGGACTGGAGTTGGCGGACAGCGAGGAATGGGACTGCACCGCCAGTGGATCGAGGACCACAGACCTTGAAATCAAGCTTTCGGTGTCCCAGACGGAAACTCGCCGAGCAACACTTGCAGTAGCTAGGATTAATCCTACAGTCAAATAGCTACATAATCCAGCGGCTTACTCGTGATGACGGAAAGTAACGGACGATGTGTCATTTCACGTGGAGCGCTCCACAATCATGGTCATGTGACCTAAGTTTTTGTCGACGGACACTTTACACACTGTACTACACTACCACAATGCCCAAATTGACCTCCCGTCCTCACCATTCCACTGAAATCAAAAATCAATTCATTGGTGCTATGTTGGTTGAATCCAATATCAAAAAGAACGCTACATCCTTTGGCATCCCCTATGAAACGGCGCGTAAACTTTGGAAGAAGTATCAGGAGACCGGATCAGTCGACAATCTACCTCGCAGTGGTCGTCCCAAGAAAGTCACTGATCAGATGAAGGCCAAGATCGTGCAAACTGCACGCGAGAATCGCAGGATGCCATTCACAAACATTGGCAATCTCATGAACCCTCCCGTTGGCAAGACAACCGTCGCGGGCATGTTGGGTGACGCTGGGATGCATCGATGTGTTGCCCGGCATGTTCCTTTCCTCACTCCGGCCCACAAGGAGCAGAGATTGGCCTGGGCTGAGGCAAATTTGAGGAAGACATCACGAGGGTGGGAAAGTGTCATCTGGTCGGATGAGTGTTATATCCATATGAACAGGAATTCGGGCCGGGTCTGGGTGACGCGAACTCCGGAGGAGGTCTATGAAGAAGGGTGTCTTGTTCCAACATTCAAACAGTCGGCTGTCTGTGTCATGGTCTGGGGTTGCATTGCCCATGACTTCAAGGGACCACTCATCATTTTGAAGTACCCGGGAGGTAAAGGAGGCGGGATGTCGGCTGATTTGTACCAGAAGCAGGTACTGAAGAAGCATCTGCATGCCATCATGAAGGATCTTCGCAAACATCGCAGACGGCGCATCAAGATTCAGTTTCAACAAGACGGTGCTTCGTGCCACACTGCCCACTCAACAATTGATTGGCTCGAGGACCACAAAATCCCCGTTTTTCCGCATCCTGCCTGTTCTCCTGACGTCTCGCCCATTGAGCCATGTTGGCACGAGCTAAAGAAGCGCATCCGGGCTCGTCGTCCGCTTCCTACAACGTTCGAAAGTCTAAAAAAGGCAATTCAAGAGGAATGGGCCGCAATCCCGATCAGTGATATCAACAAGTACACGGGCACAATGGTGGAACGTGTGAGGGCTGTAATAGATGCGAACGGAGGTCATACCCAATTTTGAGCCAATAAAGATCAATTTCTTGTCTAAAATAGGTAATACAAAATGCGACCGTCCATTACTTTCCGTCATCACGAGTAATAGACTTACCTTAAGCTCAGATTAATAGCCTACAGGATTATAGGTCAGGATTGTCAAGATCCTCTGATTATGGAAAACATAAATGGACAGGATTATCAATAGAAAAGTGCAAACAAAGATTATTGTAATAAATAGGATTATCAAGGCTTTTATTGTCTCAAAGAGATGCCGAGTTACTAATATTCAGTTGACCGTGATGTTTGCGCTACCACTGGATAAGTACGTACCTTGCCCGATGCATTAGATGGTCCTGTTGTTGGCTCACCCGGACCATGGATCCAGTTGTTGCAGCATGCTATCCTCGGAATAATTCAAATATAGATCCAAGCAGTGACTTCTGGGCGGCACTAGTGGACATGTGATGATTGAACAGCAAAACGCACCGGGTTGCACTATCTGGTTCATTTACCCGGTCTTCATGGGATCCTACACCACCGCCGCTGGGTTGAAGATTGAAAACCATAAACACTGCCGAACTTGCATCAGGCTATATATATGGAAGAGTGAGCAGGAGAGAGGATGGTGGCAGGAGTAAAGAGTCACTGACTCGGATTCGATGATCACATGATGGGATCATGTCTGAATTTGCTCGTGCTTTGTTCGATGGATCCTCTTTAAAACCAGAGCATTGGTTTCACCGCTACCACTACCTACACCTCTTCAATCTGATTCTCAAATACTTCCTCACCCTGGACCCAAATGAGTGTTAGCACCTCTTGTCTCTGATTTAGCGACTTTCTGACTCTTGTGATACAATCACCAAGGGACTGCGAAAGACAGTCTGTCAAAGTCGTGCATGGTGATGGTCGAGAATGATGCGACCCTGGATCGAAGTCACACGACGCTGAACCCACGCTGGTGCAGATGGTCAAGGACAACATGCCTTTGTTGGTCCACTTGGTCATCCGGTCGCATCGTCCACTCGAATGCCACCTTCTGAGCTACCAAGGGCCCATATCCCCAATTGCGGCCCAAGCGGAGGATGAGCATGGGGGTCATATTCCTTAAGTAATACACCAATGATATAAATTTTCGACTCTTTTCTGCATAATAATCCTACCATAATCCAAGGCATACTGTACTATTTCGACCGTAGTTTCGACCCAATGACCAATGACAGCTTAGATTCGATGGTGCATAGCTTCGAGGTCCGGGATGACCGATGACAGCTGTCAGATAGCTTCGTTGTGATGTCAGCCACTGGCGGCACCCGGATCTGATAAGGCACGAGGGAATACTGAGGCGGCTGATCTTCCAATCTCAACTAGGCGGAAACGTCGCAACATTTGCGCTCCAGCGCGCTTTGGAGGGCCTGATTCATGGATTTGAACAATTTTAGGCAATATTTTAGACTCATACTATCAATTTTTGTGCTCAAAGTCACTCAATATGATGATTTTCTTTTTCGAAATGTCATTAGCTTCGAGGCCGCGGATGACCGATGACAACCTGACATTAGGTTCGGTTCGACACCCCCGATGACTGATGACACGAATCTATGGTCAAAATAGTACAGTAATCCCTCAGGTTATTAATCTAAGCTTAAATTGAGTCTAATAGCCTGTGAGATTGGGTGACTTCCCGTAAGGTTTCCGATTATATTAATGATTTCTGAGGAGTGCCAAATGATGTCGGCTACATTTGTTTTATGTTTTTTTATTGAGCGCTCTACCCGTAAGGATTTCCGAGTTTCCGCATCAGTGACGCACGCGCATCACGGCCCGGTACTCGATGGCATCACACCACACCTTCCCCCCAAGATGGATCCCGACGCGCAATATTGGCAACAAATTGTGGGCACGATGGAGGAGGAGATGGTTCGGGACAATAACAAGCAGATGATGGTTGCATTGGGGTTGATCGGCTTTGGGTACGCGGAGGCTAAGCGGCAGAAACCAAACCGTCTGTACATGTGTTGGCCCCAAATCCCTCCCAATTCATGTGTCAATACACCCTGGAAAGCCATGTACGTCAATGGGAGCGATCGCGCATTCATCACCACTATGGGTATTGACACAGACATGTTCAGCCGGGAACGCGTGATCAAACACCTTCCTCATTTGGTTTATTCGAGGCTTTCTTGGTCTATTCGAGGGGTAGAGACCCCTCGAATAAATCCTGGTTTATTCGTGGTCTATTCGAGGCCTTAAGCGAGATCTGAGCTCGATGGGGTCCTGATCAACGCCTCGGCAACTCGGCATCAAGGGTAAAAAGCCTTTATTATAATCGGAAACCCTTACGGGAAGTCACCCATTATGCATCTATTACGCTGCAGGATTAATCCACATCACTGATATGACTGCGCCGAGCCTAGCTTCCGATGCGTCAACGACTTCGAGCTTTTTTGAGAAGTACTTTCCGCAGCGCTTTTTTGTTCTCAAGTGTCGAACGAGGGAAGCACTAGACCGGTGTGCTGCGGACGGCGCTTGGTACATCCAGAAGCACAACCAAGTGGTGCTCGACCAAGCGTTCCGAACTTCTCAGGAGACGATCCTGTTCTTCAGCGTGAACAAAAGCGGCCAGTTCTACGGCTATGCCAAGTACGTCCTCCACATTCATCAAAACCACGTTTTCACCTTCGCCTCCAGAATGATGAGCCCAGTGGCACCGACTATTTCCATCGGACCTGATCCCATGGCAGACGACACGAATGCGGGCGATGAGTCTCCGGGCCTGGTCGTGCGAGTCACAACGCCTTATTGGTCCTAATCAGGTGCCACCCAGTCAGCACCCAGTGTGCTGACTCGCCGTGTTTCTGAGTTTGGAGAACTCGATCACGTTGGAGCCCGTCAGCATCGATCCCTCAGCCCCAGGCGATCACCCCTGCCGACTTCGCAGCAATCTGGGCCTGATTCCCAGCAGTACGTCCAACCTGAGCCGGCTCACGTTCAACGACCCAGCGCTCAGTGAAGGACAACTGCGACCGGCGCCTGAGCTCAGCGGCCAGTTCACTGTCGAATGGCTGTGCTGGGAGCCTCTACCCTTCAAACGCACGCGCGGCATCATCAACAGCTGGAATCGAGGGCGTGAAATCAAGATCTCGAGGGACGGGACTGAACTCGAGCCGAGTGCTGGAGGGGCGCTGATAGAGGTTTGGAAATCGTGGCTTACCGAGCCTAGTCGTCACCGGCGCAGATGAATGTGTCGGATTGTTCCCTCAGACAACCACTTGCATAGATAAACCACACGCGTCTTGCAAGGAGCACGCCTGCTCACTTGTTTGTCTCCCAATCTCCGGATATAATGTCATACACGTATTCTATCCGTTGTACTATCCGCCTCACTCCATGGCTCCCATACTTCCAATCTCCATACTCCATGTTGCATAATAGGTGTTCTCTTCTCTTCCAGTATGAGTGCCATAGGGGCCTCGGCAGGCTGTTCTGCCTAGCTTCCATTCTCGAACGCCTGAGCTTCGTCGATGATTCCGGCCGCAGCGTATCCTGCTGTCCACCTAAGGAACATCCGCCGCGGAGGGTACCCCCCCCTGTTAGGGGTCAAAATTCGACTGATTTGGGTACCTAACAGGGGGGGTACCCTCCGCACTTTTGGCCATCCTCCGCACCAAAACCTCCGCAAATGGGTGCCAAGCATCCGCAACAAGCCCTGTAACCAGCTGCGGATCCATCCGCTCCTGGCTCTCCCCGTGATCGTTGTGATGCCATCATGCAGGCCATCCACGGACCATGTCATGTGACTGTTCTCCAGTGCGGAACCCTCCGCATTTCTTGCTCTTTTATTTTTTCAGTTCTAGCCTGTATATATTGCTTCACTGTGGACTTGAGCCTTCTGTAGCCAAAGTATGCAAGTGCTTTTGACTCCCAAATGATTATAGCTGCTTCAAAGACCTCTATGTGCAGCAAACAAAGAGTGTTAGTTGGGCCAATTCAGTGCTTGGGCTGTGCGGATGCTCTGCATTGTTTCTGGATTGCTAAATTGGTTGCTCAGAACCTTAATGCGTAGGATAAACATAGAACGCAAGCTTCTCAGATGCTGCCAGGTTCCTTAGAACCCAGGTAGGCCTCTCCAGCACCCACAGCAGCTGAAACGTGCGCCATGCGGATGCATCCGCCACCTGCTGTCCAGGGCCAGATTGGGGCAGGCCCTGTTCAGTACAGGCTCTGCAGACAATTCCACTTGCACAGCTTCGCCTGCCATGATCAGTGCATGCAGCCAGGATCCTCCTGCATTGACAGCATGCTGTGCAGATGCATCCGCCCCTTGCGGTCCAGAGCCAGATTTCAGCATAGGCTCTGTGGATGGTTCAACTTGCACACCATCAGCTGCCAGGCTCCTTAGAACCCAGAGAGCCCTTGCCAGCACCCACAGCAGCGTAAAAGTGTGCCATGCAGATGCATCCGCCACCTGCTGTCCAGGGCCAGATTGGGGCAGGCCCTGCTCAGCACAGGCTCTGTGGACAGTTTAAATTACAGACAATCACCTACTATGATTGGTGCATGCAGCCAGGCTCCTCTCACATTGACAGCAGCTTGAGAGCATGCTGTGCAGATGCATCCGCCACCTGCTGTCCAGGGCCAGATTGGGGCAGGCTCTGCTTGGCACAGGCTTTGTAGACAGTTAAAATTGCACACTGTCAGCTGCTATAGTCGGTGCATGCAGCCAGTATCCTCCTGCATCAACCACAGCTTGAATATGTGCTGTGCGGATGCATCCGCCCCCTGCGGTCCAGAGCCAGATTTCAGCACAGGCCCTGCAGACTCTTTGGCCTGGGGTCGCCCTCTGCATCAGAGCTCTGCAGATCCAGCCCAATCATCTGCATGCAGGCTCTAAAAACATCTGCTGATCCATCCGCATCTCATTTTACTGGTGATGCCCTTGATGGCATCATTTTGGTGCATTGCAGATGGTCCTTGAACATCCGCACAGGGATTTGATGGGTCCTGCGGATCCATCTGCACTCAAAATAATCTTTGCAGGCCCTGCTTCTTCTATGTGAATGGCCTGAAGAGCCTCTGAAACATTGTTCATCTGGTGCACAAATGGATCTGCACATTGGAATGGGGGCTGTGGCTCTGTCCCACAAGCCAATCTTATGCAGCATATATCTACTGACATTTTAGCCAGTGCACCGAGCTCCAGAGGCTCTGGGGACATCCAGAGCACACAAGGAAATGAACTGCTGATGCATCTTCAGCCAAATTGGCCAGCTAAATATGTGGCTGCTGCCCAGACAGCCCAAATACATTACATCACTTGAATGAATAATGCTATTGACCAATACAATTCATTACACAATTTCTGGAAGGGATATTGCATGGAATTTGATATGTAAGCAAGCCAAACAGTGATTCTCCTATCTGCGGATGCTATTTCAACCATCCGCAGAAGCATCTGCAGCAGCTAGTGACATGGTTGCGGATGTGTCACATGACCCTCCGCAGTCTCTTTGTGGGACATATCTGCTCAATATAGCCTCAATGGATGTCCTCTGTCTCTGCAGCATGTATCTAAGATGTCTTTTTTGCTACCTGCATAGTTCTATCAACAATAGGAAATTTATCTGTCCTGCACAGGATTTTAAATTCTTTGCACCATAATTGTTGCTCATATACAGGTCGGATAAGCTCAGCTGTCCCACTAGGGAATCGGGACTTGTCAGAGACAAGCTATAAGCCAGCAGACACTGAACCTGGAAAGAACCTATCTGTACAATATAAAAAAAGCGAATTGAACATGATTCATATTTCAAGCTTTACACATTCATACATGTCTTGCAATTCAAGGGCCAAGACTTTAAGACACAGCATTCAATGTTTTGAGCTCAAAAAAGTCTCTTAGATCAAAAATATTTTCGATTTTGGTCAATGAGCAGGTTGAGCTCAGTACTACCATAGGAAACTGTGTTCAGGTCATGGCACTTTTCTGCATGACAAAAATATTTTCCTCAGTGAGCTGAATTGAGTTTATATTCGAGATGGGGCATATCTAAATAGCATCTGAACAAATTCTGAGCAGGATCGCAGCATCATAGCCTTCACAGGGACACAATTTTGAAATGTTGATCTTGTGGATGCATCTGCGGATCATTCAAACTTGCACTGAAGAAAGCTATGATGCTGCGATCCTGCTCAGAATTTGTTCAGATGCTATTTAGATATGCCCCATCTCGAATATAAACTCAATTCAGCTCACTGAGGAAAATATTTTTGTCATGCAGAAAAGTGCCATGACCTGAACACAGTTTCCTATGGTAGTACTGAGCTCAACCTGCTCATTGACCAAAATCGAAAATATTTTTGATCTAAGAGACTTTTTTGAGCTCAAAACATTGAATGCTGTGTCTTAAAGTCTTGGCCCTTGAATTGCAAGACATGTATGAATGTGTAAAGCTTGAAATATGAATCATGTTCAATTCGCTTTTTTTATATTGTACAGATAGGTTCTTTCCAGGTTCAGTGTCTGCTGGCTTATAGCTTGTCTCTGACAAGTCCCGATTCCCTAGTGGGACAGCTGAGCTTATCCGACCTGTATATGAGCAACAATTATGGTGCAAAGAATTTAAAATCCTGTGCAGGACAGATAAATTTCCTATTGTTGATAGAACTATGCAGGTAGCAAAAAAGACATCTTAGATACATGCTGCAGAGACAGAGGACATCCATTGAGGCTATATTGAGCAGATATGTCCCACAAAGAGACTGCGGAGGGTCATGTGACACATCCGCAACCATGTCACTAGCTGCTGCAGATGCTTCTGCGGATGGTTGAAATAGCATCCGCAGATAGGAGAATCACTGTTTGGCTTGCTTACATATCAAATTCCATGCAATATCCCTTCCAGAAATTGTGTAATGAATTGTATTGGTCAATAGCATTATTCATTCAAGTGATGTAATGTATTTGGGCTGTCTGGGCAGCAGCCACATATTTAGCTGGCCAATTTGGCTGAAGATGCATCAGCAGTTCATTTCCTTGTGTGCTCTGGATGTCCCCAGAGCCTCTGGAGCTCGGTGCACTGGCTAAAATGTCAGTAGATATATGCTGCATAAGATTGGCTTGTGGGACAGAGCCACAGCCCCCATTCCAATGTGCAGATCCATTTGTGCACCAGATGAACAATGTTTCAGAGGCTCTTCAGGCCATTCACATAGAAGAAGCAGGGCCTGCAAAGATTATTTTGAGTGCAGATGGATCCGCAGGACCCATCAAATCCCTGTGCGGATGTTCAAGGACCATCTGCAATGCACCAAAATGATGCCATCAAGGGCATCACCAGTAAAATGAGATGCGGATGGATCAGCAGATGTTTTTAGAGCCTGCATGCAGATGATTGGGCTGGATCTGCAGAGCTCTGATGCAGAGGGCGACCCCAGGCCAAAGAGTCTGCAGGGCCTGTGCTGAAATCTGGCTCTGGACCGCAGGGGGCGGATGCATCCGCACAGCACATATTCAAGCTGTGGTTGATGCAGGAGGATACTGGCTGCATGCACCGACTATAGCAGCTGACAGTGTGCAATTTTAACTGTCTACAAAGCCTGTGCCAAGCAGAGCCTGCCCCAATCTGGCCCTGGACAGCAGGTGGCGGATGCATCTGCACAGCATGCTCTCAAGCTGCTGTCAATGTGAGAGGAGCCTGGCTGCATGCACCAATCATAGTAGGTGATTGTCTGTAATTTAAACTGTCCACAGAGCCTGTGCTGAGCAGGGCCTGCCCCAATCTGGCCCTGGACAGCAGGTGGCGGATGCATCTGCATGGCACACTTTTACGCTGCTGTGGGTGCTGGCAAGGGCTCTCTGGGTTCTAAGGAGCCTGGCAGCTGATGGTGTGCAAGTTGAACCATCCACAGAGCCTATGCTGAAATCTGGCTCTGGACCGCAAGGGGCGGATGCATCTGCACAGCATGCTGTCAATGCAGGAGGATCCTGGCTGCATGCACTGATCATGGCAGGCGAAGCTGTGCAAGTGGAATTGTCTGCAGAGCCTGTACTGAACAGGGCCTGCCCCAATCTGGCCCTGGACAGCAGGTGGCGGATGCATCCGCATGGCGCACGTTTCAGCTGCTGTGGGTGCTGGAGAGGCCTACCTGGGTTCTAAGGAACCTGGCAGCATCTGAGAAGCTTGCGTTCTATGTTTATCCTACGCATTAAGGTTCTGAGCAACCAATTTAGCAATCCAGAAACAATGCAGAGCATCCGCACAGCCCAAGCACTGAATTGGCCCAACTAACACTCTTTGTTTGCTGCACATAGAGGTCTTTGAAGCAGCTATAATCATTTGGGAGTCAAAAGCACTTGCATACTTTGGCTACAGAAGGCTCAAGTCCACAGTGAAGCAATATATACAGGCTAGAACTGAAAAAATAAAAGAGCAAGAAATGCGGAGGGTTCCGCACTGGAGAACAGTCACATGACATGGTCCGTGGATGGCCTGCATGATGGCATCACAACGATCACGGGGAGAGCCAGGAGCGGATGGATCCGCAGCTGGTTACAGGGCTTGTTGCGGATGCTTGGCACCCATTTGCGGAGGTTTTGGTGCGGAGGATGGCCAAAAGTGCGGAGGGTACCCCCCCTGTTAGGTACCCAAATCAGTCGAATTTTGACCCCTAACAGGGGGGGGTACCCTCCGCGGCGGATGTTCCTTAGGTGCTGCTGTCCAGTCTGTTTGCTTGCGATCTACTTCAGGAATGAGTCATACTCCGAACTACATGATATACATAGGAGCTACTGCGTTGTCTAGTCATATCAGGGAACATGGAGTACATATCAACGAGATGATTACAGGAGAGTCGTGATGATTGTACACAGCGAAGGAATAAAAGAGGGAAAGAGGTCGACAGGTCCACGTTCAAGAGCTGAAGTTTTAGAGACTGGTTAACGCTTGGCTTGCGGCGGCGCCTGGATGAGCGTCGCGCTGAGCTTTCCAGATCTCCAGTACAGCCTGGCCCGCTTCGGGCTCGATCTCCGTTCTGGTTCCACGGATTGTGCATATGTTTCGTGCGCGAGAAGAGACGCATGTGATAAACACACATCCAGTGCAAAGGACAGTCCGACTCGGGTTCTGCTTCGCTTCCGTCGAGCAGGGCACGGGGGAGAGGAAGGTTTACAGGAGCGGAGGATTTTGAGAGGAAGGCGTGTGTACATCGAGTCCGGTGTGCGACAAAGACTCGTGTCGTTAGCCAGGTACTCCAAGAGGCGTAATGGGTCCCGTCATCCTCGAAATGTGGTCTCAGTGACTGCCGACGACGTCATGCTCCGACATACTGCACATACCCGTAGAACTCTCCGCTCTTGTTGACACTGAAAAGCAGGAATGTGTCTTTAGAGGTCCGGGAGCCAAGATCGAGAACTTCTGGACAAGTGCACGAAGACCCTCCATCCGCGCAAATCACGTGCGATACACGTGCGGCACAAGTTCGAATCCTGGCTGATGACAGTCAAAGAAACAATTTATTGTAGTAAAATAACGATGTTTCCGAGGAAGTAATCTAGTTAGGGAGAAACATGGTATACTTATCCGAGTCTTTGTACGTGCGGTGAGTTTTCCGACGGCGTTGATACCTGTCAATGCTCCCACCGGTATCCTCGACAGCTTCGACAGCGGGCATGATCGCTTCGGCCAATTTTGGTGCCATTCCCTGAGGATCAGAGGCTGTCTCGAGCATCGCAGCAAAAGAACGTTTCAGGTTCTCGAGCCTAGCCTTAGAGAGATAAATCTGAAAAGGTATTAGGGGAAAAGAATGTTACGAGTGGTTGAGAAGAGACCTTTTGGCTGGCAGGTCCCTCATCGTCCGATGCTAGGGCACGGATATCATCTTCTAAATCTGAGTCGGCTCCAATCTGCGATTCCTGTTCAGCAGATGCGCTGTCCTCCAAACCCGACATTGGTAAGTCCGTCTGATCTTCGTCATCCAAATCCGGAGACGGGACACGGGAACTAGCCATCGACTGAGTTCGAGAGCGATCCCGGTGAAGTACCAGAATCTCCACGTCATCCATATCCTCCTCATCGTCATTCTCCATAGAATGTATGCCCGGAATGCGATAGAAGGGCGCGAAATGATTGCGACGAAGTTCGGCAAACAGAGCGAGATCTTTGAGCAGACTGTTGTCGAGAAGTTCGTTAGCCTCGCGGACAAGATGCTTGCACATCAAGAAGCGGCTCATAAGAAAGGCTGTGCAGCTGCAAACCCATTTGTCGAGATCTGTAAAGTAAGAACCAGGTTGTCGAGCTGCATTTTCCGCGATCCGAGCCAAACGAACATCCCGTTCCTTGGATTTCTTCGGATTCTGGACCCAGACTTGGAGCTCCCGCTCCATGCTTCGCAATTCATCCCGTTTGCTCAACTCCAGCCATTCAATGCGAAAGTCCTTCTGCCATCCCACAAGCTCGCGACCACGGCCGATGCGTCGGACTCGACGGAGGCCATCAAGATTGCGTTTGACCCGCGGCAACAGGTTCTCGATGATGACGTAGGTCACAAGGTCCAGCCGCGGCCGATTAAAATCGGAGAGGTCTCGATGCTTGACGTGCTTCCATATACTCTCGACGATCATGGTTGTGTTGATGCGAGGGATTGCTGGCTCCGATGCGCGAGCCCAGAGCTTCCACTGCGCAGGACAGTACCACCGGTTCCACATATACGCCCAAACTTGCGGCAAGTCGTTGTCCCAGCAGTGACAATACATGTCAAAGACAACCCATTTGTATATCTCTTCGGCGGAAACATAAGGATGTTCGGGATCATCAGGCTCGTTGATCGGAATGTGTGGGTGCAGTCGACCATGCATTTTGAAGAGCTCCAGCGTCGATTCGCGGAATTCCTTCGGGCAGAACTCGCCAATGTCCGCTTTGCGAACCTTAGGAGGATTGGGATAGATCGGAAGTTTGACGTCGCCTTGAGTCAAGATGAAGAGCGGTGGCAGGCATGTATCAGGCTTCGACAAATTGTATCAGTTAAATAGATCCCTAATGAAAGGTATTGAAGACACGTACCTCGGTGTGTGCCTCCTCCGGATCATATTCCGAACCACTGTCATCGAAACCCTGAATATCATCGGCGCCATCAGCCGAGTCGTTTTCGGATGCACCCAATTCCTCCGCTTCATCGTCGGACCCAACATGATCCAAATTGGGATCTTCGCACGGTTTGGGAACACCCGGACACCAGGTTGGATCAATGATCTTGTAGACTTTGTGCGCCTTTCTAGGATCGTAATAGGCAGGCAACTTGTCTTGACATAGCCGCTCTTTCACGTATCGTGGACCGTGCCACATGCAAACTTGATGCTTCGAGTCGGGAAAGACGGCTCTGGCAGCATTGATCTCGCTCAGGTCCTTGTCCGTGTGCACGAAACGAATATTTGGAGCACCATCATCCGTCGAAATGGCACGGAGAACTTGTTGCAACATTCGATCCTTGGCCCCCTCTGCTGCAGCTTCACCAGCGGATGTTGTGAATACGAATGCGAGTGGTAGAGCAGTTCCGTTCGCCTCGGCAACGATAGCATACAGTTCGTAGCCGGCTGCGTTTGTTTTCCCTGAGACATAACATTCAACCTTGAAAAAGCGAGGTTGAGCACACTTACAGGTCGAATCCATCGCAATCTCCTCTACATCCCCTCCATACTCGTCCAAAATTTCCCGGAAGATGAACGCAATAGTGGAGAGGCCGGGTTCGGGATTGATTTCAACGATGTCAATAGTCAAGTCCTTGTATTCCTGCAGGAGAATCTTCGCCGACTCGACCTGATCATCTGCCTTTCGCCAACGACCTTGATTCACATCCGACCAACAGCGGTAGACTTGCTTCTCGGTAAGTTCGGTCTTGGGATGCATCTTGATGATTTCTTCGTATATCTGGCAATTTTTTCGGGTCAACGAGCGTGAATGAATAATGATAACAGGAAAGACCTTGGTTGCAGTCAAGCCTTTTGACTCTCGAATGTATTTCTTGATGTCCGCGGGAATGGAGATGTCCGTGTAGTGCTTGTGAGCAAGATGATGAGATAAACGGACCATCATGAACTCCGTCCGCGATGAATTCAATGTGATATTGAGATGACCGTTGCATTTGAATCGATCCATGGTTGTTCGACCGCGCTGCTTCTTCACATCATCCACCAGGTGATTCTTCGTCTGCTCACCGTCCAGCTGAGCACAATAGAATTCGAATTTGTGTACATCCGTATTGCCCTTGTTGGGACGTTTCCCCTTGTAGCTATCAGATGGCATTAGCTTCAAAGAGTCATTGAGAGTAAGTAAGACAGCGCACTTGAATCTATAACCCGTGGCTTGATAAATGTGAGACGCCATACACTTCAAAAGATTTTCCGGTGTTCTCTCCTCTCCCTCAAGAAGAACAAGCTCAGAGCGTTTAATGTTAACATGGATCTCAAAAGGTTTGACAGAGCCGTGCTTTTCCATCAGGGAGATAAGTCTGGATAGCGAGATTTCTGGAATCTGCTCCCCAGACGTGTCTTTCCCTCTGTCAGATGGCCCTGGTGCTTTCTTCGGTTGGCGGTCTGCACGAGCTTTGTTCTTCTCCCGGCAGATGAAGCAGTTTTTTGCGTACGCGAGGTTACTCAGTATCGGGAACTCAGTCTGAGGCTTGGTTTTCTTGCATCGAGAGCATCGAACCTCTGTTGTGAGCATTGAGTCAAGAATTATAAGTAACGGATGCCACAGTGGGAACTCACCGATCACCTCCGACATGGGAGCGGGAGAGAAAATGATCGATTGATTGATCGGGGATGTGATTGATCGGAATTCCAAAGATCTTTCGGCCGAAAGAAGTCGGGCTGTGCCCTCCCTCAAAAAATACCGCAGGCCTGGATTGAACTCAAGGCTGACTGGTACACTAATTCACACCCTTTACCACTACACAACGTATTTGATACCCTCCAGTCTTTTATGTCGTCTACTACCCGTTATCCCAGTGCCTCAGGACACATAAAGTCAGATTTACCAGCGAGAATCGAACTCGTGCCGCACGTGTATCGCACGTGATTTGCGCGGATGGAGGGTCTTTGTGCCCAAGTCGAACTTCTGCGCTGTGTCGCTGGGCATTCCAGAGACCAGTATCAACACTCGTTTGGATGAGAGGAGGAAACAACCGCGACAACACTGGTGCGGACCTATTTGTACGACTTGAGCATAAAGAATCGCTATGGAAAGTTCTGAAGCAGACTTGACGTGGTCGACGGAAATGGTATCCGAGTCGTTCCAGGCCGCGCTAGTCCGATCTCTCACCGGGGCGTGGTGTGCGCGGAGAAGGCAAGATGTATTTTGAAGAGCCAGAGCCGTCTGCACTGTCGTGTGTGCACGTTCGACCACTTGAAATCAGTTGTGAGATTTGAAGCTCCCGGGCCAACCTCGAGCCAACGATTTCACGCATGGGAAACATCTGGAGCCCTGCTATGTGGCACCTAAGAGCGAGTGAGCTGCAGATGATTTGGGCAGAGCCGCGATGGTCGATGCTGAGTGCTGAGAATTGCATCCGATATCAATCGTCACGGACGGATCAAGGGCTATATTTCGCCAAGCTTACGGGGAAAGAATCACCGGTCTGGAAGTCAGGCCAGAAATCACTCTCTATTCCAAGCGCTCACGGAGAAACAAACTCCATTGCACACACGCTCGGATTTTGTGCGGTACAAATGGGCAGCCCATGGCTAGATTATGTAAACCCCACGCCCTCGAAAATGTCCGCCTCGGATATCGGCACATTCCCGGTATCTCCGACCGCTGATTACTTCAGTCCAGCCCAAATTTCGAGCAACTGCTGCCCAACGCCAGGCTCGATTTCCGTGCCATCCCTCGCTACTTGTATCCTACGGTTTCTGTTCCAAGGATTGACCAGTCGATCGGCGTAGGCGAATGGAAGGGATCTAGTGCATATCCACTGCACACCAAACTCTTTGCCCCAGTGGGTGTGGCCCTGCTTTGCCAATCTCTGGCACCAGAAACCTGGCGCAGAAGCCTTGGGATGAATGTTCTTGCGCGTATTCTGCTCTGTTTGCGACCACTCGACACGAGGGCTATCAGGCTGAGGCACACTCGTCATTCTGCAGCTGCCGATGAGTCGTCGTCGTCTTCGCCATTGTCTGCCGGAGCTCACCTGGCAAAGCCATAGAAATTGCCGCTCTTGTTGACGCTGAAGACGAGAAAGACCTCTTTGGCTGTCCGAAAGGCCTGGTCGAGAAAGAACTCGTTGTGCCTTTGAGTAGCCCACAAGCCTGTTTCAACGCTCAAGTCCAGATCCCGCTGCGGACGCAGATTCAGAGAGGGGCGCGGACTGAAGGGACAGCATACCTGGGAGAAGGACTTCATGACGAAAAACCGTTTCAAGATTCCGTGGTCTCCCAGTGAGCCCGACAGGGCCGCGTCCTCAGATCCTGTCGCTTTATCCTTTAGCTCTACCGTGATTTGTCGCGGGTCGGCGGGGACTGGATTGGGTATGCTGTTGTCGAACTCCCCCTGAACGCGACAAATCAAAGCCTTGACAGAGTCCTTGCGGAGGCAGGAGCCGTGGAATCGCACAAGAGCGATCTCGAGTGAGCGGGCCGTTTTGTAATTGACGAACGCGCAGGCGGATCGTCTCAGGGAGATGATAGACACCACACCATTGAGACGATCAAGCAGGCTGTCTACCGATAACGATGGAGGAGCAGTGAAGAACTTGTGCAGTTCTTCGTGTGTGACGTCAGGAGGAAGATTACCGACCCACATCGCCCACTGTGTGCGGATAGCGCCCCGGGCTGAAGAATAGGCAACAGGAAGAGACCGCTTGCTGTTATCACTGTTCTCGCTGTCGGAGAAGATGGGTGAACTGGAGACAGTGGCTGAGCCCAGTTCATGCGCTGAGGTTCCGGAAGTATGATATTGAGACGATCCGGATGGAAAACAAAGGTTATGTCGCCAGTTCCGTATTGCTTGATCTGAAAAGAATGGTGGGCTTGACCAACGCTCGTCGAAAGCGTGATGTTCAGTCAAACGAGGCGAGAAGAGAGTGGCATCGGCGGGCGGATCATTGAGCGACGGAAATTTGAGTAGATGGACTGATCACAGATCGAGAAAATGAGACGATGTGGAGGGCGCAGACCAACCTTCATTAGAGTCCTCTGAGCGCGCAAATGTCAGTGTTGCAGATTTTATCGCCAACCCGGTTACTTACTGGCGGGAATATGAGACCACTGGCCGTCTTCCATGGCAGAGGGAAAGAGCGAAGCCTGGTTTTTTCGGAAGGCATCATCAATTTTGACAAGTCTGAAATGAGTTGTAATAGCGACCATGTAAGTTAGGACATCGCCGCTGTCTAGTAACGCAGAGAAGCAGATTGTGAGAAAACAGATGAGCTCGACTTCGCTCCGAAGCAAAACCGGGGCCGTGTCTTGCTGTTCATATGTGCCATGGGGTCTCTGAAACAGCCATTTATAGATTTGATTGCTGGAGTGTCCTGTACACGAAGACAGGGACAGAGACCCTGACTATCTGAGATGTCGTAAATGCGTCTACTGGGGGCAGTCCGCTAGAGTCCGCTAGCTATTCTTTACCAGGTCCCCGTAGTGTATGATGTAATCATGACTAGGAAATGTGCAAGCGCTGGACTTCGGATTGTGGAGTGCACGAGAAAAAAGTGAGACCGTGGGCAACACGGCTCACCGAGTCCAGGATGGGTATCCAGTCAGGCTGAATCCGTTGAGGAAAGTATTTGGGATATGTACTTGGTATGATCGCACTGAATTTTCAGGGCCGTCAGACGCTTGCGCTACGGAGTGCAGGCCAAATCGTGGATGAGCCTTGGGCGGCAAGGACGCTGGTGACAATCGGATTTGACCAGACGAACACGCGTGTGATTGATCGAAGACGAAGAGATATGCGGCAGCATTCAGACTGGACGCGTTCTTCGAGCACTTCGATCCACGCACAGCACGCGCGCAGTGTGCACAATTGGCTTCTTGGTTGCGTACCGGTACTGGGGCCAGGAAACTCCCCTCTACGATCTGGGGTTATTTCGGGCCTACGATACTAGATATCATGTGCTCTGTCGGGCCTCCTCTCGAGCCGAGGCCAAATCCGTCCTCGCGCATGGATGTGTCCCACCCTCAGTCAGTATTTGTCGACCTCGGCAGTTCCCCGCCTGGGAAATGCCGCTCTGTAGGAGCCGGCGTGGGCTCAAGTTCAGAGCAAAAGGGCAACAGCGTGTCCTCGCCGGTAGTTGCCGGGAAGTGAGATATGAAACTAGTCTAGTAGACATATGCGAAGATACCGGTGAGCTGTGACACTGTGTATCATTAAGATTGACCGAGTCGATGGGTGTCCAGATACCAGCTCGCATATCTCTGTGTACCTGGAGCCTGGGGAGAAGAACCAAAGGAAACGAATCACGACACGGGAGCCTACTAGTAGTATCCGGGGTTAGAGAAGAACATCGAACTATCACGCCCTTTGGCGACTTCTCTCCCCCTGCAGCAGTCGCCATGCCTCCAGAAGCGCTGATCCTGCGACTGGGTCGAGCTCAGTGCCGTCCCTCGAAATCTTGACCTCGCGGTCACGGTTCCATGTATTGACAATATTCCGCGTCCGCTTGAACGGCAGCGACTCTGGACAGATCCACTCGACGGTGATTTGAGCAGTGTAGTCGGACACTCTGTCACTCTGTGGATCTGGCTCAGCATGTTCATCCGCTTCTGGTTCCGATCCAGCTTCAAGGACGTCCTGATGACGCTGGAGGAGTCTATCGAGACTGATAGGTTGACGAACGTCTTTTCCAGCTTCGTAAAACTGCTGAAAGTCTGGATGCCGGGGACCCATCACACTGGGCGCTGACTGGGGGACACCGGGCGGCGACGGGCTCGGTGTAACCGGACTAGCAGACTTTTCGGCAACGGTCGTGTTGGGTGGCAGACCATCATGAATAGCATCATTCGTCGTCACTACCGAGGTCCCCATCCTCAACGTCGTAGAAAATGAGCAAGGATCGGGTGCATCAGGAAGATCGCGCACCTGGCATACCCATAGAACTGGCCACTCTTATTGGCGCTAAAGAACAAGATTGTCTCCTCAGATGTGCGAAACGCCCGGTCCAGAACAGCCACGTTGTGTGTCTGGATGAACCACACTCCATCCTCAACACACCGATCCAACTCTTCCGTCGTCTGCGACTTGAGCACAAAGAATCGCCGCGGAAAGTGCTTTTCGAAGAAGCTCGACGTTGTCGAGGCGTCGGAAGCTGCGCTTGGAGAATCTGCGTCTTCGATGCCATCACCCGCTGCGATGCGGCTGTTGATCCACTGTCGGTGCAGGCCGACTCCTCGCTGCCCACCAACGCCTGTCCAAAGGTCGTCGTTGAGTGTCCGGACTCGGCAAACCAACGGCGGCCCTCGAGCCCAATCTGGGCCTAAATGTTTGCCATCACACTGTTCGATTGCAGCATTCAGGTGGGCTTCACTCGCGAAGTTGACGAAAGCGCAGCTCGATTTCGAGATCAAAAACACGGATAGCACACCGTGGTCGGGATTTTGTGCGGCGATGAACGTCTGCAGATTATGCTCGTCGGCGTGCTTGGGGACGTTGCCCATCCACATCGCCCATTGGGACCGATCCGCGGGCGCAGCAGGATGGTACACCCGCCGTTCGCTGGGCTTGTGGCTCTCGTACTGATTTTTGTTGGAAGGGGGAATAGATTCGTTTGGGTGGTGTGTGCTCGCGTTGGAATTCATGTGGACGTCTGAGAGAATGTGGGTGAGGAAGGAGCATCGACCGCAGGAGAGCAATAATGCATACCGGTTGATCGCTCTCGCGTTTCACACATATTCGCAAGAAGGTCGAGACCTGAACGAGAAAGACTCTGTTTGTTAATCAGGTCAATCTCGCGACTGGAGTCGTGGAGTAGGATGCAGTGTTGAATATTACGAATCCCCCGCAAGCTACTCGCATGGTGACATCATGGGCAAAACGCGGTCCTGTGAGTGATGGTAAAGCGAAACATGCCCATTCGGAACGAAGTTGAGGAGGTTTGGGGGAAAGGATGCGCTCGTCGCTTCGTCTGGATACGGTACCGTGCCGATGGCCGAGAGAATCCGGAGATGGTAGCAGCGAGTTGGGATTATTTTGGTTTGTGTTGCCGCTGGATGATCACTTTGTGCTTGTCGAGTGTTCGTCGCATCATCTGCTCAGGCCGATTACCAACCCCACCGGCTTCCAGCCCTGTCCGCCGACAGACGCTATTCTGCTATATCATGGTCTTGATCGCAGTGAAGGCGTCGGGGAAGAGCTCTGGTGCTCCTAGCGAAATGCTTGTCGGCCGTCTGGTATGTGGCAGGGCTCAATCCCTCGACATGCCTGCCTCAATAGACGATATACAGATGTGATCTGAAGCCGTCTCATTCCTCGCAAGACGGCCTGGACACCATTCGCTCCATTCCGCGATTCGCTGACGACCCGAGCTGGCCTCCGTTGCCTTCATCGCGCCCAGGCCATCTCAACAGAACCCTTCCAACACCGGAAACGGTTGGTACCAGTATCTCGAACTCCCCGTCATCCCGCGGTAGCAATGCACAGCCAGACTTCCTCGTGTTCTTTCCGAACGACGGTGCGGATCTTGTTGGGGAAACAGATGTCGAGAACCGTTTCTGTGGAGAGCAGGAACATTCTTGCGCGCCGGCCTCCTGCGGACTACGTGCCACAAAGGTTTCTTCACGCTGAGACCGTTTGCCCGCCCCCCTTGACTCTCAAGTACTTCGGTAGCGACGTTCCACGGGTCTGATCCTGAAACGCAATCGCTGGCCTAGATCGCGGCCAACCACGAGGTCTCATGGAACTTGAATTTGGTGGGAAGCGATGACATGTCTTTGGCGGTGCTTATGTATGACTGGCGCAGATTGTTTTCTCCAGGGGCCTTCTCACTTGACGCAAGCAGGGTGACAGGAAGTCCTGGCTTTGTGGTCGATGAGCTCCTCGATCTCAGACGTGGTGCCACCTCAAATCTTTCTGCATAGCGCATTTCTGGCGATTATAAGCACGTCTGGTCATTTCGATGTCATTTGTTGGACTAATCCCACGATTAGAACTCGAATACAAACACAGCACACATAGACACCTACCATTCCGTCTCTAGTGTATCATCATTCTCGCGGTTAATCGCATGTCCGCACTCGCTCCGCTTCAAAGTTTCCCGGAAGAGCCCCAAGACTCCTGTCCAAGATGGACCACATGCTGAAGCCTCCGCATCCCGGTTCGCGGAGAAGGGAAAAGACTTGGGAGCACCGAGTGGTTGAGCTGAAATGCCGATGCATGAATGCGCCACAACTGAAGTCGAGATGGACGAGATGAGAAGGCGGAGCCCCACCGGCCACGAATCCGGACAAGAATACGCCTGACTTGTGTACATGATCTGGGAGCGGATGAACCACTGGCTTGCGCACATACGAAAGGGAGCGTGAAGATTCGGCTAGAATGTGCAAGAGGCGCGAGGGGAACAATCGCGCAGGCGAGCGACCCGAGACGTTGGTGGAATGACAGAATGAGAGCTGAGAGCTGACCTCTAACCGTGAGCTTCTAGACTTTGAGCCCGTCAGAGCCTTTGACTGGTCGGCAGGTGACCATCCACACTGCTCTCCTTCGCACCGGTCATCTTGACAGGGCGAGGGGCGAGTGTTCTTCGCGAACAATGTCGCGGCGAAATGGTCTGCAACAGGGCAATGCGCTCGAATAGTGGAGAACGATTTCGAGCGACTGGTATTCGAAGACGTGGCACATCGACCATTTCCGTTGTGTCCAGAGGTAAGCGTTTCCTCGCTTTTACTTAGCGTCCTTGCCATGTGCTGATGATATGCAAATGCCGTTAGAGCTCAAACAGAAAGCAACTTCGAGAAAGAACAAACATCATGCCATCCCTGCACGCAATTATTTCTTCCGCACGGGCTCTCCATCCCTCAAATCCTTCCTCATTTCGGCCGGGTTTCGACGGTGCTGTGACTTTGGGTTCGAGATACTGCACCAGCCTGGGGGCATCGCCGCCGGATCGAAGACGTGGCTTGCTTCGTTGATGCTTTTCATCGGCTTTGTCCCCCCAATCGCCAGGGCTGACAACATCGGCTTCCCATCTGAACACATACTCCTCAATATTCGCGCGCTCTTGCGATTTCCTTTCCCGCACTGGCCACTCCTTTCCGTCGGGTTCCCGTCACCACGATAGCCAAATTTGACGCGCAGCGATCAAAACTCATATACGAGCATGACCGTCCACGCTAGTGACGATGAATAGAGTGGACGAGCCGCTCACAAGATGGGCTAGTACCAGGCGCAGTACTTGCTCGAATGCGGCTTCTATGATCTCCTTGCAATGTCACCGGATGTGGAGCTGCTTGAGCTGGTTACGTGAGCGTAGCCAGGTCCAATCCCAGAATCCCAATGATATGGTCCAAGGACGAACATCTCAGGCAAGTGGCGGCTGTCAAATGTTCCCGATGCAATTTGCTGACGACTTCGTAGACGGGGAGAGACCAATCGCCTGGTGTGTGAATGAGCGACAGACACAGGCTTCAGTGCACAGCATAAGGTTTGCGCATCTTCACTCTCGAACGGAGCAGCAAGTTGGGCTTCATGGAGCGAGGCCATCCACGAAGACAATGGCTGTCATTGAGACGGAGGGCGTCTGCTTGCTCGATCGAGTCCACACGGAGATATGCTTCCTACGGTCGGCCGCAGACAGCCCCGCTCTACTGCTCTCGTTACGCCGCCTCTGGAACCGTTTCCACGCACCCCGTTCCGGGTCGATATGCCTATCGATTTTCTTTCCTGGAGCGACATTATAGTCGTCGCGAGCGTATGCACTGGAGCATCAGATTCTCCGCCACTGGGTATGACGACAGTCACAGAATGTTCTCGAGAAAGGAGTTGAGCAGATGGCCCTGGATTATGTTCGCCACTCGTCGCGACGTTGCAAATCGAATTTGGGACTCGCCCTGTCCACCGTCCCGGAGGATTCCAGAGCACTCGTTCTCATGTGATGGAGGAGGTCGTGATGTGGGACGCGAATGGACGGACTGCGAAGGAATTGCCATGGAGGTCCAGCTATGCAAAGACCTTCGGGAGCGACTCATCCCCAGGAACTTGGTGGGGTTGGGGTGTGTCAGATTGAGGACGGAGACCACGATCAAGCTGACTTTGTCGATTCTGGCGTCCACTCAGCCGCATCCAGGCAGTGCCTATCTTGTGTCGTCTTCGCCTTCCTCCCTGCTTCCATCTCTGGCAAGTTGTCGACAGAATGGCCTTTCGCTCTCCGTGTGTGGGAAGACAGAACTCGGGTTTGTATGCATCGTCGTTGATGAGCTTGTCTCAATCTGCGTGGCAGGCAGTGCTGTGCGTGGGAGCGATCTAGCATTGTCGAGGTTGATTCTGTGGTACGGGTGGCCTGACGGGAACAAGTTGTTTCATTGGCGAGCTTACACTTCAATTTGTTTGCACTAAACACCACTATCGGCTGGTCGCCGCCCTCCCTTACATAAACACACTTTCCCCGCATAACACACCAGGCCCGAATGCTCAGACAAGATATCTCCTCGTTCTGGGCAATCATGAATGCTTGCTGACTTTCATCGAATCGACTTCCTGGCTAAAGACTTGCTGGGACTGTGCCATCTTGATTCGTGCATGAGAGGAGGGGATGTCTGTCATTTCTGTCCCTTTGTCGCGCGCAAACCCATTGTCTATAAGACGCGGATGGACCTTCTGATCTGCGAGCCAGGATTTGGCGGTCAAACCGGGGGAACTTCTCCAGCAGACGGGCGGACTAGTCTCTCCCTGCCCCGGGCACGGGCTTTATTTCCCCGCTTCCCCTATGATATTTACACACAAGTTGCCGATGACCGAAGTCAAGTCCTAGCCTGTGACACACTCTGCCTGTATCACGGTGTACCCAGCTCTGACTTTGCCCACTGCGAGTACGCGAAAAGCTCAGGCCGATCGTCGACTCTTTTCTCCGGAGACGGGAAGGAATGATCAGCATGTGACGTTAATTTCGTGCCATTTTCTTGACCTCGCATTTCACGTCATGTGTTTTGATCCAGGAGCAATTGCCTTCAAGTCGTGGACTATTCAGACTGGTGACTTGAAGGCTGCCTTCACGCACTCGCACATGCTCCCCAGTTCCAAGGCGGGATCGCTTCTGTCGAATGCCCCCGAGTGGACGAGCCCTCAATCTCCCGGGCCGCCCCATCAGAGAGCATTCGATCGATTCTCCTTGGAACACGCAAAGCGATATTTGAAGACGAACAAGCTGGCGAGGCATCTACCGGGTGGCAGCATTGCCACAGCTCATGGCTTGCTGGGCATTGCCTCGTTGATGAGGAATCTCAAGTCTATACGCAGAGGATTGACGTTGGAATACTCTCAGTTTCTGTACCCGTCGTTCAGAGCCAGACAAGTATCTGCAGTATTGCAGTGAAACACGCGATCTGATTATCATTTGAATAATTCAGTAACCATGAAGTATTGATCCTGGGCTGCTAGCTCTTCCCGATCTGACGAAGTGAGGTGCCGGCTTTCAACGACGGTTTCACGCCGAACAGCATCTGTTCGGGAGTTGGGCTATGCGAAGCCCTGTTTCAGAGTGTTTAGTGCTCAGTTGAGGTCCAAGAGCCTAGCAGTGTGCTATTCCCACGCACACTAGGGCTTCAACCGTCAACAGCATCAAGGATTCGATGCCGAACTCATCGAGTAATGCGCGTGTGTCGGCGGCGCTCATCACAGACTGGGACTGGTTCCATCGCTGCATAAAAGCATCGAGTCTCGCTGCGAGGCTAGTCCTCCATCGGTCTCTGACTATTGCAACCTGAGCCTACAGAAACATCGATGTCATCTCCGTATACTCAGCCACGCACTCGGGTTTTCGTCGCTTGTGTCAGCTGCCGCAAGTTGAAAGTCAAGGTATATTGCCGCTCCGTCTTTTTGTCGCACATCCACCAACCGGGTTTTCCAGTGCATGAACAACAACGAAGATGATACCCCATGCGCTCGATGCGTCCAACGGAATATCCAATGCATCTACGCTCCAGTCAATTCCAGATCAACGGAGAGTGACGATAGGGCACCTGATCCGCATTCGAGAACGGTTTAGATGACTGAGATCAGCGGGATCTACTTTCAGACTTGAAATCAGGCACTTAGATGGTGTTTATCGAACGGCCATGGACGCTGTAACAACAGTCATTCATGCTTGATCCGTTGATTGTCGATGAATGAGGAAGAAACGAATATCACTGGCTGCATTTCCAAGAAAGAGTGGGATAATACTCGGCATTTCAATGAGAGCATGCTATATCTCTTAGCCAAGACTTGTTTGTGGAGTCCGTCCACGAGACCCCATATACACTCCAGTCCCAATTCCGGGCAGATGAAATACACCAGGATCTTGTTTTTCGCATGCTGCGGCCAGCGAGCTCCGCGAGCAAGAAAATTTTAGATTCTAGGCAGCAAGCCTACCAGCATGCTGAGTAAAATGCGCGAGGTAGAAGTAAGATGACGGTGAAGCCGAAAAAGGACGAGGCAGTTGTTGCGCTCGCACGGTCCGAAGTATGATAGCCAATGCGGATGTTTGATCGATCAGTCTTGGGGAAATGACGTCAATGCCTGCTTCGACTGCTTTTCCTCGCCTAAAATTCAAGCAATTCAATCCTGTCTAGACCACCAGAGCTACCAGTGTGTTATTGAAATACGAGGATTGTGCGCCTTGAAGTACGTGGTCTAACAGGTACTCAGGACAGGTCCCGAACTCACGAAAAATAAGAGCCGGTCATGATGTCACTCGAGGCGACTGACCCGTCATGGATCTGGTTGATGTGATTAAGACTCTTTTTTCTTCTCATCGACCAGGCTCTCTCTCTCCACCGCTACCCAGGGGCATCTTGCCCACACAATGCCCTCACCTACGCGGCCCGTGCGAGACGAGCAACGCAATCGAAGTAAGCATCACTCACTTTTCTTGATCACCGCTCCGCATACACGCCTGCTTGCTCAGTACCTTGTCCTGCCATCCTTACTCCCTCTTACTCTCTCATTCTAGCTACTCGTGGTACTGATTTCGCTCGTAGGCCATTTGGCGTCTCTGTCGTTGTCTGACAATTGATAGCATGGCGCGGTACGGACCCCAGGACAGCACCAAGTTTATCCACACTGACGCTGGATGTCCAGCAGGGAGTATCACTAACCCGAAATCCCGGTGCTTTTGGGCCATTGAACCACGTCCCCAGTCGCCTGTCCCCCGGTTCCACTCCATTTACGTCCCACACGTCACTGCGATCGTCATTTGGCTCCCCCCACTTAGCGCCTTCGCAGTCCGGCGCTTTCCATGAATCATTGAACCCCTACGTTGCTCCTTACCTGTCATCCACCACACCAGCATCGTCTCTCCCGGCGTCGAACTCGGCCCTCTCTGGGTCTTTCGACCACCTGCATCCTCGATACCACATGTATTCTTCCGGCCGAATGCCTCTCTCCCCTCCATCCTTCCCAAGCCAAGAGCAAGACGGCGGGACATGGATGTACTTTCCCCCTCCAAGACCGCTGATACCCGCCCATCCGGTGCCTCCAAGTCCCCCTCAGCGCACACCCTCGTTGTCCCACCAGCGACGGCCATATCACCCAGCCGCGCCGCCGCATCGATCGGAGTGGGCTATGTGGGTCGGAAACATCCCACGGGACACGGACCATGACGAGCTCTGGCGTTTCTTCACCCAGCCCCCATCGGGAGGGGACCCTGCGGGCGTCAGCGCCAGCTCAAGACGCAATGGCGTGCATTCCATCTTCCTCATTGCCCGTTCGGGATGTGCGTTCGTGAACTACGACTCACAGAGCCAGCTGTCGGCTGCTATTTCCCGGTTCGATGGCATGGCACTGCGCGCCACCGCCTCGGTCGGCACGAGCAAGGCTGGCTCGCCACTCGTTTGTCGGATGAGGAAGCATGAGGATGACTTGAATGCTGGAGTTGGAGGCCAGCGCGGGATGGGGCTGCACAAAAAGTGGGTCAAGGACAAGGGGAAGGGCAATGGCAAGAACAAAGGCAAGCCGAGTGTCGTGGTCATGAGGGACAATTTGCCGATCGTCGGAGCAAGCGTGCAAAGCTCCGGACATGCACAGACGGAAAGTGGAGGAAGTTCGGGATCGGGATCAAATGTGTCCACCAACTCAAGTTTCCTCCGCGAGCATTTTCCCCGACGTTTTTTCATTCTCAAATCTCATACGCAGGCACGTGGCCACGCACCGTCTAACTATCTATTCTCACCTACCAGCAGGAAGACCTGGACCTGAGCGTTGAAACCGGTGTCTGGGCAACTCAGAGTCACAATGAAAGTGTCTTGGACAGGGCGTATCGGACCTCGGAGGATGTCTTTCTGTTCTTCAGCGTGAACAGAAGCGGTGAATTTTACGGATATGGACGGTGTGTGATGCTCGGTTTGAGGTGGTTCGAGACTGAATGCTTCTGAAGCATGACAGGTCCCGTCGAATTACGACGCAGCAAACCTGTTAATGATCCGCCACATCTATCGATCTTCGCTGGTAGCTCGCCGCTGTTCGATGAAGATCTTCCTCCGCCGGAAGCTCTACTTCCTCCATCACTGCTGGATGACGCCGAAGGCAGCGAACACGAGCTCAATCATGAGTTCACGCTTCACTGGATTTCCGTTGACCGCCTTCCGTTCAGCCGCACTCGTCACATCCACAACTCGTGGAATCACGATAGGGAAGTGAAGGTCTCCCGTGATGGGACGGAGCTGGAACCAGATGCTGGAACGGGGCTTTTGGATGCATGGAGAGCTCAGCGCGCTGAGCTCCCTCAGCAAGCCACCGCAAACGTGAACCCGCGCCGGAGGAGGCATATGGCACAGCCGTCATTGTCATTTTCTGCCAGTCCTGTCAGCCGGTGAACCCTTGGCCATGTGTTACTCTCCTACCTACTACTGTATCTTACTTCCTGTTGTGATGTCATTTCCGTGCCACAACGTGTTGTTACGAAACCATGTTATATAAGCAGTATCGTAAAATCGCTCCATGGACCAAGCCTTCGGATGGCCTGATTCGACCCCAATCGGGTTTCCGAGAGTAGCATTGACATATATATCCGGATGCATTATGTACAGTCTCCAGCAAGTCATGTGAACCGTTAAGATGCATTTGTTATGGCAAATGATTAACTACAAGATTGCACGCGACTTGAGTACAGCGGTGATTTCCATTGCCATGACGTCATTTCTACGGAAAGCTATGTTTAGTGTACTCATGTGGGCTCTCACGGCATCCCTCGAATCTGAGCGTGGAAGCGTTTACATTCGTCATCTAGCAGCCGAGGACCCAGCGATCGGCAAAATACTACTCATCGTCTGTTGTTTATTGTTGTTGTTGTGTCGATCCTTGCCTTCAGTCCATGCGCCAGGATCCAATCGACGGCGATGAGAGTCTCCTCCGGACTTCTGACCTGCTGGAATATCGATATCTGAATGCTAGCCAAACTCATCACCTCGAAACTTTGGCACTGCAGCCTGTGGCGACTCCGAATCTTTTTCTCGCGATGCTCGGTATCCACTTCTTGGCCCCACTTCCACTTGCGATGATGTCAGTTCGATTCCTGCAGTGCTTCGGCGTTTACTTATAAGGAACACCTTCCAGGAAGCAGCTCCACCCCAGCACTTTCTGGCACGAGCATTAATTCCAGCACACATGAATCGGCACGACGAACGGGCAGATGGTGCGTGAGCATCATGCGTCCTTTTGGTTTCGAGAAATGACAGACCTGTAGCCAATAGGAGGCGACGAAATTGTGCGGCACTTCAGTCTTCTCTCATTCTTGAATCCAAGCTCATCAGAACACGTAGCCTCGTTTCCCGGCCGAACCGAAACAGACGCTCAAGCCTCGAGTTCAGACCCAACGACGCAGCTCACGTTCCCATCTTTGAATGATCCACCACCTCCAGAGTCTCAGGCTTCTCCCTACTTCCACCAGCAGCCTCCATCCTTGGTTTTCCAGCATGTGCATGGCCCCCAGTACTCGCCGGGGACATCACCGCCGTTCCAGTACCAATCATACGCGCCCGCTTTCATTCACATTCCGAGCCAGAGCGGGTTTCAAGCGCACCAGCAGCCCCTTTCGTCCCCCGGATATTTCTCGTCGCGTCCGACTTTCCAGCGGTCCTTCTCCGACGTCCCACCCTCGTCGTCATTCCGGGCCGGTCCTTCGTCGTCTAGCATCCCGCTTTCGACACCACCCACCCCAATGCTGGAGCAGCCGTTATCGGCGGAATCGCGGTCGGATTGGGCCATGTGGGTTGGGAATGTGCCCAAGGACGCAACGCAGGAGGAGCTCTTTCGGTTCTTCTCGCAGTCACCCACGTCTGGTTCGTCCACTGTCCCGAACAACGGTGTGCTCTCGATCTTCTTGATCCTCCGCTCCCACTGCGCGTTCGTGAACTACGTCTCGGAAGAAGATATGATGGCTGCGATCAAGCGCTTTAATGGGCTGTCCCTGAGGCAGGAGGGTCGCTCTGCCGCGTTGTTGTGTCGGAAGAGAGATGGACGGAATGATTTCAGCGAGAGCGGCACTGGCCAGCAGAAGATGAAACTGCACCGTCGTTGGGTCAAACAGCGTACCCAGAGCCACAGCAGCGAGGACGAGTCCGATGCTTCAACAACATCAAGCTTCCTCCAGCTGCACTTTCCTCGACGGTTCTTCATTCTGAAGTCGTTGACGCAGGTGACGTTCTTCGGCTTTGTTCGCCAGCCAGTGTGTCGTTACCCTTCAACTAGGACGACTTGGATCTCAGCGTCAGGCACGGTCTATGGGCAACCCAAAAGCACAACCAGTCAATCCTAGAGCAAGCCTTCCGAACGTCTGAGCACGTCTTTCTTATCTTTAGCGTCAATAAGAGCGGAGAGTTCTTCGGATACGCCAGGTGGGCCCCGGTTACGCGACTCACTATCGATCCCCCCTGATCTCGCGAAAGAATGGCAAGCTTACCGGCGCCGGGCAGCGTTCAAGTCGACTGGACGCACAGGCAGACGTCCCCGACATCCCCAGGTGCTCGAGAAGGAGGAAACGAGTGGGGTCACGAATTCCATATCCACTGGATACGAACCAAGCGGCTGCCCTTTGCGCAAACTCGCAATTTTCGAAACCCGTGGAACCAGGGAAGAGAGATTAAAGTCTCCAGAGATGGCACGGAATTGGAGTCTTCCGTGGGAGAAGCGGTATTGGCTGCCTGGGACAAGCCAGCACTCTCGAACAACTAGTTCAACGAGATGGTTGCTGTCAAGCAGTCAGGTTATCTAGGATCGTTCTAGCACCCGTAGCATGATCAAGATTTGCCTTATCACCCTTGTGCGCCTGAGTTGTTTTGAAGGGTTAGCGGAAGGCTTGCACGTGCAGGCGGAATATTCGCACGTGTATCTCACGTGCACAGGCCTTTTCAGCCTGAGAGCAGAAGCTGCTGGGATCACGAGCCCTCACGTCTCTACTTGTAATCATGGCGATAGACGGTTATGCTCTACCGCCCGAGATATGGCTCCACATTTGGTCCTATTCACCTCGGCACCATCTGCTGCGACTGGTCCTCGTTTGCCAATTGTTCCGGAGCCTTCTCCAGCCCACTGTATTCCGGCAGATTGAGCAACGAGCTGCGGGACTTGAATCGAGCATAGACTGGATTGCGCATACGCAGAAATTTTGCCGCTCGGCGTCTCGATATCGGTGGATATCACAGGGTGCGCTATGTAGGGAGGTGGTGACAATGACCTTCTCGGGAACCCATCGCCTGGAGACTCTGCCGCGTCGGTTTCCGAATGTCAAGCACATTCACCTTGTGCATGACAGCTATCTCCGGGCCTGGAATGCGTTCAAGGAGGCCCTCCTCACTTTCATAAACCTACACATCGTCTCCCTCACCGCTGTACCTGTCGACACCTCAATTCGCACAGCTCTATCATCGATTCCCAGGCTCAAGACTTTGGAACTGGGGGATTGCAGCATCACGGCGCATGACGGACCCCTTCTTCCCCTTACGGAACTGGTCATCAGAGGCAGGATCCTCGATCCACGGGCCGTTGCATCTCCTCTCCTTCTCGCTCGCGCAGAGACGATCGCTGAATTGAAACTGGCCCGGCGGTACGACGAGTATGCACTGTTGCGAGGATTCATAAAAATGCAGACAACGTGTGGCTCTCTCACTGTTCTTTCCCTCCCGTTCTTCGACGGCGATGCACAAACGTTCTTTGACTTTCTCCGGCTGTGCGCCAATGTCACAACGCTGAATATGGACATGGCACCCGAGCGCGATTTTGACGAATCGTTTCCTGGCGATGCAACGATTCTTCCCGTTCTTTCATCGATCTCAGCACCTCATCGTTGGGTGCGATTCTTTGCGCCGGGTCGTCCTATTACCTCATTGGATCTTTCTGACGTTAGCTGGAGAGTGAGCCTGGATCCATGGGACGAAGTCCAGCGCACACTGGGCATCCTTCTTGCTTCTGGAGCTGAGCTACGGAATCTATCTCTTTTTGTCTTTACGCAAACTGTTCCAGAGGTGACAACATATCTGACTTCATGTTGGCCGCACAGTCTGGTAGATCTTCGTCTAACAGTCTGGGATCTCTGTGGGTTTTACAGCTCTCGGCGTCAGCGTGTGCGACGAGCTTCTGAAGCTATACCGAAGCCGAACCCGGACGATTTCGATAGCCGACTGGTGGATTTGGACGGAGATCATCCACGCCCCGATTCTCCACCACTTTCGCGCCCTTCCTCGCCATCCGAGGGCAGCATCATCGTCGAGGGACCAGCGGCTTTCCAGCCGAGCGACTTTTCGAGAGAGGATGGAGATCGACGCCCCTTGTCTTTCGCGGCACGTCCCGAATATTTGCAAGATTTCAGTCTGACTGATAAGTTGCTCAACGACAGGAATTGTTGAATCTGATTTGCGCCGCCAAAGTTCATTTCCCGCTGTCTCTTCGCAGGTTCAGTTTGACCTCGGAACATCTTTCCAACCGCCAGGATGAACTGCCCCCCTATGCTCTGTATTCACGAGCATTAGAATGTGATGCGGTTATGTCACTCGGCCACTTGCTCCATCATCTTTCGTATCTTCGATTCGGTAGTACGCTGTCTTGGTGAATTCGTCTGAACGGCTTTCAAAATGCCTGGTATGATGGGTACGTTCTTATTCTTAGGGATTACTCGATCTGAATTTGGTCTTCCAGCAACGAGAGACTTGCCTGAATTGGAAGTCTGCACACAGGCCGGGAATGTAACAAGAATTACGGCAAGCATTTAGCTAGCATTGTGCGCTGCAGCATGAGTACTTATGCGGAGGCCCCTAGTCTAACTTTTGGCAATCTCTGCATGATCATCAACGCACGGTCTCGATCGACAAGTAATGCACCGACCGATTACAATATGCGACCTCAACTTGCCCTATCTCCCCACATTTCGTGCAGCATATTGCGGTTTGGTCATCTTATCGTTACTGAAGTGGGGACATTCGATGAATGGGCAGCGCTTGTGTTTGCTGTCTACAGCAAGTGCCCGCAGAAATATCTCGCGTAGCTTCTTGATCTCTGCCGGGGGACGCCTCGTCAGACGGCTCAGCTGCTCGATACCTCCACTCAGGCCGATATGTCGACTTGCCGGCAGCGCAAATGGATGATCTCGGATCGTAGAGGCGATGATAAAGCTAGCGGAGAAGACTGGAACTGATCGCACCCGAGGCAAGGACTCAATAGCGCTAGGAGCACGCACCGATAAATGCAGTGCGTCCGAGGAGGATCTCATCCAGCGCCCGTTTTCTCTCTTCCCCTAATGAGCCGGACTCGGCCACAAGCACATCCCAACCTGATGTAGAGATGTACGGCCGACTTTCCTTGCCCGACGCATCCGAGAAGCTTGCCGCAATGCTTTCGCAAAGCTCGATGAGGTTGTCCGCAAAATCTGCAAGCTGACCGACGCGCATCTCTTTCTCGCACCAAATACGTGCATCGTGCAAGTGGGAAGATGTCGCCGCGGCGCGCGTCATTCCATCCGGCACATAGCGCCTTCGGTCCGAAATGGTCGTCTGCTCCCAGTGCATTGAAGCTCCCATCCAACTGTCACGAGCGGCACAATCTTCAGCTGCGTTTGACGGATCTGGGCCCATAGCGCATCGCTCTTCCGCTTCTGTTCGTAAGGATCCAAGAGAGTCAGTCCGCGGCTCATGATGTTGCTCAGCTGCTCGAGCTACGCGGCTTCGTTCGAGAAGCAGTGAGTGGGCAACTGGAAGACGTCTTCCCAGAGCGCGTCCCACCGAATGGCGTTGGAAGTCTCGAAATGGAGGAAAGTGTGCGGGGGTGGAACTGTCATCGAGAGCGAGATTGGAGAAGAAGAAAAGTTGGGTGGGTCACAGGGGGTTGATTAAACTTGGGAAGTTTCGGCCTCAAAGCTAGCCACACAGCCACCTTGCCCTATTAGTACATGGAATCCCAATGCTCCTTCTGAGACTCCAGAGAATCCAAACGGGGATCAAAATCCTTCCTGATAATTTATGAATCGATTTAAGATTTATTCTGGGTGTTTACATGGGAATTACGCAATCGAGCGAGTTGCATTGCATCTGCGCGAATGAGGCAAGTCACCTGGCCGCACTGTGAGATGGAAAGAGACTATGCCAGCCAAGTTGCCTCGGTACCTGGCTTAGACTTAACTCAAGGTGTCGGGTCTCAAATCGATGCACTGGCAAGAGCTTCCAGGGCCTGCAGCATCAGCTCGTCTCGGGGTACATAGCGAGTATTAATGGTAACAGTAGTAGTAGCAGCAGCAGCAGCACTAGTAGCAGTAGGAGCAGCAGTATAGTACTAGATACGTGCTCTCTGTGCTAGTTGACGGGAAATGCTCCCAGCGAACTTTTATTGCCTGGCTGTGTAACATCCATCCTGCTTCTGCTCATCATTGCCAATCAGATTGTGATGGTGTGCTCCGTCCGTGTCTCAGATCTGAGTGATCAAGGCTGGTAGAAAATTACAGAACTTATGATAGTGGTCTAGATGAAATGCTTCTCGCGCCAGAATCCAATCCATCTCTCCGCGTCGTCCACGTCTAGAGGCTTCAAGTCTCTGAAGGCCGGACTATACTCTTGCGACACCGACGTCGCAAACCGCACGGCACCCGTTCCGACCTCTGCTGACTGGAAGAACTCGAGCAGCTTGATGCCGGGCTGATAGGATGGTATCGGAATCGAATCTTGTTCTCCTTTACAGGAAACACTCACCACTCGCTCAAAGTCCTCCGCTGTCGCACCCACCGCGGCCGTCTTGAGCCGTTCGATCCACTCCGGAAATGCGATCAGTGGGAGATGGAGGGCGCCCGCAATCCCACTCATGATGGTGTCCCATGTAACGGGTCTGGGATGGACGAGATTCATCGCACCAGGCGCACGGACCTCGCACAACGCAACATCGATAATCGCTTGCGCCACGGCTTCAGGCGAGAGCCACGCGTTCATTCCGGCTGGCTCAGACGGTAAAGCACCCAGCGCGATGCTGGATTTGACCAGACTCGGAACCCAGTCGGACGTGGACCAGGCTCCTGTTCGACCAGAGCCGCAGATTTGGCCAATGCGAAAGGAGGTGGCATCCAGTCCGGAGGCAGCGATGATCTGCGCTTTGTTTCAGGACAGGGTTTGAGAATCATCTTTGAGAAGCGTACCCGCTCGGCTACATATTTGCTCTCCCCGTAACCAAGACCCAGCGCAGCGCTCGGGTCCAGCTGCAGCTCTTCCGGAAATGGACCTCGTTTCGGATCCCAGCCGACAGCAGTCCCGACTGATGACGTGAAGAGGAGGCGGACTCCAGCATCCGATGCAAGGGCAAGATCTATCAAGTTGCGCGTGCCTTTGATGTGGGGCTCGAACGAGGCCAGCGACTTGTTGAAGTCGAGAGTCCACGCGTTATGAATGATCGCGCTGATAGTGTTCCTTAGCTTCAACGCTGGTGAGTACTGCAGAGCAAGGGGGAAGATGAACGCACTCACAGTCTCGAACGCAGACGGGTCTAAATCGGCAGCAGTACCCTCAAGGAATACGAGTCTGTCCGAGTCGAGCAGAAGCTTCGCATCCAGCCCACGCTCCAAAAACGTAGCGCTTTGCCGAGAGGCCGAACTCGCACGAGAGCTGTACCGGTTCAATGCGTACACGCGGCGAATAGACGGGTGCTTAAGCAGGATCTCAAGCAAGTGAGAGCCGAGACCACCAGTTGACCCGGTCAATAACACGACCTCGCCACTTTCCGGCCGCGTTTTAGCGCGCAAGCTACCGCTCAATCCGGCCGAATACTTGAGGATCATCTGTTCGACAGCAACCTTGGGGTCCACAGCTTCCAAATGCGTTCCGAGACAGAGAGCAGACACAGCGGCGGCGAGAGCCTCGATCGTGGGATGCGAATACACGAAATCTTGCGGAATCTTGAGTGCAGCGGTCTTGAAGTCCAGGTTTGATGAATTGTTCATCGCGCCAACAATACGATGCCGGAGGAAAGTCGCGTTGAGACTGTCGAAGCCCTGGTCAAAGATATCGCCTCCCGCGTGGATTTCCTTATCCGAGAGCGATGAAGCGTGTGCTGACAGCCACGGAACGAGGTCAGGTGAGGTCCAGCTGGGAGGAGGAGCTATCTCGTTTGCGGAATGAGTACTAGCATCGATCGTGTCGTACCTGAGATATGTAAGTACTTTGATGGTATTCAAAGCTAACCTGAACTTACAGCGCGTCAATCTCAGCACAATATAAGGCAACGGTGGCTTTCTTGACAACAGTGCCTTTCGGTGTGCGGATGAGAGGTTTCGCACGAGAAGCAACAAGGATCATCTCCTTATAGATCCGGGCAAACGCAGGCGCACTTTCATTCGCTTCTTGCACCTTCTCCCTGTGTAAAAGCGAGTCAGCACCGTTACAAGTTGTCAAAAACAAAGTGCGCACCAGACAAGATTCCGGAACTTGGCAACCTCCGCAGTGTCCGTGGTGTTCACCTCATATCCCGCGCTGGGCTCGATCAGCACCCCGACCTGGTTTCTTTCGCGACCGAACATAACGGCCCCAGAAACATGAGGGCTAGAAAGCATGATGTCTTCCATTGGGCCAGGCACCGTTTTTTCTCCGTTGGCCATAATGAGCACGTCATCGAGCCGCCCAACGACCCGGTAAAGATCGGGTCTTGTGGGATGCCGTTCGAACAGATCCTTGGTCGAATAGCCCTGAACATCGGGAAGATTCTCCACTGCCGGGTGAAGGCCGTCGCCGCTCTGATAGCTGCGGTTAAAACGGAGAGCTGGACTTGAAATCAAGTGACTCACCAGGAACTGCAGCTCGAATGTGTTGACATCTCCCTCTGGGACCCATCGAAGTTTCGCTGTTTCTGCGAACTTGAACCACGCCCAGTCTCGAGGATCGTCATCAGCCCGTATGACATTCGGCATGCCGACTATGCCTTGTAAATGCGATGCAGGGAACCAAGTTATAAGCGATGACTTACATTCTGTAGCCCCATAAAGCGTCACAAGCTTCACACCTTGCTCAACGAGTTCGTCGCCAACCTGGAGCGTCAATGGCCCTCCACCGAATGACTTTCCCACAATTCAGTACCCGAAAGCATCACAATCGCAACACTTACGACTATATTCAAGCTCTTCAGATAGTCCACCGCTTCCGTAGAACGAGCCCAATCCAAGATGAACGCAGGGACGGCAAGCACTCCATCAGCTCTCGCGAGCTTTGAATGGTGCAGGGCAAGATCTGACGTCGGGTTGGGTGGGACGTGGTACTCTGTCGCTGTCGAAGCGGGAGGCAAGATACATCCCGTGCCGCCTTTTACCAACGGGAAGAGGATCTGCATAAGGCAGCCCATAGCGTGGAATGGCGGTAGAGTACCGATCGCGAAGCGAGGTGCGTACGCTGTGAGCTGGTTGAATGCACCTACCGGGAGCGTTTACGTTGAGTCGTTGTGTTTCAAAGAAGGATTGACACGTACCGAGAGTCGATATCTCTAGTAACAGACGATGGGACATATGAATCGGTTTGGGGAATCCTGTGCTTCCACTGGAGTGCAAGCACAATGCGATGTCGGTTGCGGGTGGAATGGGGTCAGAGACCGGGTACGGCGTAAAGTCGTCAGCTACAGACTCGTGCCCGAGATGAGGGTACAGCTCTCCCAGTAAAGGGATCTCGTCCACAGACAACTCATACGTCAGATCCTTCGCAGCAAGCTCAGATACCACATCGGCAATGAGGTGTCCCAGGGAGGCTCGTGTAGTGAGGACACGATGACAGTTGGTCGACTGGAGCAAATGCACGATCGCTGCGGGTGAGTTGCGGTGAGAAATTGGGAAAGGCTGGAGTTGACACGAATTGGATGAGCGAATTGACGTGACACCTCACGTGATCACTCACAGTAAGGCCTGCTCTGATGCATCCTACGACGATGGATTGATAAATGAGAACGTCCGCGAGAGCAACGATCGCCACGAATCGTCCTCCCTCTCTGACCTGTTTCTCTGCTGATATCAGGTGAGCGGCGCGATGGGCGGCCCGTGCGAATTCAAAGCGAGTGATGTCGGTTAGGACGACTCCCGACTGAGGATCTTCTTTGGCGAACGAGAAGGCTGGGCTGTTCTCAGGATTTTCAAGGTGAAAGTCTAAGATCTGCGGCAGGATGAGAGAGCGATTGGGAGGCGCGAGAACACTGCTGGAAGCGCCATTGTAATCATTCAATGAAGACATTGCACGTTGCTATGGGGTATGTAACAGCCAGTAGCTCTCAGTCCTGCTTTTTGAGATCTTTCATGCTGGGGTTATTGTGTTCATCCGACCCTGATCTCGGGGCGTAGTTGGTAGCCGTCCCGGTGAAGGTTGTCATTTGCACTGTGTAGTGATAACATAATCACGGCCGTCAAGCTAGAAGAAGTCACTGGCCCGTTGCTTCCGTGCGAGATGACGTGTGCAAGATGGTGTCGAGGGATTCAACACAGACCATGAAGGTGTCCGCTGGCGACGGACGCGTGCGAGCATCGCGGACTGACATGTGAGATTCCCAGCGCTTCTGCGTCATTCGAAGCGGAAGGTTGATCTTTCCAGTTCAAGGATCATGAAGTGTTATTTATAAAACTTCATCCGTAATGTTCAACAATCTCTTGTGTATGAAATTCGATAGACACAATCATGACTTCAGCTGAAACTGTCTACCCCGGTGTTTTAATCTGGCAGCCATGATGATTATGAACCATTATCGGGAATGTCAATTGAACGAGGACATAATTGAACATTCAATGAGTAGTTCATTCAGATAATCTCGTTCCTGAATATTGATGAATCTAAACTGCCCCGAAGCCTTTGGTCAACGTCTATTCTCTAATTAGTACGGATGTCGGCAGAGGTAACCAAGATCGTTCGACAGTCGATAAGATTACGATTAGATGAGATGAGTATTCAGCCGTTCATCAAGTCACAAACGTCAGGCGCCCAACTAATACTAGAAAGCGTCGCCCTTGGCGACTGAATGCCTTGCTTGAGTAACATACAATGACATTGCATGCCAATGATAAGTAACTATGCATAATCGCGTAGAGTTCCAACCTTTTCTCTTTTGTGAAAGTAGCACTGGCCCTAAAATAAATGAAATCGGTTACAAATGTTTAAGAAACTGTTTAAAACCTTTTAAACGATTAGTTATTTGAGGCAAAAGGAAAATACGAAATCAGCGGTGTATTAAATGAGGAAACAGATCTAGATTAAGATGAAATGAACGAATACAATAGAGGGAACTAAAAATTTCAAAGACTGAAGCAATCCAGCAAGGCGGGGAGCTGCATGTGCAGGGTCAATTGGATGAGCAATGAGCAGGAGCAAGTCAGCAGTAAATTGAATTAAGTTGTGGCAGCGGTGTGAGACATGTTTAGGAACGAGGTATGAGCGGGAATTCAGTAAAAGAGACTGGGGACAAGTGTGCAGGGAAGTTAAGACACAGGATCAGTTAGCCCCAGAAGAAACCATTTAAACATTTACTAAATTTTTGTTTATTGTGTAGACCATGCCCTAAACAAAATGAAAATAAAAATAGTTATAACCGTTTAAAACGCTATATTGAAGACGCGAACATGAAGTGCACGAACAAAAAAGGATGGAGCGTGCTTGATGGGACGCGTGTGTGGTCGATTATGGGACGCGTGTGTGGTCGAGTGTACCATTGTAAGCCACGCACGCCTCGGGAGAACACGGAACAGCGTCACCGGATCAACAAGGCCATCAAAAAGAGCGAATTATGAGTGTGGAGAGTGCCTTGACAAGCAAGGCAACTATAGACTTGGAGATAATCGCCCTCTAGACTTTCTTTCCCAGTTCCAGCTAGGTGTTTCAATAGTCTTTTGATCATACAACCGGTACCATGACGATCATCTCGAGCCTCGCGTGCTCGCATGCAGTCTTGATCTGCACCCACGTCGAATCTTGTACTACATACGCATCTCGTCAGCTTGATTGTAACCGACGATCTGAATACCATGGCGCCTCTTTTCCAGGTGCGCGCTAGTGGTTCAGTGTAGTCTCATCACATCTGCGAGTCCTTACCGCTTTCTTAACGTGCAGGGTGCTGACGTGGGGGTAAGTGGACCTGACCTTTCACCCAGTATTGACTGATGACAGGACTTGTGCCGGGGTTGACGTTAGCGAAGACGGTGTCGGTGCACAAGGTTTGTATCCGGACTTCAACCAGCCGTCGGGTCTGTACGACATTGCTGCGGTCCCTAGTAAGCGACGCTTTGTCCATCCTCAGGGAAGTTTACGATTCGTCCAAGGATACTCCCCTTGCTCCTGAGCCACGAGCGTGGTCAGCGCAACGTCTGCTTCGGGACTGTCAGCCTAGATCGCCATCAAGAACTAATCATCCGACTTATAGCACTACTTGCTCACAGCGATGACCGGTCAAAGCTTTATACATAGTCCATTTCAGAGACCCGTGGGACGACCTGCTTGACCAGAAGAAGCCTCATGCAGAGCTAGTTTAACGCAACCTGAGATTGCTAGCCCCGGTGGAGGATCAGCCGTCCACCCTGAGCAAGTCCGAGTCCACAATCCTCGAGCTGAGCGCGTGTGGATTCCGTGAGCATCATATCGATCGATCGGTTACCTTGTTTGAACGAAACCTTAAACCACGATTCCGGTTGCGACTCAAAGATCCAGAGAAGAGAGGGAGCAGGTTAAACCGGCAAGTGATGCGCGTCCATTCAGGAACCTGGATATTGCCCGCTATCTCTGGCTCCTCAGGTGGACGCACCCTCGATGAGTCCCCGACGTCTGAATAGCCGTATCTGAGATGGGACTTGGACAAAGGCTTTCATACTCCGGGCTCTGGAGAATCCACGTGAATGCCTGCTATGGGCCACTCTTGCGTAAGACTATCTAATCCAAAGGAGAGATCTGTTTCGTTCTTCGTGGTTTGGTGTTTCCGTCTTTTGATGTCAAGTCTCAAAACCGACAGGATGAATGATTCACTGGGAGCGGATCCGAGACCAGACGGACTGAAACTTTTTGGAGCTCATCAAGTCACCGATTGAAGGAAAACCCGACAGTCCTTCACGAGAGCCCTGTCCTCTTCTCGCACATCCACCCTCTGGGTCCCAGACCACAATGATCCATCGTCGAATCCAAGCGGTCTAGTCCTCCCGCCGACAAATCCAAAACTGGAGCTCTTGGCTTCCGTGCCGCGTATGGCGAGGATGCGGTGAAGGATAGTTGGAGTGTGAAACCGCGTCTCTCCCGCAAGGTTGTCACTGGGCTCAGCTCCAACTCCTGATTAGCAACACACGAGCGACTTGACGGCGGTGGGAGAGGAACGATGAAACCGTCCGTTCGTGGAGGGAAGAGAGTTCTGACTCGGGGTTGGGTCTGAGCCATCTGGAGGTCGTCACGCAGTCCGTTTGACTCAAATACTTTCGGAGGTGAGACACCGACCGGGTACCTCTCCTAGCAGACTCGGCTGTTTCAGTGTCAATGCGCAGCTCCATTAGAGGCTATCGAACACTAGGCATGTGTGTTATACATGTGCGTGAGAGAGTGCATTGAGCACATTGAAATTCAGGCGCCGTCAAAGCAAAGTTCCCATTCCCCGTCCACGGATATGATCCGCAGATCCCGAAGCTCGTCATCCACAGCGATTCCCCTTGCACCGAGAAAATCGGTCCGCTGAATCCCAACGGAGCGCACGATCGTTTCCGCGCCGCGCCCGAAATCTCGACGCGAGTCTGCACATCGTTTCTCGAATGCAGAGGTGATGCGCTCGCGCATAGAGCAGCACGAGTTCGTGCTTGGTTGAGATTCATCCTGCGCGGAGTACCTCTCCAGTTCGATTTCCGAGACTGGCTGGAGGAGAAAGTTATTGACCGCTTCGCGGACCGCGGCCAGGGAGACGTATTTATCGGCAGCGTGAGGCCTGATCTCGAGTTTCCAAGGGAAAAGCGGCGAGGTCAGAACGAGGCAGGCAGTTGGCGGATCCGTCGCCGGGTCCAAATCAGAGTCGACCGATTCCGAATCAGGGGAGTGGGGAGGGGGGCTCGTTGGCGGAAGAGGATGGCAGTCATACAACGGCCGGGAATGCCGCAAAGGGTGCACGGGCAATGGAGGCGCAGATGACTGAGCGCACATCGACATCGTGAAGGAGGGGTTCAGAGAGAGCATGCTCGGAGGGCTCGCCATTTATACGAGAGAGTGATGGACGCGGCCCTCAGACGGCCAAAGGCTGCATGCGTCTCCCACGCCGAATGCCTCGAGATAGTCGACCTGTTTCAATACCGCGGGGCCCGGGACTACCATTCTCATTCGTCGCCCAGTCGCTCTCCCTCCGAAGTTCTGATACCGGAGTCGAGCGATCGAGAGCCATGCGAGAGTTGGCGCTTCCCAGATAGACAGGATCGTTGGAGCGTCCCAGTTGTAACACCCCGTGGACGATAAGCACAGCTGGATTGCGTCATCTTCGGAGAGCACTGCTGCTGGGCTGAAGGTTGCCGAGTTCTGTAGAGCAGTGGAGGTGACTGAGTTCATAGGTCTCGACGCCACGGCAATACCACTCTACTTACATGCTTGTCGATTAGTCTCTATTCAGCTGGGATCCAGTGGAACATACCCAATCCAGCTGTGAGTCTATGAATGCCATTCGCTTATGTCGTGGTCCATGACCAAGCCATGCTCCGACTGGCGTTCTTCATGGTCAACATATCACACTGATTGAGAGGCTGACCGCACTCACGGATCTGCACCCAACGAAGAAACCCTCCCGCCAGACCGTCTCGAAAAAAATTGCTGGGAAGAGAGCATCAAGTCGCCTGCTGCGCTGAAAACCGACAGTCGCCACAATCGACGTGACTGCGACAATCGAGTTAGTGTCGTGCCCGCGGAACCGTTCGTGACTGGGAGAGGGAAGATTTTCCGCAGATCACAGGGGAGGTTGACGCGCAACGAGCGCTAGCTGAGAACGACTGGTTGAAGGACGCGACCGGCATAACTGTCACTTTCAGAAAGCTGCTAGCAGCGAATGAGTACTTTCAAGCACGTGAATTTGATCTTTCTGACCAGTTTGCAAGACCCTGATAACTTGGAGTACTTCACCCCCGCGACCAGCGACGACTTCCCCACGCTCAGCATAGAAAACTTCCGATTCCACCAGCGCACGCTACAGTGTCTCATGTACTCCTACCAGCATCAGCATCGACCTCAGTTTGTGCAAGTCCATAGGGAACAACGACAGTTCGGCGGCGACACTTTCATTCCTGCCCTTACACTGCAGGTACCCCCCTGTACGGACGTGAAACCTAGATCCTGTTTTCGTCCTGGTCTTTTTGAACTGGGGACGATCACAAGACCGATTCAAGGTCAACGACCGAGGTAAAGACGGTTCATTCTAGATAGTTATAATGCGAAAACCATGTGTATGTATGTGTTGGAACTTCTCCGACCAGGTGGGCTGTATGGATGATATCATAAAGAGTGGATAGAAGAGCCAAGATCATGTCCGTGAGGTGATTAGGAAGGAGCAGTGTACAATATATGCGCATACAGGCCGCCGCTCTTCATGACCTCAGCACAACTCCCACATTTTGACCGAGTCCCTACAGCTTCGTAAGCAAGCGGACCGGATAAGACGAGGAAAGCCACGTACACAACCATCGCACGTTGCTTGACGTCTTGAGGCCAAGTGGGATACCACTGGCTCTGAGCTCGGAGGAAGTCCAATGGCGCAGTCGCCGAGCCATCGAGCCAGGGTTTCTCCGGTCCATCGGGGAACCATCCGTTCGTCCCTCCAACAGCAACATTCATGATCAGATAGAACTCCTGGTCAAATGGCGCAGCATTGGTTCCGTTGATCCAGGGGTTCTGCAGCACCACGCTCTCCGAACCGTTCTGCACGACCGTGGGGAAGTTGCCCCGGTCCCAGAACGGTTTGTTGAACTTGAGCTCGAGCATGTGCGTCAGCCGCGAGTCGACATACATCCGGCTGAGGTCGGTCAGAAGGATCCATGAGAGAGTACACAGTATCAGCTCACATGAAGCCGTCCGTCCATTCCAGGGCGTAGGTGTGGAATTGCTCATCATAACGACTGCGACGTTCCGTCCACCAGCCATACGTCTTGGCAACGGCGTCCAGGAACGTGGCAGGCCCCCAATTCAACGAGGAACGAACATAGTTGACACCCTGTTTGGGATAACTCGGTCCATTACCGCGCGCCTCCATGATATCGATCTCCCCACTGAGTGGCCATCCGCCGTACGCGTTGTCCACCGGAAGCATCCAGATAGCAGGCCACATCCAGTCACCGGTGGGAAGCTTCGCTCGCACTTCGACCCGACCGAATCTATCATTCTGCGTCAGCATAGAGAGAATGGGTGAGCGGCGGTAATCACTTCATCTTCGCACTGCGTCGCGTGCTAATGCGGGCACTCATGACCGGCGGAAGAATCTTCCCCTGCGTCGCATTCGAAACAGCCGAGCACGCGGCTAGGTAGGCCGGGAGATCGAGTGGAGCATCCGGGGCTGGGAATAGTCAGGCTCACGGAAGGGTGGCTGTTCTCACACGCGATCGCACCAATTCCGCCGGATCCAGTTTCTCCCTCGGTCGTGTTGATACCCGTGCTGCCGTGTCCTGAAGTCGTGTAACCTGTCGAGTGGGTGATGTTGTACGTGCAGCCCGTAACATTGTACACTGCGCCGTCGAGGATGTTGGACAGTGGAATGACATCGCTCGTCAATGTGGGCACCAGGTACAGCTGGTTGTTCAACACGAACGAATTGCTGTCCGAGTTGGATGTCATCTCGAATTCGCCGTTACCGAACCCGCTGGCATCAACCTCGCGGAAAAATGTGCCCCCGTCCCCGGCGACACCGGTCCCGAAGAGAGATTCAGTTGTCGCAGTTGAAAAGTCTTCAATGAGCACAGGACAAAGAGGTTGCTGGAAATCATATAAGAATGGAATGGGCTTTATATAGACCGCCAGGCTGACCGTAATGAGCAAGACGCTCTTCCACCCCGTGTAGATTCGCGCCGCACCAGCACCAGCACCTGGAGAATGAATGAGAGCGGTAACTTGACCAGGAAAGAAAAACGCGCAGAGAAGAATTGTCAGATAAGTGATCCAGTAAGCCACGCGCGAGTACGGATCTTTCTTGGTGATCCATGGCTTGTCCAGCTTGGTAGTCAGCACAGGGCGTGCGCCCTTCTCCTTCTTCTTCCCGTCCTCACTCGGAGTGGGACTCTGATCGAGAATAGCAGTGCTCTTGGGACGCTCACGTCGCAGGCGGGCACTCGTGTAGCTCGGTTGCGCGTATATGGTCATCGGCCGGGAGGGCGGGGAGGCGAACGTATCGCGACGACCGCCTGGTGTAACGTTGCCCGGTGTAACACCCACTGTGCCCGGATTGGAGAGCGATCCTGGGTTGGAGCCTGTTCCTGGACGATTGGAGCTGAACGACCCGCGCTGATCCATGGGCTGTTGGCCGCTGGTGCTAATCCAGGACGAGGTGCGCGGGAGACGAACGTCGACAACGCTGCTGGCGCGGGTCGAACCCGGAGAGCCCGCGAACGGGTACTCGGCGGAGAAAGACTGCACCGAGGCCGGCGGGGAGAACGGGTTTTGAGCGGGTGGGTTAGGGGTGGTCATAGCGGCGTGGGAGTAAGGGTCTGCAGAGCGAGCGGGTGTGTGAGGAGTGAGGAAGGACAGCGAGCGCGGGGTGTGCGGTGGAGAAGCAGGCGCGGAGTGAGACTCGTCGTGTGGGGTGTTCGGTGTTGTTGATCCTGGGCTGCCAGACGGTCCTGCAGCGAAGGGGCGGTGGGGAGGAAAGAACTCGAGAGGCGCGGGACGGGACATGGCGAAAGTGATACTCTTATTGGGACGCGCGACGCTAGGGGGAAAGCCGAAAGAGGTTAGCGCAGACGATAGTCGGATGCAGTGAACGACAGCAACGGCTTCTGCACGACCTTCTGAAAGCTGCGTCGACGCGGAAAGCAGAGAAAGCCCCGCCTGTGCGCCACTTTCTCCGCTCTTGTAATAAACCGTGGCAGATCCACCTGTCTTGAGCTTTCATTCTGCCTGCTTCCCATTCGAATCGAGCTGTGCATCTGCAGCTGGCGGAAGATCTAGATTGACACGCCAAAACGCTTCGTTTCGGCATGAGCATGGAAGCTCAAGGTACACGGAAAGCACGCCACCGGCCGGCATCGGATTTTTTTTCTGGACACAGCCAGTGGATGGATGGGCAAGCAACAGCGACACATGCGAGGTTCCTATCAAGGGACGCACGATGGACGGATAGATGGACAGAGACAAAGGGCCGTGAACATGACTTGAGCATCTGTTTGTTGTGATGGACGAGACGAAGGAGAAAGTGCCTAAAGCGGTATAGAATCCATCAGAATCCTGGCACCGCCACACAGACAGGATTTCATCTCATTCTCACCAATATTCAGTTGTGGTTTCTTTTCACGCTGTCGTCGGTATTTCCGATCTTGAAGCATGAAGGCTGTTATACGGCGTTTTTGAGGCTTGCGGTCAAATCTTATCGCCGCTTCGGGTGCAGAGGACCTCCGGATAACGATACAGCGACAGGCCGGTGCGCACTGAATGGAAGATACTGTTCCTAAGACACGTCTAGCCTCAGGATGACCCATTCTGCATGAGACCTACACCACACTCCATCTTTGGGCGCGTTTCGTTCGGCAACTCCCACTGATCAGTCAGCAACCAAGAATTGTTCCACCATTTGCGTTCATTTCGGAGAATGTATCATACCAAGGGGATATGCGCCCTTCTCAGTCTAGCAGCGGGCCAGCAAGAGTACTTTACACCCGGTACCGTGTCTGAGGCTTCATGTGGCTGAGGCTTCATGTGGATCCTCATATTCTATGAGCGTACTTCTAGTGCGCCACTTCATCCATGGGCGGGTCCGCGTCGCCGCTGGTCCCGGAGGGATGTCCAGAATCGGGTGGGTTTTTCGTTCTTGTTCCGCTGCAAGACTAGACAATACTCTCGAGTGTCTTGCACTTTGGGCTTGCATTCTCGAACGAAAGTGTGGCGCTGTCTCTTGCGTGTAAGTTCTTTTCCTCACACCGTTATCTGGATGTTCTGAATCGTTTTTTTTTGCCAGGGCCTCCGTCACCTTCTCTTCCAGGGTCTGCTCTGATGCGAAATCGACTTCTCTCAGCTTCGACGAAATCAGCTTCGACGAAAGACGGCTCCGTTCTGGTGCTCCCTGACTGTCGAGTTCCCCGCACGCGCTGTTCCTTTCCGAGGCCTGAGTTGATGGACTCCGTACGATCCACATGGACTAAGTGGTTTCTTGCGTTCTGACAATGAAGGTTCCAGGACTCCATCCACCGGCGGAAAGCGGAAAGGTTGGAATACGCCTGATCCCATAATTATTGCAGTTACCTAACACCGGACCTCACATCTGGCAAACCTGACAGGTTAGAACGCGCTAGGCGTCGTTTGGAGTTTTCGTAACCTGCTGTTCGATGGGTGATGACGCTTCATTCTGTGTTTCGGGTTGACCGCCGGCTAGGGCACAGTTGGCATGCATGTCGTATGGATTCAGGCTCAGGCTATCCTGGACACGAACTCCACTGTCGCCCTGATTCGCAACTGCATACTACCGGCTCCAACGCCATTATCGCTGCAGACGTAAATTAACCGTCTTGCTCGCTCGCTGGAAGCTGCACACGATGAAAGGGACATGTGGATGTGCAATCCGTGTCAAGACGGTTCACCCTACCTCGAAGGCGATCAGTGGATGTCTCATGTAGAACACCAGACTCGCCGTTGCTCCACCAGCTCCGAGCCCTTGCAGGGACGGCGATGCTTCGGGGTTGTGAATCCGTGCACTCCTCGGACACCCGCATAATAAAAATTATTTGATCCTTCTTTGATTGATAAACGCCGAACAAATCCCTCGGATCTAAGCGAGATGGTAAATCGATAAGATTACACAGGGATTTGTTCACCGACGGTGCGATTTGCCCTCTGGAGTTAGCGCCAGTGCATTGTCATTTTCTGCGAGGTGAATATTTCGCTACAAGCTAGTACCGACTCGACGATCCCCTGAAGAGCAGATGACTACTCGGCTAATTTCTGAACCCGCGCTGGAATTTGGGATACTTATTACTTTTTTCTGCTCGTTTGCGACCAGGAGAGCTGAATTCTTAGAACTGTAACATGTGCTTGCCAGAACTTGTTAGGAGTTTCGAAGTCGAATCTGTGCGCATGGGCGGCCATTCCGTTTTGGGACGCGAGCGCTTTCTCTACCACAGGGATCGAACATCGTGTGTAGCTTGCTGGTGCCCGGCGTGCTTCAAAACTCGCTGGTGAGATAGAATCAAATGCCTGTCACATCCGCTTTGTCTTCGCTTCCCGGACCGGTCACCGGTTTAGTAGCAGGTATGGTCGACCCAAGTTCGAGACCGCATGGCAACACTAGTCGCTGGGAATTTCGTTCGTTCGCTCGGCGTGGATAGACGGCTTCTGGTGTGTATGTGTTGCAGGGAAGATGTATTCTTGCCCCACCGTGTCTTCAGGGTGCTTCTCCACTCCAAGCGAACGCCGCCAGAACCCGCGCGAGCACTGGGATTTCTGGGGCGATATTCCTCCAATTGGAAAAGACCCATACACGCAACGAAACCACGTTCCCAGGCTCACCGGTTTATTTCTGGCTGGAGTACTTATCATAGAGGTGTTGTGAGAACACAATCATGCGCTTCTCGTCCTTCTCGGCATCCGGTACCGCGGTCTGAGAAGAGAGCGCGACATGCGTGATGACCCGGACAGGCTGACTGAAGATGCAGGACGGGATCGCGAAATGTCGGAGGACGGGGATCAAGTGCGGTGAAAAGCCCGGGTACAGATGCATACATAGCACAGAGCAAAGTATTTGGCACCAGGATCCAACGAGAAGTAGATAGAACAGCCTTTTCCCCAAGCATGACATGCACAATTGTCCGATAATCGGAGTCGCGGAGATTCTCCGTGGCCCGAAACTTCATAAAGTGCCATAAGCGCAGTGGGAACAAATCAGTCACCTGTAAAAACCAACAAATCAACAATGATGGCAGGGGCCACCGCATGGAACCAGGACCTGGAGACCCTGCTCAGATGCTGCCCCCCAACTCTAACAGATTTGCCAAAGGGGGAACAATAAGCGACATAATCTCATTCGAAGGCGACCTGATCTATCTTGGCGACTCGGAGGCGAAGAGGAACATGCCGAATGTGTGCCTTGGATGGCGGACAGGATTGTCGGAGCAAACATAGTCGGACTGGCCCGTGAGTGGTGGCGCAGATCAAGCGGTGAGAACATCTCCTACGCGTGAATTCCTCACGCTTTGAAATGAGAGAGATAGCTTCATTGACGAGGTAGAGATAAGATAATGATCGGCGACCTGAGAAAGATCGATTAATAAAAAAACAAGCTCACAGACGGCGAGAAGAACAAGGAGAATCACCTGCACACGAGAATAGAACCAACAACATATTCCAATCTAGGGTCTAGAACATAACCGATGGCTATCGTAAGTATATCGTGGACAACCTTCTGTCCGTCTGATCTGTGGGCAGACGCTTGTGGTGAGACAAGTCACGCTTCACTGCCACGGCGTGAGTGGCCGCTGTCAGCCACATTTTCAACGCACCCTAACGACAAGCAGAGAATTGTCGCAGATGGATGGAACAATGCGTCGAAGGGCCGGGGGGCCGTTTCATCTGGCCGGAATGGCATTGTGAATGACGACGTAACTGACTCTCCTCAGTCGGTCGTTCATCGAGCGTGCAGACCAACTCGGTCGACACCGGCGATACTTTTGATTGCACAGCGTGGGGCGTTGGTCGGGCCGATCATCTCCCGATGATTACTCAGGTCGAATGAATGCTGCGTTAAAGCGTATCATGGCATCAGTGATAGGCAATGAGTCTTTGAGTGACATTGACTTGTGTCTTGCTCTTGCCGTCGCTTCTTGTCGCCCGCCGAGCCGTGCGGACGTAGGGCTGCTGGGATTGTGTCAAATTCTGATCCTGATTGGAAATTCACTTTGACCCACCAGCCCGGAGAAACTCCAGTGCGTCGTGCTGTCGTTGAGAGTAGTTTGTAGCCGGCGAGACAATTGGGTTGGGGGGTGGACCCACAAGCCACCCGCAGTACTTAATTAAGCGCCCAGTCTAGCCCGATATATGTTGCCGTCGGAAGGAAAGCACGATAAAGCCGGATGGCGATGCAGATACCAAACACAGACAAGCACATCAAGCTCACACTCCACCCTTCTTCGACAAGGGCTAGCTCGAATCGTGAGCAGCTACCGTGAGGCTAAGACTAAACGCGCAAGGACTATGGCTTTTACCTCGGGACCAGGGACATGGTCTCCCCGGGGACGGGCTAGCCAGTAGAGACTTGGCGTTGCCAGACGTGGTATCTCGCTTCAGCTGGAACTAATTGAATGGATGAGGAAGACGCCGTTTGAATCAGATGGACAGTCGGAACTTGGACTCGCTGCACATGGAAACTTTTCACGGGCAGGCAAAATGCGTGCGTCCGGCGACCCCACCGGCAGCCCAGAAGAATCCTAAGAAATCCCCGGCACAGGCCGAGGACCCCGATCAGGGAGGGCACACTCGTTCACAGAGTGACACAAAGCAGATTTCTTCGCACTGTGACACTCTTCTCGTCTGTCCGTCAAAGAAACAGAATCCGTCTGGCGTGGATCGTGAATCTAGGGGCATCTCCGCCTCCAGTCCATCAGCCGTGTATTGCCTTGTCATGCCTCAGCTCTCTGCTTTCTTAAGCTCGCCCCATACGGGCTGGTCTCACGGTCTGGTCTGGTTTCCTTCTTCACTGTCATTTCTTCACGGCCTGCTCGTCGTCGTCGGCAATGGACTACGACTCCTTTGATGCGCTCGTGCAGTATCTCTTCAAGAAGGTGACCGTCCTCACGCGTCCCTTCCGCGTATTCTGACCATCTCTGTAGACTCAGGGTGACGCCTGGTTTAAGCCTTCGGAGGAGAATGTGTCTGCCGGTGTCTGTCTTCGCGTCGAGCCTGGCCATTTCCGCGTGTTCCCTTACGAAAACCCTTTCCTCATTCCCTTCGAGGCCGCCGTCCGTAGCCTGAACCCGCTCGTCGCTATCAAGGTTCGCAGTGCCGCCGTCCATGCAGCCTTGGCCACAGTGTATGCCAAAATCTGGATTACTCTATGACATTCATTGACGCGTTATTCAGCTCGGAAGACGCGACTGCCATCTACATCGACCATGACACGCGCATCCAGATTCTGGACAGCATGGCCCATCTCCCTCAGGCCGAGAAGGAACAATCCGGCGCATTCTTGGTGAGCCCTTCATCCCCAGTCGGATCTCTCATCGCTAACTCACACTGTCCGTCAGCGCGACGAACGTGTTCTGATCGTCTGGTCGGATGATATCGACAGCATCGTCCCTCACTGCGCCGACTTTGAGGAGAAACTGATGAAGCTCGTCTGGCGTTTCCGGACGCAGAACGGGAGTGCGTCGGTCCTCACCTCAGGCTCCGTCGGGGCCCCATCGACCACTGCTTCCGACGTCAATTTGACGGAGAAGCCCGCTCTTGGGCCGATGACGGAAGGCGGGCTTGATATTGATGCCGTTGCGGCTGCGCATGCGGAGAAGACGCAGGCGCCGCCGAAGAAGAACCGAGTATGTGGGTGGTGGAAGCTGGGCTCGAGGAGCTCTGGGCCAGCGCCCGGGGACCCAGAGAAGCAGCAGGCGCGAAAGGACATGCGCCCTATCCGGCTGTTTGCGCCGTTTTACAACGGGCTTGGGGCGGGGCTTGCTGTTTGTACGTCTTTTCATTCTCTCTGTTAGTCGTGTTATTGACGATTTCCAGTCTTTATGGCCAGTGGGACTGAGATTCTCTTGGCCGAGTGGCGCCAGGATGGCAAGGTTTCTCGGTTCGGGCTGATTGGTACGATGCCGTTCCTTGTCTGTGTTGCGCTGGTGAGCTTTTACGGGTTTGACGTCATTCATAACTAACTTTTTCAGTTCTTTGCGCTCCAAGTAATCGCCGCCATCTCATACTTGTGCGTTTTAGCTTTTCATATCCCAGGCCTTACCTGACCCTTGCCGCCAGAGTCGGTCCCATTGCACAGTATCACGAGAACTCGCGATACTACTCTGCGATCCGTCCTGAGCCGAATCCGGAAGTCGACGCTCAGCTTCCTCATGTCACGGTCGAGCTTCCCGTGTACAAGGAGAGTCTCGAAGAAACGATGTGCGCCTATTTTAACTGTTGAATCATGTCCCTAAATCGGACGCTTGCAGTGCACCATCGGTCTATTCGCTCAAGAAGGCCATGCAAACGTATGCCCGACAGGGTGGCACTTCTGCTATCTTTGTCCACGACGATGGGCTTCAGCTCCTTAGCGAGGCCGAACGTGAGAAACGGATCGCGTTCTACGCCGACCACAACATCGGCTGGGTCGCTCGGCCGAAACACGAGGATTCGCCCGAAGGTTTCAAGGTCCGCGTGCTCCCACCTGCTAGTACTAGGTGCCTGACCATGAGGTTTAGCGTGCGGGTCGATTCAAGAAGGCGTCCAACATGAACTACGGGCTGGCACTATCCCTCAAGATGGAGGCCAAGATCCTCGAACTAGAGGCCCAGGAACGGATGGGCCAGATCACCATTGGAGATGATGAGTCTCTTGAGGACCGAGCCCTAGCTCTCGCCATCGAAGAGGTGTATCAGGAGAACGGCGAGAAGTGGCGACCCTGGGCTAGGAACGCCCGCTCGTTGCGCGTCGGCGAGGTCATCCTCATTGTGGATTCGGATACGATTGTGCCCGAGGTGTGTAGACCTCGGTTCATTCATTCGTTCAATTACTCATTCATCCGAAGGACTGCTTCCGTGATGCCGCCCGCGAGTTGGCCGAGTCTCCTGATGTCGCTATCATCCAGCATGAGTCCGGTTCGTTGATCGCTTGATACCAATGCATCTTTCCGCCTAACTAGTGCCCAGATGTCATGCAAGTCGCTCACCACTACTTCGAGAACGGAATTGCGCACTTTACTCGACGGATCAACAAGTGTATCTCAATGGGCTGCGCGAACGGTGAGGTCGCTCCGTTCGTGGGGCACAACGCTTTCCTGCGTTGGTCGGCGATCCAGGATGCTGCTTTCATTGACGACGACGGCAAGACGAAGATCTGGTCCGAGAGCAACGTCTCCGAGGACTTCGACATGGCCCTCCGCTTGCAACTGCAAGGTTACAGCATTCGTTGGGCAACGTACTCAGAGGGTGGATTCAAAGAGGGGGTGTCACTGACGGTGGATGATGAGCTTAACCGGTGGCAGAAGTATTCGTACGGTGCGAACTGAACGTTTCTGTCTTGCGGCGATGTGCTCATTTGGTTCCAAGGCTGCAACGAGCTCATCTTCAATCCTATCAAAGACTGGTGGCATATGGGTCCGGTCACAAAGCAATTGAGGGTTCGTCGTATCTCTACTGCCCGCATCGCAGCCACTGAACATGGAACAGACGTTCTACTGGTCTGACGCACCAATCCACTACAAGATCAGCATGTCGTCGTACATGTTCTCGTACTACGGAATCGCTGCCTCGACCGTGCTTTCGATCGTCAACTACTTGGTCCTTGGCTTCGCCCTGAACATCGACGGCTTCTACATGCACTCGTTCGAGATCTGGCTCGCATGCATGGTCGTGTTCCCTGGGGCCGGTAACGCGGCTTACACGTTGCTCGAGTACCGGCTGGGACATCGCAATATCCTTGCTGCGTTGGTGGAGAACTGTACCTGGATCCCTTTCTTGTGAGTGGCCTACAAGTCCCTTTGATCCGCGCTGATACTAGCATCCCTCCACAGCTTCTTCTTTTTCGGCGGACTGAGCATCCATCTATCGACCGCGTTGTTGGCGCACATGTTCTCGTACAACATGACATGGCAGGCAACAAAGAAGGTCTCTGTCGTCTTGTCTCGCGTCGCGTCAGTCGCTCATTGTGAAACAGGAAGTCGAGCGATCAAACTTCTGGATTGAGGTGCCCCGGATCTGGCAGCGCTTCCGACTCGCATTCGTCATCTGCTTCGCTATCATTGCCATGATGATCGTGTTTTCGCTACCCGTCGTCACCCCGGCTTGGCAGGTGCCAGCGTCGAGTTGGGCCGTCATTCTTCCCCTTGCGTGAGTGATACATGGATGTGAACAGATTTCATGTAGCTGACGTCGGATAGTGTTGTCGCCGGCGGTCATATCTTGTTCCCCATCGTGCTCAACCCCTGGTTGATGATCTTCTCATACTGAGCACCGAACATTCCCAGTCGCATATTTTATACTCGCATAGATTTCCCGCTTGCCCACATACGATATACATAGCTATCTTATCTTATCACCATGGCGCTCATGTACACTGCCCACTCACACTCTCTGATCTTGGGTCTTATTCTTGGACGTTTGTACGAGTGTATTTAGACTCTTCTTGTTCCATCCACTCGTTTGTACTTGACAGCCACCGCCGCGAAATAGAGACAATTGCTCGGTGTTAACGCCAAGGCACTTTCAATACGCCACGACCTGCTCCATTTGCGTATGCTGGCCGACTTCGCGCATTGCGTCGTCAACAGAGATGACTACTGCTTAATCGAATTCATTTATTCAGGACCAGCCGGGCTCATCTTGAGCCATCTCCCCTCTCTCTGCGCCGGAATGATACATACGAGGGGCACGAACACTCACCACCAAGATTGACGTTGATATATCCACGGATGTCCTCTCCGACACACTGGCTCGGAGGTTTTTTCGATGTCTAACAGATCTTGGAGTATTAATACACCAAGCGTTGAGGTCGGGGCGTTCGAGACACCCTGGAATGGCTAAATGACATATAACCGCAGTGCTATCACCTTCACGCAAAGTTGCATCTTGCACAGATTTGGAGCATCGATCGAGAGCAGCCGATTTCGCCGGTTAGACCCACCACGCCGCAAGGATTCTGTGCATTCGTCTCATATGTATACGACGAGGTACCCTTACCGCCGAATCCAGCGCTGAGGAAATGAATCCCGCTCATGTGTCAGCGAGCTAAACTTGTAGCCCGGCTCAATTCATCAAACAAAACGTTCCCATCAGAGCGTTTTCCTGTCCGCCCCCGCCGCTCTTTTTTGAAATAGTTGGAGATAAGGAACGCGACATCTGGAATGTGCTTTGTCAGGGTACGATTAACCGCAGACCGGCAACCACCCACCGAGACTTTGTTCAAAGTTGAGGCGCGGATCACAGAACGACTGGACGCCGCCTATCAGCGGTGGATATGGATTGATCGGGAGGCGCGCACCTGGTAGCGTAAGCCCAGCTCATCCTCACTCAGCTCCATACTACCACCGACACATTCAGTGACACTGAAGCCCTCATCGTTGAGTTCGCCGGTGAATTCGAGGCTCACGCCACCGAGACGAGAACCGGACTCGGCGTGAATCCGCAGAGCAGAAGTCAGTTCTGCGATAATAGTTCCGAAATTCCTCGTTTTGAGGCCAGTGCTTGATGTGAGAGTGCTGTTGAAAAGAAAAGAAAACGTCGATTGCAAGATCTCTCGAGAGCGATAACACTGCTGCGTACTTTCCATGCATAGGATCGCATATCCAAATTACGGGATGCCCCGATGCCTGCACGGCAGTGATGTGGTTCCCGAGATAGTTTTCAATCTTGCTGGCGCCGTAGCGGGTGATTAAAGTGACACGACCGGATTCCTTGTCCGGATTGACAACTAGAGAAAATGTCTTCGAACAGAAAGCCGGAAACTCAAACACGCACTGTCTAGTAGCTGCACTAGCTCCTCTCCACCCATCGACGGCCCGACTTTGATACCGATGGGGTTCCTGATCCCGCGAAAATACTCAACATGCGCTCCCGTAAGTTGTCTCGTTCGATCACCGATCCACAGGAAATGCGCGGAAGTGTTGTAATAGGCCTTCCTGGGCGCCTTATTTGCGCTGTAGACACCGGCAGAGAGAGAAAATTCCCGCGTCAGGGCCTGCTCGTACTCGAGCATCAAGCCCTCGTGACTGGTGTAAAAGTCAACCTCGCCGACCGTGCTTCGCGCACCACCTAGTTCGAAGGGAGGTCCAGAGTCCACCCCGATCACACGGCTGAAGTCAAGTCCATCAGAAAGTCCCTCGACGATCGATTCGAATTCCTCTCTGCGAAATTGAGGTTGGATTTTCATGCAGTAAAGATGAAAATGCGCACTTCAGCGACGGCGATCGGACGTGGTTCAAAGACCAGTGCCGAGGTTGATGGAGGGATGCGAAACCAGAAGTGAGTAAGGAGCGGACGTGGTTGATAGTCGCACTCGAGTGGAAGTATGCACTGTAAATCAATGTTACCATTGAGGAAGGCTTTCCGATGATGCGACAAACCTGAGTAGCCTCTCTGGATCAGGTGTGCGGTCATTGGGGTCCAAGCTGGAAATCCTGAATAACGTTTCTCGACCGGGTCCTGCGCCGCTCACCCATTCACGTTATCTCCGCTGCAGTCGTGTTAGCCGCCTTTTGCTATGAAATGAAAAGCTGGAGACGCACCGGAAACTCAAAACCTCGCGATCCCCAATCTTTTCCGTTTTGCTACTGCGGGGCTTCGCGTACTGTCCGGCGATACGGCCTATACGGACGACGGGAAGACGCGCGCCCCAAACCAGGATCAGCGAGAACGAGAGGATCAGTCCGATCTTCGCGGCGATGTTTTCCTAGGGGCGTTGGGTCAATTGAAGAAGAGGAGCGTCGCTGGATGTTGTAGTACGTGTGTGCACGCGTCAAAGCTCTCAGCACAGTCTCCTGCATGCAGAAGAAACGATTTGTTTTCTTGGACTAAAGAAAGTTGATGCCTCAGACGCTCGATCTGAGGGTGAGATGATTAGCGTTGCTCAGGGAGAGATTTGATGATTAAAATGAGTGCACTAACCTCGGAGGGTGACACGAGTGGAGGAAGGGTCCCGATTTTTGCAAGTACTCTGCGTAGCTCCATCAGTCCGGGAAGGAGCCAAACAATGGAAGCCCACCTTGAGAGATGGTTCGTGTCGGGATATTCGACATCCTGGTAGATCACATCGATCTCACAAGCGGATCTTTAGGTGACGTCGCCGTTCGCACCTGCGCAATGGACTTTGACCTCCACGATGATGGGGACCAATCTTCTTGAAGCTCAGATGGAGGCATTGCGAAAAGAGCAGTTGGACGGAGAAAAGAAGGATGGATCACGGGGAGAAGTGTGACTCACGACCCACGAGCATCATTCGCATCAATGTCAGACTGCTGATCCCGTACAAGACGGTGTCATCGACAGGTCCTGGACCCGAGTCCACAGAGAAATAGCCAGATGGAGGCTTCTTTCAAGGAGGCCACCGAATACCAAACGGCCCCTCCTGAATACATACGGCGTTGTGTTGTCGGATTATTGATCGGTAGATGATGCATCAAAAGCTAATCTGGGTGCGAATGAGAGATAAGATTATCTGATTCCGATACACAGGCGTTGCATGTGAGAGAGTCCATCCGACACTTCACACTAATCAATGTGACAGGCGGCAGCCGCGTTATAGGTAGGAGGTGGATCTCTGGGGGCTATTCCATTGGCCACCGTCCCCTCGACCTCTTGCCGTCCCATCTCTATCGAGAGCAACACAGATTCGGGAGATTTCTGAGTCGAATTACGTGCCCCACTCCTTTCCGTGCGTCGGGTCGTTCTATCCCTCCGATTTCTATCTTGCTTCGTCGCTCCCGTCCGCCACTCATTGCACTCCTCTCGAGGGGTCCACGAGCGCTCATCGGTGAACCCGCTCCTCGAATCCGAGTCCTGTTGCGTCCAGGATCTCCAGATAAAGAAGCCGGCAACTGAAACTAGGATGAGCCCGAGCACCGTCGCAACGCCGATGACGGCAAAATGGGATTCTGAGCCTTGTGTAGTTTGGGTCAGGGGATCGACTGGCATGCCGTCAACGACATTCGATGATGAAGAAGAGGGCTGGTTTTGACCCGAGCTTGATGGGAACGTCGATGGTATTGTCGTCATGGGAGGAGGAGCCCGGACTAGGACTGGTGGTTTCTGGCATAGCACGGTCGCTGAACCTTTCTGGTAATAGATAAACACTTTTCGGCACGTTGAACAAGTCTATACCGATGCTGGGCAATGCCCGAGAGGGGTGGTGAATTAGATTTGCTCGGCCTGTGTCTGCCGCCGTAGCTTTGCTGTCGCTGTCCGAATCGTTTTCTCCAATACGGTCAACCCTTATCGTGATCAATGAGTTTGGACAGCGAATGCAGGTGCCAGTAGCCTCACACGCACCCTATGATTCCGTTTTCATTTTCCCTGCGTTGCGATTCTATGCACGAAGTCCACATGATGCGCAAGGTCAAGGCTGCAAGCAAGCGAGCGAAGGTAGAGGAGATGGCACGATGAATGCAGCTATATCTCTGATAGCGGAAGGGTTTCAGCGCTTGGCAGTACTGCTTGCGCTACGCCGAAGAAGAAACCGGACCAGTCAGACCACGTTTGGGAAGACTAGATAAGCATTGGCCCTTCTGTTTGGGTCCTAGTCACGTTCATCTCCGAGGAATTGTGTAAAAGAACAGGTTCGCGTCTGAATAATGGTGGGTTCAAATTATTCGGAAAGCTGAAGCATTGCTTCATGACCTGAATTGCCAATTGAGAGAGAGGAGTACCGTTTATAAGGAGAAGTCATCACGTGATCCCCGCCCAATCGCTATTCGGCAATCAGAACGCCTTTCAGGACGGACTGTCAGCACATGGGCAATACCTTTCCGTGCATCGCACGCAATGAGTACCGGGATCCCTGGGGAAAATTAGGTGAGTACGTAGAACTCTTTTGTTTCTCTCGGCTTCTGATCCAGGGCAGCCCGACTCCTCGGAATGCATCATGATCTACATCTGGATTACCTCCAACTCGTTTGCATAGTGTAATCCAGACTTCCGCAGCACTCAGGGAAGAGAGTTTCCTGGACAGCGCAAGTGAGCTCACATATCCCTAATATCATCCACTCGGTGTGAGATTGGTTGTGCACGAATTGAATGCGGAGAAGGTGCGATCCGAGAAAGTGGATGTGAATGCTCTGCAGAGCTGTCCAGATCGTAGTTACGACATCGACTGCGGACTACAGGCGTTTTTCTGCCAGGAATGTCAAACACTGGATCTTACTGCCATATGGAAAGCGTCAGTCTTTCCCGGTGGAGCATCGCCCTCACGATTCACGACGCAGCGGCAGATATCATCTGCCATGCGTTCCATAGATATCTTCGGACTCTCCGCTTCCTGTTCTCTGCCGACGCCGATGCCTGGCCCATCGTAATACCCGTGCCTGCTTCACTCTAAATGGGACCTATAGAGGAAGGCATTGCTCCAGTCTAGTCCACGAGATGACAGAAGCATGGACCGATACAGTTTCGAACGATCTCTTTCTCCGGCAATCCAATCCGCAAACCTCTCAACTGAGCACCTCCGTGTACATCTGGAGCCTGCTGACTACGACCCATCGCCTCTGGTCGCATCCATGCGAGATCACGAGACAAGAGCTGGCTGGGGTAGCTGAAAATTCTTGGCTCCGTGTGCCTCCGCCGCTGTCTTCCCATCGGGTGAGTTTCGCCGCAGGACTCACGAACATCTCCACATCAACGCGCGGGGGCTAACATTCAAAACCACGTCATCGGATATTACGGCCGGCTGCGCGTCTGACCACCGCCAGATCTTCGCCCCGACATGTTCACAATCCGATTGGCGGTCGGCCGAGAGATTAACCGAGGAGCTCAGAGCGGAGAGGACCGGAACCGCGTGCGTCTTGGGGCAGATGAATCTCTTTGATCATAGGGCTTGTGAGCAGGCTCAGTAACAAATCCGCGCCCAAAACGTGTTGCTTGCGATGAAGACGCGATCTTGCAGCACTAGGAAGAAAACATTGCTCTTGACGAGGACGTCGTGGACAGATGCATCCACGCCTCAGAACTTCCTGTGTACTTTGAGCAATTGGATCCCTTAGTTCCATGAACACTTTCGGAAATCGATTCGATGGAGACTGATCTAGAAGCAGAGTCGGGGAGGGCTCTAGTCATGTCGGCCCCGACCGGCTCTGGCCAAGACAACCACCCCTCCTCCCCCCTATGAACATGTCCCCTGTCCCATGCACACTACTTGCTGCGTCTCGAATCACCCTTGGAAACCCGAACAAGCGCCATCCGTGACACCAAAAAATCACACTCCCAACGGCTGAACACACAGGCAAACTATCCATTACACGCTGTCCCCGGGCACCGCGTCTTAGAAGTTGGTTCACTTGCTGCGGTATAAAAATGCGGATTACAAACCAAAAATTCTAGTCATGTGACTTGAGGTTCAAGCGAGCTTCATCCACGCGCTGGCCCAGTGACTCCACAAAATTACACATGGCCGCCAGGCAATGAGGTAAAAGAATCGGTGAATTGGCACAGGCCAAGGCTGTGTGGGGTCTACAAGGGAAATCTCGACCGTCCCTGTCGTGTCCAGACCGGGAAAGTACGACTAGGTCGTGTTCCAGAAAAACGTTACGAGAGGGATCTGCAGCGGGAATATCGTCTAGCAAGAAATGCGCGTTATGATATAAAAGTCAGGAGAAAAGGGAAGAACGAAGCCTTGAGAACGTGTAGGGTCTAGATGCACTCGACAAGGAGGAAGTGCTAGGATTTGGATGTACGGCACGTGACAACCATTGCCAGAAGCACTCTATGCACTGAGGCACTTGCTCGATGCGTGCCACCGATTGCTCGTACGACTGTCATGTGCAGATCTTCAAGCTTGATATTGGTAATGTCAAGACTGTCAGCGAACTGTTTGCACGGAAAGCAGTCATTAATTCTAGATGTACAGGGTACGAATTTACCGGTGAAAATGGAAGGAGAGAGCGAGTGATAATAAGTAGTTGGATAAATAGCCCAGTCCTTTCCAGTCCAAAGTCCGACATAATGAAAGTAAGGCTGTCAACTCAAAGCCCCGGAGGCGTAAAGTCGGGGAATTCCGGCCACAATCCCAGCTTTCCTGGATCTCCACCGATGCGGACAAACGTGGAGTGACTGGGTGTGGGACCGTCGAGGACGAACAGCTGATGCCATCCAGGAGGCGAGATGAAGGCATTCGGGGGCGCGGTGATGGTGCAAACGTTGCCCGCGCACTTGAATGCAGGGAAGATGGTGCGCGAACCCATGGTGTTTCCATGCGTTGACGAGATCGCCGCAACAAGCGAGATGCGCATATTCGCCGTGGTGCCTTGATGCAATGTGACGGTGATCTTGTGTGTGCTGCCATACGCCCAGTCCGTGTCGTTGTTGATCGTGTAGCTCGGCTGCTTGAAGCCTTGTGTGAGGTACGGAGGGTAGTAAGCCTCGATGCGCATCTCCTCTGGCATGCCCGGGGTCTGTGGATCGGACCCCGAAACGAGCACCCGGGCGTCGGGGAGCAGAATTGCCTCCGAGTGATACATCCGTGCGACGATCGTGGTGTTCAGAATGGAGATGCGCTGAGTGGGTGGCAGCGTCGGATCGTACAGCAGCGCCTGGAAGTTCGGATCGTTTCCGAGCCCGAATCCAGCGAATCCTTGGTGTGCTCCGTTCATGATCATGAAGGTGCCGTCGGGGAGCGGAGACATGCATGTCATGACACGCTGCGAGGGCATGCGCTCAAGAAGCCACGTCGGATTCTGCGCCTCAGGCTCAATCGACACACAGTTGTCGATCGCGATACCGGCACCGGGAGCACTGCCTCCGCAGGTGAGAATGCGAACCGGATCTGTGTAGGGAGCGTGTTGCGGGAAGAGAACAGCAGCTCCTTCGAGGGGATACGTCCGTCCACCAGTGACTGGGGTTGCATAAGGACAAGAGACGAGGATCAATGCAGACTGAATACTCACAGTCATTTACAGAGGCAGGAAGGTTGGGCAGCTCCTTGATAGTGTTGAAGTTGACCGGCTCCAGAATCCGTGCCTCGTTATAATAGATGACGAAGAGGTTTCCACTGGGCAGAACGAAGACGAAAGGGTACAAGTTCCACGGATCCGTGCGCGCCAACCAGTCCAAGTTGATGACAGTATCACCCCCCGCCGGTTTGGGCAGGATCTCCAAGTTGGGCTGCGGTGCAGCATTGCTGCCGGTCTCACCGCCAATGACGAGCACGGAACCGTTGGCCAAGACAGCCGCGGTCGGGTACCAGCGTTGCCTTTGCAGCGCCAACTCCTGGAAATTCTCCTCCCAGTCGTTCGTTCCGTTCACTCCAGGAGAGCCGTCTGGCGCATACAATCGCACACCTTTGGTCGATTCGAGTGACCAGCCACCGACGTTGAGGATACGACCTGCTTTGTCGGGGAGCGTGACCGATCCAGAGCAGAAGACGTCGGACTTGACGTGCATCTCTCTCCAGGCGAGGTCGAATCGGTCCACGAGACTGAGGTCGAGCTCGTATGCGCCAGTGGAGTTGTCGAATTCCGACGTGCCCGACTTCTCGAGGAACGCGACCTTGCCGTTGATGCCGACAGTGGCGATGAGGGGCACGACAACACTGTGAGAATGTTATCGAAGTAAAAAAATTTGGGAAACAGCGCCGCGCACCCAGGGACGAGGAAGTCGTAGTATCCAATGTTGGTAGGCGTGTGCCAAACATACTGCGCTGGGCCCGTCCAGGTGTAGTACTGGATCCTATTTCCCGCTCCACAGAGATGGATCGGATCGCCTGGACACGCGAGGTTGCAGTCCGCCTCAGGCGCAAAGGTGACATTGGCCTTGGTGACATCCGACACGTCACCGCAGTCTAGAGATTGCTTGAGCGAGGAGGATAGGGAGAGAGATGAGAGACTTACAGCACTCCTCGCCGTACTCCATACCACCCGCCGTGTATCCAAAGGCCGCGCACTGGCTCAAGCATGTCGTGGCAGAGTTGTTGGTAGGGTAGATGTTTTGCCACGGGATCGCCCGGAATCCGTTAGCCTCCCTGCCAGCCATCAGTCCATCAGTTCATCAATACATCATGACAGAAGGACGGACCTGAGACAGCCTTGATATGTCCAGTTTCCTGGGATGCCTTTGGTCTGAGCGACGGGCACAGGCAGAATAGTCACATTTTTGGATGTCGAGTAGACTGACATGCGGTTTCCCGCGCCGCACTATGGGGTTTTGGTCAACATGTGAGAGATAGTCGGTGTTGAACATACAGCTTGCCTGTGAAAGAGGTCAGAACAAACTAATCTCATCAGTATAAGAGACGTACGTCGTGTTGCCCCCACATCCCATGTTGCAGTCCGCATCAGCCGCGAGGGCAGCACCATCTATCAATTCGGTGCCGCAGACTGGACGATTCATTAGTATATGCGAAGACGTGGTGCGAAATCGGGCGCACAGCATTGAGTCTTCGAGATTTGCTTATCAGTAACTTCTTTTCATTTCCGTATTAACGTCACGCACCGAAAATTCCGCCGCAGCGACCGTCGCACCTGCGGCCGCGCAGGTGGCGACACATGATGCGATCGTCAGATTCGCATTGTCGGGCTGTTGAGTCTGCAAGATCCGTCCGAAGGCATTGTCGCTGTGGTGAACGCGTGAAAAGGACATCGAAGGCACAAATGGAGAAACTGACACATAGCACCCGGAATAAGACCACGGTTTCGGAAGGTTGGCGGCAATGAAGACCGGTGTGCCGGTTTGCGGTGGCGCACCTCCACCGCCACCTCCCCCGCCGACCGGTCCGGTGGGCCGATCAATTCCGGTGTAGTTATACATTGAGAGCGCATTGGGTCCACCGCAGCTGCGAAATCCGTTTAGCCCATGGATGATTGATCCCAAAGATGAGCGAAACACACAATTGCTGACCATCTCCAGCGCACAACATATTGCACGACGCTGTAGAGATCTTCGATGCATTTACATAGATGCTTGTTCCGCAATCTTGTGTACGATCAGGTGAGACAACTCTTCGCGGATAGATACGATGTCTACTCACAGCACTGGGCGGCGTATTCGGCACCTGTCAATCCGAGATTAGAGTGAAGGAAGATCTAGTAGACGGCGCAATCACCAGAAAAAGGGTAACCCGCAGCGAAGCAGGCGGAAGAACAGGTCTCCAGGGTAAAGTTTCCCGGAACAGCTATCCCGTTGGGCAGGGATCGCACATTGTCCACGTTGTCACTAAGCTCCCATTAGCGTCCAAGTGACAGGAAACGGAGCCGAGACGAACCTCCAGCAGCCAAGAGACGTCCAATTTCCCACTTGAGCGGGAATAGACGGTGGCGGAGGCGGAGTCTTTCCGTTTGTGAACACATTCAATCTGTTGCCGGCGCCGCATGTTTCGGTGGCATTCCCTGTGCATGCCATGTTGCAGTCCGACAGCGTGGTGTTCGTCCCCCCGTTTTCGAAGTGATTATCGCAGTCTGCATCAGAGATGTGGAATGAGTTGTGTGATACAGTTGTATTTTTGTGCACTCACAGCACTCTTGCTAGATGCACGGCCTCAGATCAATAAAGCATCGGGGATGAATGGATCGGACTTACGCCGTACTCGACACCAGCGTAGATGAAACTTTGGCCATCACAGAAGGCGATACACCTCTGACGGTGAACAATTTAGTTGTCTCCGGTCCTCATGTTCCGGGCGACGCTTACTTGAACGGTCATTCCGGTGGTATTCGTGAACGAGGAGCCAAGAAGCGTGCGGCCTCCGGCTTGGTTGTCCGTGTAGCATCCGAGAGACGACCAGTTGCCGGACAGACCAGTCGGGACGCTCGGCGATTGTCGGCGGACGATGGATGGAATTGAAGGAAAGTGAATGCTCGAGGAGAGACATGACTATCCGGGTGGTCAGGATTTTATGATTCGGAGGGTGAACGGGAGAACGAACATGAGCGAGAGAGAGGGTGAAGACCCCAGCCAACACTGGACGAGGCACCATGGTTCGATGAGAGCTGGTAATTGAACGACGATCCTTCTTATAGTCGCTGGCACATGATCTCTCACTCAGATCTGACTGTCGATGAAAGCACCTGTCTGACTAGCCTCTCTGTTTCCGGGTTCCGTAAATTTAGCAGATCTGATTTTCATTTGAATTTGGCAGGAAACGAGACCCAGAAAACATCATCATCCCCAGGGCCATCGAGGGATGGAAAGTTCTTCGAACTGATTACGTCCATTCGTGTTTGGCTCACATTTTCGGACCATGTGTTCCCTCGAGGAACAGAACAGCCGCGCAACGAACATGCCCCTGGCTCGACAGCACTGTTCGAAGTGATTGCAATATGTCCGAATAACCCGTGTATGGTTAGGAATGACGCGAGCTGTCAGAACAGCGAACAATTCTGACAAGACTCGAAATCAGCGAGCTAGGAAAGCAGCGATGTGAGATCGCGGCGGACAAACTCAAATCGCAAATACCTCGGCGATTGAGGCAAAAATCACCCAAGCGCTATGCTCTGCATTCGCACACGACTCACGTTCCTCGTCGTAACTGAGGAGATTCTCACGAAAACGCTAAGCAGACACTGGGCATCAGATGTACGAGGAACGGCGATTAGACAGAGACAGATCTCAGCTAACCACATGCTTCGTTGTTTCACTGCTCCGAGCTATGATCATCTTGCTTTCCAGCGTGCAAACTTAATAATGGGCCGTGGGCCACGGAATGCACCGACGGAATTAGACGGCATTCGGTGTTATCCTCACCGCATATCTACGCCTCAAGTCCAGAGTGGACAAGGAGCGCTCCCTGCGCGACACATCTCATTGTCGGCGAGATATCATTAGACCGAATCAGAGCAGGTGCCTGCCACACACTGCCTGCCCAACTGCTCAACGCAGAGAGACTTGCATGCACCGGTAGAAGATTCGGTGTCAAATCCGACGCGACACCAATCATTCCATCGACATGAGACCTGGCCGAACTTGCGTCTCCATGATCCAACGGCGCCTAGCTGCGGAGACCCACGGGGATTGGAAGCCGCGGTCGCGCCTGGGCGCCCGAATCAGCTTCTCGGGCCGACGCAGAAGCAAGGATTGGCATCAAAAAGGTCGAGAAACTGTTGGAGATAAACACGCCGTACCTGGACGATGACAGTTCCAAAATGCATCCTGTCAAGCGTTTTTGACCTGGCAGGTATTTGCTCCGGGACCGGACTGCTCTTCACTGATGACGAACGACGCGGGAGGACCTGGGCTGGTCCCGAGTATTCCTTGCGCCACCGCCGCCGCCGCCCTATGCATCGTGTGCTGTGGGGTCGGCCTTGGATGGAATACGGGTGACGGAGCTGAGCACGTAAGCTCGTCGGGCACCGATCAAAAGCTTGTTTTGCTTTCCCGGCCCGGTGCCAAACACGTTTCTTTGACGTAATCCTTCACACAGCGATGGCCTGCATGGAATAGGGGCTCTAGTCATCCGTTTGACGGTCGATCCTGGGCTTCTCGAGTTCTCACTCTATGAGCGAAATATGACGCGTGCAGTTTTATTTTAGGTTCGTCTGCAGTCTCTTTCCGTTCTCCAATGAAGCGCTCTCTTTTCACCTCCTCCCCAACTGGTGCTGTTTCTTGCCTTGAGGCCGGCATCCACGGATGCAGATTCTGATGAGACTGCACGGGGCAGGGAATGGCCGCACTTAAGTTAATTTTAAAAGCGTATGGATCTATGCGGCCCGAGCGTCCTCGAGTCCCACCTCCGGGATTATAACGCCTCCCGTAGATCCTAACGCCGTGAAATCCCAACCTCCAGGGAGCTCGCCATCTCTTGTTCGGAATCCCAGCGCTGGATTCCTCCGCTGGAACATTGAATCACCGAACGAGCCACAAAGTCTAGTCGATTGGGGTTGACACTCCAGTTCTTTTTTTGTACAACACTGACGGTCGGAGATGAATGAACCTTAAATTCTCCACGACATTTATGTCTCGGCCTGTATATCACACCGAGACGCCTTCTGACCGGGGTATCCAAGAACATCTTGGACACGAGGTGTCCGGTCTGCATCTCCGTTGAGCGTCGGACGTCGAACATCGAGACTGCCAAATGTTGTTCATTCAGTGAAGGACTAATGGATCCTTTTGATCACGTTTGTATCCCCGTGTTTTGCTCCCGACCCGCTGCTAGGTATGAGTCGCGGAGCGTCGCGCCCATGCAATCAGGTGGACAAGGAATCACTGATATCATTGATTGTATCATGTGGCAGTGTAGAGCCTGTCTTTGACTGTCACCCAGCGGCTCTATCCAACATGCACTCGAGCTCGACATACTTGGTCTCTACTTTGTGTTCGCTACACGCGCGCACAAGCTTGGGGGAAAAATCTCGTCTCCTCTTGCCCGCCCTTCCAGTGCATTTACTCGCGACCCCATCAGTCGTGCACCACAGATTGTAACGACCGGCATCATAGAAACCCCCGCCCTGTGATTGAAAAAGGCGTCGTGAAATATGATCCATCGCTCATTCACCCAGAGATGCAAGTATGGATGCTCAGAATCGTTGTCAACGAGATACTATGATTTCTAGGCGCATCACTCCCTGCAGATTTGTGCAGTCCCTTGCTCCCGTAGATGGAAAATGCTAGTGTCGCAGCATCCGCTGCAAAACGGCTGTCCCTTGTCTTTCCGGCTAGAGCACAAGTTGGACCAAAAGGGATGCAGGGGCAGTGGGGTCGGAGCAGACGAGCGACGGCCTCGCGCTTTGGTGTCCGACCAACTGACTAGGTAGGTCAGAAGCAGGCCCCTTCTTCGCAGGTTTCGTGATCTTTTTTCTCGACCGCGAAGCTTACCGAGCATGGACAGCTTTCTCGTGCATCATGACCCGGAAGAGCTCTAAAGTCCGAAATCTTTTAGCAATTCAGGGATCACGAGCACTTCCTGCGATCTCAGGGCCGCGGCAGTCTCGAGTTCGAGACGCGCAAGAGAAGTTACGTTGGATCCTCCATTTAAATTCGCGCAAAGCCGTAGTTCGGCGGATAAATATTCCGTTTCTCAAGGCCGTTATCGGCGGGAAGGGTGAAGAAGCCGTACTTGAGGAGGTAGAATGCTGTGTCTCGGGCATCAGATTCCGCGCTGAGCGTGCCATGTTTTCCTCGTCACGCCTTGTGCGGTCGGTTCTCGTCTATCAGTCCGTTCGCTTCCAACGAATCTTTCTGCCCCGCGCTAGTCAACAACTTCTTGGCCTGGAAAAAGACAGATTTCTCTTGCAGCGGTGTCGGTGGGGGTTTCTACGGCGATTCAGGGATGACGTGTCACGAGCAGGAGGTGGAGCATCATCACACCATTTGCCAGCACACGCCACTGCTAGGTACGGCGGCGCAAGCATCGGCACGACTGAGACTGAGAATTAATCCGGCAGAAGCGGCGTATGTCTGTGCCGTACACTGCTCGTGCGGAGCGCTTGTTACCTATGAAAACAGACGATTTCTCTATCTCACGCGAGATTACTACGACTGGCAGAGGTTCGTGAATGTGCTGGGAAATAAATCATCTTACGGATATGTTTACCCTCCTCTCTGTAGAACCAGTCCCGAAATGTGCTCCTTAAGTGAGATACGGGTCCGGAGGAATCGGCCCGCGTGTTTCTGTGCCAGCTACCTCAACCTAACCTTTCAACAAGCTGACAGTCTCTAGCACTGACTGCTCCACTCACTCTTCCGGCATGCCTGTCGCCCTTTTCCATTGTGTCGAACACACACGGTCATACCGCTCGGCGTGAGCGCACATATCAGCACAAGAAGTAGCGCGAAAGTGCCGGTAGGTCTAAGAAACTCACAATCTTTAGATGTTCACGTAACGCGATGGATTCGGGCGGGTCGAGGTCGGACAGAGCTGCGGACTGGGCATCGGCTGTCGCCGAATCTTTGAAAGCTTCCCATTGATAGCACGGATGATAGATGACTGTTCGTCTGTCTGAGGGTTATTTGTATAACGGATTAAGCGATTCTAACCAAGCTGCCGACCGTTCACCCCATTCGGTCAATGCTGGAACCCCCAAACCCCAAGAAGAACTCATATTCATGCGGTTTCCTGTTGGCGTCGTTCTGAATGATTTTGCTAAAGGTTCCCAGCAGGATGTATGCGCACTCACGGCGAAAGTCGATTCTAGAACATGTCTGATGAACTGGAATCATTGCACCGGGCAAAGTTCCCGAACGCTGTACGGAAAAAAGCGCTGACTGACGTGCAATACTTGTGATTCTACGTAGCCAACAGCGTGGCTTTCCACCCCACAGTCGTTACTAGCGATGAGCTAGACTCGTTTCTATTGTGCGCAATCTTTCCCGGCTACCCTTTGATCGTCGATGTGCGGAACCACTTGTCCCAAAATATCTTTTGAGGATGTCGGGCTCGGCTTTCGTCTGTTATCACAGGAAAACAAGCGGAATTGCTCTCAAAGTTCTCCTGGATGAATTTACGTATCCTTCCCGTTCCGGTCCACTGCGCGTGCCGCAAAGGCATAATCGAAGAGCCAGATTACTCCGACCACGGGCCTCGGTAGGAGGACGCTGAAAGTACTCAAGTTGACGTTCTTTTCTGTTCTTGGTCTATGAGTCAGGGTTTCGTACAGCAATTCAGACAACAGCGATTTTGAGATTCTTGGTGCCAGTGGGTACTGCGCAGTCCAAAGTGTTCTTTTGGTATCGTAGCCAGCAGATGCCAAGAAGGCGACTGTTCGGTTCCCTAATCCTCGGGATGCACCTGCAAAAGATTGGCAGTCTCAGTATCTTCCTCAATTATGTGATCCGCTTCTAGGCATTGCAAGAGTCCTTATGGGTCTGGTAACATTGGGTACTAGTTCCTAGGGAAATAGCTGACATTGGTACTGGAACCTGGTGCACGTGTCCAGATCTGTATTGTAAGCATTATCCTGTGAGACTGGTTGCAACGTCAGAGTTGGACTCCTTGTCCCTACCAAGATCGGAAAATCTCGTCACACATCTTCTATGACAAAGGGTAGGCCACCGGGCTACATTTCACGTTGGTTAATAGACTCTGCAACCCTCATGACTGAACAAAAGCCGCCGCGAACAAAACTATTGTCAGCGCTGCTGCTGATGCACTCCCCCCACAACGAAAGCACACTTTTGTTTGCGACACCAGTAGGCCCGCTGGGAGCGCAGAGTCAAGTCGCGCTGTGTATATGCCTTCTGATATCCGTAACTATCTTGCGGGATCTCAAAATACTGGGAGCGTAGTATCAAGATAAAAATTATTTGTATGGTTTGAGCGCTGATTAGATACATCCGTCTATCGGACAGGACATCAGTAACATATATCCGAGTCGGACACGACAACGTCGCTCACTCGGGACCGCCTTGCCCGCGGCATTGACATGCGTCTTCAACGTGCTGCTCCCACAGAGCAGACCGCGCACAAAGCCCTATCTATCTTATCCGTGTTAGAGTAAAGCTGAAACGGAAGGGGAAAGTACAGCAATCAGAGAGGTTACTGACTACAACGGGATGTCCTCTGTCTCGCCCAGGTCATCATAGACGTTACCCTCAGTCCTCACACTAGACACTGTCTCTTTCTCTACGACCAGCGGCGGCGGAACCTCAATGCTCTTCGGCTCAACGGCCACATCCGCAGCATCCGAATCTTCAGCGCCGGCACTTTTCGGAGACGTAGGTGGGAATTCAAACTCCATGTTCATCGTCCCGGTCTTGCTTGCCCGCTTCCCCATCAAGTCGATTCGTTTCGCCTCCAGCTCGGCCACGTCAGTTTCTTCATCCTCCGAGCGAGCTTCTTCGACAGTGACGACCGGCGCGGTTGGTGGTGGGGTATTGCGGGCCGACTGTCCTATGAAGGTCGCGGGCCGGCCAATGAGCGAGACGGTCGGTGTCATCGACTGTCGCGCAGCGGCTGCGCTGGCGGGTGAGCGTTGGGTGGGAGATGCAGCAGACATGGACTGTGGGCGCTGAGAGGGTAGCGCGTTCGGTGGTGTCGCTCCTAGTCCAAACTGCGCGATAGAAACCAATCTACAGCCACAATGAGCTTCCTGAACAAGAAGAAGCGCCAACTCACGTACCGACGCTCAGACTGGCATGCAAAGATCCAATGCGGCTGGACGATAGGTATGCTCAGCTGCACAGCTCGCTGATACTCGACCTCAGGCACGCCAGTCGGTGTATGCGTATCCGGTGTGGTGCATACGAAGTGCGTTGTGTCAATCTCGATCTTCTCGCTCCACCGCGCACCGATGCGCTGTAGGGCCTCCTTGGCCTGCTCAACGAGCCCTGCGTCGTCGACTGTTCCGAAGCATACGCGTACGCCAGAGGTGTCGATCATGGTGTTCGTGTGCACGCGCAGCAGTTCCGAGGGGAATGTCCCCGCCGTCGTGCGCAGGATAAGCTGGAATGTGTACTCGGTGTCGAGCTCCAGCCCCGAAATCTTACTAGAAGTGTTGGTCGCCGGGTTTGGGATCGGTGCGAGGCGCTGCCCGTTGCGGTAAAGGTCCAACGTTCGCAACTTGGCTGTGGCCAGTTCAATGGGGGGCCACTCAAGGGTCACGGACGTCTGTGTCACATTGCGCAGCTGGGGGCAAGGAGGTTATGAGCATACATTCATTTCTGCAAGAACAGACTGCGCACTTGGAGTTTCGGTGGCTCAGGCGTACGCACTCCAAACTCTCCGTGTATCTCATCCTGCAGCACCCAAAACGCGTCGTCTCTCCTCTTCTCTTCGGCGTGGTTCTGTAGGACGGAGATGTTGACGATGGATCCAGTGGTTGCACCGGGAGGAAGGAGCACGGAGGGGAATTCGATCAGGTGGGCGCGTTCGCCGAGAAGGATCTGGTGAGCGGCAGTGTAAACGGTGAAACGGCGTAGATCATTACTCGTACTGCCATTCCTGCGTCTATGTACGAGTGTTCAGCCCATTTCTTGATGATTTACGCAGGTCAAGTACCCAATTTCCCCACGGTGGACGTGAAGTGGTCTTTGTCCATCGTGGTCGGCGCGTAGGAAGATGTGTCCAACCCTAACCTTTCGTGGTGCTAAAACTAATGTGATGTGGCCTGGGCACCGGACGGTGAGAGGGAGAGGAAGGAAGAACTCACCTGCGGATCTCATCCCTCCATCCGCGTCCTTGGAACACCGTATCTAATTCAATGCTCTCTACCACCACGAGACATCCCTCGAGGTGTCTTGAGGGAGTTTCCCGATCGTTTATAGCTTGCAGAGAGGCGATTGCCGATGCGCGGTCTGAGCGATGTTGCGAAACCATCCTAGGTAGTGCGAAAAGTCACCGCGCACTCGATTTTGAGGCCGACGACAAATGCATGAGTAAGAGATGTCGAAACGACGGACCGTGAGGGGGTAGAATGCGAAAGAACTTATCTGCGAACTGCTCTCACATCCGAGTTCTCAGAGTGCTCCACCCCTTCACCGCATACATGTCCTTTGCCTTCCGATGTCCCCAATACATCCTACCATTGCGATCGTTGAGCGCCGCACGTTGCTATTTGAGCTGTGCGATGGGTGCAAGGCAGATGAAAGAGCGGACCGCTGCGCCATTTGCGATGCAACAAAAACCGCGATGTGCTGCGTAAGGTCACACAGAGCGTCTGATTTCGGGGTACAAGAGTTACATCCTAGTTAGTGTCAAAAAAGGGCAGTGGGCGGACTGCCCCATGCTGCGTGGTGCGGTTGAGCGAGCTCGTAGTGGCGTTGTGTGGTCCCGACATCGGACCCGAAACTCTAAAGCCCCTTGCCGCTTCACATCTTGGTGACGTCCGAATGAATACAGCGCGCGTCGGTGTGTGGTGAGATGTGAGCGGGTTGGCGCATGAGGTCGAAATGACAATCCGTGGCGTCTGATGTCAGCGGTACACAGGGCAGGATGTCGAGTTTTCACACAGAGGAAGGTCGAGGGGAGAAAGAACTCACACCTCCTCATCCGCATTGTCCCAGCGCTCCATCCCCCTCCGTCCGAGTTCTGAGCCCCTCTCCATAACCACTGAGCCGCCCTCGAAGAATTGAATGGGGCTCTGCTGGGTGCTCATAGCTTGCGGTGAGATGTCGTCAATTGCAGGGTACGTGCGATGACGAGGATGGCAAGACCCGAGGTTGCATGTTCGAATTCGGGCGCATGGCAAGCGCGTGCTCGAGAGGTTCTGATTAGTATGCGGCGTAGCATGTGAAGCCTGTGGGGGTTTGAGCGAAATTGGGAGGACGGCACTGCCACCGAGCGCCCATCATGCTTGTGTCGGTCATCCTATTAGTAGCGATGCTCCTTCTCTCCTTCGTTCTCTTTGGAGCCTTTGAGTTGCATATTCCTCCTCGTCCATCCTTCACCATTGGGACTTCTCGTAAACAACAGCAATCGTTCCGACCGACTCTAGACTCCCTTCCCGAAGATCTCATACGACTCATTGCGGCTCGAGTCGTAGACGTAACACCAATCAAGTATGGCAAGGTGTGGGGTGAGGAGCAGAACGAACAGCTGCCTCTTCTCCCTCTCTCCGTGACTTGCAAACACCTGCGGGCTTGCCTGAAGTCGCTGATCTTCAAGACGGTGCACAACTGGAATATAGATGGGAAGACGGTCTGGCCAAGCTCCATCTGGTCGCACATCATGTGCGCTCCTGTGCAAGGGTTCTGAAGGGTCGTTGTCTGACGATGAACAACTCTGTAGGACGGTGCACATGCGGGACCACGCCATCCGGCACGAGCACGTTCTCGAAGTGGATGACGGCGTCTACGAAGGGCTCGCCCAAATGCCCGCTCTTCAGCGCGTCGTGATGCGTTACAAGGTATCCTTACCGCCTGCAGCGCTGCAGTGCTTGCCTCGAATACGCCACTTGACGTCTCTCGAGATCTATCAGGCACGTCTAGATGGCCCGGTCCTTCCTCCGCTCGAATTCCCGTTGCTCGAAAAGCTGCTCCTCATCATCGCTGGCTTTCGGGGCGTTATCCGCGCCCCGGAGATAGACAAAATCGTCGAACGAGCGAATGTCGGGCGCCTCCTCCGCTCTGTTTCAGGTCGTCTGTCCCACCTACATGTCTCGGGCGATCTGCTGCCCGATGACTTTGGAGACATCCGCTGGCAGCAACTGCAGAAACTGGTTGTTTCCGAGCACAGTCCCGCGACGTACCTGCTGGTCCCTGCGCTGACGGCCAGGATGCCTACGCTGCGTGCACTACACATCCTGTATGCAGCGGACATGTCCCGTCCCGCGGACGAGCTCCATCCACCCTTTGTCTATGGGGATCCTGATGGCAAGCTGCTGGTCGAAACCGTACCCCATCTGACGTCTCTCTCGCTCTCGAATCTGACCGAGGACGACCCGGTCTTCTCGCAGCTTCCGGCTTCGCTCACTGCTCTCCACCTTCACGCTTGGCGAGATCCGTACTATGGCCGGCGAGATCGGCTCGATATCAGAGGCGAGACGGCTTTGACGAATGCTTCCGCGATGGCGATTGTCCTCAACCACTTGTCAAACCTCACACACTTGCTTGAGTTCACTGTGGTCCTGAACGAGTTCCCGGCCGCGCCGTTGCTTGAAGCCATTGCGACGACATTTCCGAGCCTGGTGTACCTGGAGATCTCTCATGCTACTTACGGTTACCCGCGCGAGCGGCGAGAAGAGTTGGAAGATGCACGAGATGTGTGTCTGCTTTCTAGTCCTTTGGCCTGAATGATGTACTGACTGACATAGCCCACGATAATCGCACCCCTGGCTCGTCTCCACCACCTTCGGACTCTTCGCATCACTCTAAACATGCTCCGAAACCGCTTCGACCGCCAAGTCCCCATTCTGCCCATTCTCTGCTGGCTTTTCGACGGGATTCCGTCACTTGAGACAGCTCAGTTCTCTTGGTTCACGCATTTCTCGTGGGTCCCTGCTCGGGATCCCGAGTGGCGAGGCTGGAACTCATATGATCGGGCCTACATGATCCGTGAATTAGCCAAACCTCCTCCGCCTAGGCGTATCTTGAAACCACTACGCGAGATAGATTCTGATTGATTTTCGTTCTCAATCAGGGGTATTCATCAGAGTACAAGCCTACTAGGCTATTCAAGTTGTTGAATATTCTGTGATAACGAACATCCCAGCGCCAAAAAAAACAGATTATCGATGAGGATAGTCAACTGCTTTGCAATGATGGATCGATGGATCATGCTGCATCTGTGATAGGTGTAATCTCAAGAAGTGAACTGTGGCTTCGACTGCACTATTCTCAGGTGGAGCCTCTGATGGAGCCTCATGGAATGTCTAAAATATGAGTTCTATGAAGGATGTGTGAATCGATCCATGCGTGCGTCTAGTATATGTATATTTCTCCTCCCAGATGTGATCCCGTTGCAAACGTGGATCCCGAGCTCATTTCCCCACGAAATTTCACGAAAATTAGATCCGCATGTAGCTTAAGGTCCCCTGGACCCGGGATCCACATGGATCCATGGGTCTGAGGGGGTGGGGCTGCTGCGCAGCCCCACTATGAAGGCGTCTTTTTTGGCACCCTGGAAAACTGGTGTGATGATCAGAGGATGGATCCCAACCGCAGTTGACTCAACACTCATGATTTTTTTGGCGCATTCTCACATGGACATATGGAAGACTCCACATGCCAAGTTTCATATTTATTCAACCAGCCATTGTGGTGCAATATCAACATCTTCCTGCAGAGCAATCAGAATCACTGATGCTGATTAGACGGTGGATCCCAGAAGCAAACCTCCTCGAATTTATTTGTTCATTTGACAAAGTATGTACTAAAACACATTTATTACGCAGTGGTCCACACGAAACAGCTGTCCCTGCGTTGTGGAGGGATGGGGAGCCAGAGCAAGGCAAGGAGACAAGAAATGATGGGAGCTGTCAACGAAGTCTGGGAGAACACGGCGAGGATCGTGGATCCCAGAGTCAACTCCTGTACAATGGAAAATCCAAGCCACTTAAATCGAAGGTCAGCATGAGAAGAACATTTCTCGTGACTCAAATTTGCTAGCAAGTGTGCCCAGAGGCCAGAATCCACGCACAAGAACAGCTGACGGAGGGTGTGACGCCGTCATCACACCCTCCCACATCCTCATCTCGCACCTCACGGACGGTTTAGGCGTTCACCCCGGTCTTACTGTCAGCAAGCTAGGACGCTTGCCGACCAGAACGACTCAACAGCAGCCTCCGCATGCACCAAAATCGGAGCCGCGGCGTCACCTCACGTTTCCACATTAGGGCCATCGCTCAGACCTGCGCAAGTTGTACGAGCACCACTCGATCGAATCTACTGAATTCCGGCAACCGACGAACAGACCCAAGCATCTGAAGCCCAGGCGCACAAGAGCAGAAGAGCGAGATGGGCAAGTGGGCAACACGCAGGGAGAGGGCTTTGGGACGCTTTCCACAGGTGCGTTTCCTTTCCGCACCCATGTCCACTTGACCTCCCTCTGTCCGCCAATAGCTCTCGATATATCTTGCCACATTGGGCGTTCACCATGCATCTTGGAACCGGACGCGCGCCCACTGCAAGTTGCTCAGGGCCTTTTGTGGCATCACCCGTACCGCGCTCTCCTCTCACTTGCACAGTTTGCACATCCTCAACAGGGCAGCTCTCGGCGACCGAATTTTGGCGATCAGATCGGCGAACGCAACGGGGAGCACGGGGCAGGCAAGTCGGAAGGGCGAGTGGACGCAGCGCAGGCAGAGTGTATGCGCACAGTCTGCAGGTGCGTTTCCCAGCACATGCCCATCGATCGACTTTCAGCCGCCGGACCGTAACCCACTCGATGTCATGCCACAGCCGCCAGAACCACTCAAAAGTGCATTCGTCCTGTTCTCGGGATCGAATCATGTCTGACCACTAAACTGCCCAGCATGGGGCGGCCGCCCACTGCCCTCTCTTTGAAATTCAGAAGGAAGTGACTCATCCCTGGGCCTCGTCTCTCTTCTTCTGGTCTCTGTTCTTCGCCGTTGATACGCAACCACACAGCTCACCGGGCAGCTGGTCCTTGGCCACACTGCCATCGCGCTCGTGGCTTTCTTGGAGATCGTCGACTCTGCGCGGGATGCTAGGATGTGGGAAACACTGGCTGAGACCAACCCATCGGCGCTGCTCGACACGGCCTGCATGATCCGCTCGCATCCGCTCGCATTCAACGACGTCATCCCTGTCGCGCTGCACGCATTCTACGTGACGGGGCACCGGGCGACCGTCTCGTCCACCCAGTGAAAGTCCGTATTCATGCTGACGCCAACGATGTAGTTCTCGCTGTCCGCCGCAACCGTCGCGTTGAACTCGTTCAGCCCGTTCCTAGTATCTATCGGCACCCCCATTTACAAGCTTAACACATTGGGGGACGCCGGGCTATGTGCCCCGCCGAAAAATCTGTAAAAATGCGCAAATCGTTGGTAGGGGTCCCAGGTAGGATGGCGCACACCGGCGTCCCCCTTCCAGGCAATGGTGAGTGTCCCATAGCGAATTCCGCGGAGGGTCTCAAAACGATCACTTCCCATCAGAGCTTTTGATGGGAGGGGGACGCAGAGGGCTGATTACACAACATCAAGGTTTTTATTACATGGGTCGTCAGCTGCATAGTACAGGATGTAGGATCCTGAATTTTATGTTTTTACCTTCAGCGGTTCTTCCGGAATTACACAATCTCTCAGCGCACCCACCACTTTCAGCCCCCCGCTCAATATATGAGGACGCAGGGGGTCTGTGGTCTATCAAAAACAGCAGGAAGTTTCTAAAGCATCATATAACATTCTTCGTACACCGAAAACAATATATTTACTGCGTTGTGGAGGGTACGAGACGAGACAACCTCGTCGAACATCTCTCGAGTCACACCCTGTGACCACCGTCACACCAGCTTGCACGATCATCGCCGCCTCTGCTCATACATCCGACCGGGCAACCGTGGCCACCAACGAACGCAACGAACGTGCATGGGGTGAATGGGCTGGGGGAGGGAGGGGGGCTGGGGGGGGCTAGGCCTAGGGCTCGGGCAGCGGAGGGCAAAGGGCGGGTGGAGGGAGGTTACATGCACAGGGGGGGGACTACAGGTGAGTGCTCACCATGCCAGCTGACCCAGCCCACAGATCTCGCGCCGACCCCAGTGGACGCGCACACACCTCACCCCCGCCCCACTGAATCGACGCCAGCGTTCATGCCCGTGAGGGCGTTCCTAGCGTACATGTAAACATCATAGCGCTCAAATACATGACATCTACTGCTACTCGCCATCGCGCTAGTGGTATTGGCCCCAAAATAAATGATCTCATTGCAATCGGGGATCCCAAGCTCAATTCCCAACCAAATTTCTTGAAACCTGGCTTGTATGAAAGCCCTAGAGGCCCTTCATCCATTTTTCACTTGGATCCCAGGGTTGGGGGGCGGGGGCTGCATAGCAGCCCCCGACAATCAGATCACTTTTTTTGCATCATCTCACCAGGCCGTTTTTGATGGACTGGAGATCCCAAAGCCTACTTACACAACATCTTCATTTTCTTTTGCTGGGCCTGGGCACAATGTATCCAAGGTCTCGAATCCCAAGTTTCGTATTTTTAGAGCCAGGGGTTGGTGTGGAAGGGAGCCATCTTCAGTCCGCTGCATCAAATTTTGTGATGGGTACTGCATTGGGGATCCCGGGGCAGGGAGTGCCTGGAATTTATTGGTCAATTCAGACAAAATGTTTGTAAGAGTCCCTCATATGAATATTTCATGAAAAAACTAGGCAGAACCCATTGTGGGGGAATAGGGAGCGAGAAATGGGAGCACGGTGAAAGTTGACAGGCAGCCATCAAAGTGATCAAACCTGCTGGCCTCTCAAGTCGAGGATCCATAGGCTGGAGATGAAGATTTTCACACAAAAATTAGAAAACATGACAGGCCCTAATACCAAAAATGCATTGGGCCACTCGTTTTGGGCGGATCCTCTGCTGTTGGGCATGGATCCTCAAGAAGAGGAAATGCAGGCCGGGCTATCAGAAGCGTGACGGTGTGACTAGCAACTACACAGCGCGGTACTCATTGCTCTACTCATCCATCCGACCAGGCCACCTTGGGCAGCAACGAACGAGTGTGGGGTGGATGGGCTCGGGAGCTAAGGCTAGGGCTATGGCAGCGGAGGGTATAGGGAAATCGGAGGGAGGGCTTCACGGAAAGGAGAGGGGGGTCGACAGGCGAGTGCACACCATGCCAGTTGACTAGGCCCTCACATCCCAAACCAATGCGACGCCCCTGGCGGACGCGTATACACCTCACACCCAGCCCATTCGCTCGACGTGAGCGTTCACACCCGCGGGCGCCCATAAGTTGCTAGTTGACTTATTAGCTTTTGAATGCATGGCTTTATGGCTAGGTTCTTTCGCCCTCGGGGCTGTCTCGTCTGCCCCGGTCTTCTTGGTCAGCCCCCCGGGACAGTTTCCCTCCAGAACGGCTCAATCATGGGCTCTGCATGCACCAAAAATCGGAGCCCTGGCGTCACTTGGCGTTTGCGCACTGTGCTTACTGCGGCATCGCTCAGATTGTGCAGCTGTCTGATCCCTTTTCGAATCCGTCTCTTGCACACCCTCGACTAGCTACAGGTTTTGTAACATTCAAACTCCAACAACAAACTAGAGACCCGAGGATCCGGTGCCCAGACGCACAAGAGTAGAGGAGAGATAGACAAGTGGGCAGAGCGCAGGCAGAAGGTCTGGGGACTAGAACTGCGGGTGCGTTCCTTTTCTGCGCCTATATCTTGACCTCCCCCTGTCTGCCAATAGATTTCGACATCTCGCGTCACGTTGGACGTTCACCACGCCCCTTGGAACCGGACGCGGGCCCACCGCAAGTCGCGCAGAGCCTTTTGCGGCATCACATGGTTAGGGTTAGGGTTAGGGTTAGGGTTAGGGTTAGGGTTAGGGTTAGG